TGGGCATTTTTCCCAAGCCATGGGTCATAGCTCATTTTTGCCCCATTGTCAGCAAAAAGAAAGCATCAAACCTAAACAGTAAGATTAGATAAGTAGTGTGTTAAGCCTTAGTACAATACTTTCTCTGTCTTACTATCAGGATTTGTTGTGCTTTAGCAGTTATGGGCTGAACAGATGCTTTGAGCAGGAGTGTTTTCCATTAGTCACATCATCACCAACCTGAAAGCTGATATAGTCTATAAAGCTGTGTTTTCTTTTTCTCTCGCTCTCTCTCCTTTCATTTTTCCTGGCCTATGTATCTTTATCAGCTGTTTGGGAGAAATGGATCTGAAATGTTGCTCCCAGACGCAGCTGCATGTCTTCATCCATTTCATTTCTGCTTGTTGGGCAGCTCTCAAAGGCAAAGGAACCCAGCCAGGAAACCAAGTTATATGGCACCCTCTTACAAGAAAGTGGGAACAACTGATTGGAGCAAAAATAATTTCGGAAACAGAATGTACAGTAAACATTAACAAAAAATTACAAAGGAGGTTGATGTCAATGTCATCCAACTCTCCAATTTGAATGAGAAACTATGAAAAACAATTGAACATCTATATACGAGGGTTGAATGAAAAGTAATACCTCCACCTTTGTTACTTGGGAATATTTTAATAAATCAAATGCAGAAATAATCCTTAGAATGTGCTTTTTAACTACCACTATTCACTTTTCGACATAATCACCACACAATTGGATACATTTCTGCCAACAATGGGCAAGTTTTCTGAAGCCGACACTCTGTTTCCGCAACCCATTGTGCACAGATCTTCCGTTAGCCAAGCAAAGCAACAATGTGACCCACACATTCTTGTGAAATGCCGATTATGCTTGAAATTTCTCTCTGAGTGATACAACGATTGTCCTGAATCAATCTGTCAATCTTTCACTTGTGAAACTCGGTGGTTGCTGTCAAGGATGTCCAACTCTTTGTTTGTCATGCAAGTCAGATGTTCCCACCTCAACATCTTTAAACTTACTCGCCCAATGATGCACAGTACTCACATCAATACAATCACCATAAACAGCTTCATTCTCTGATGAATCTCCTTTGGGGTGACACCTTCTGCTGTCAAGAATTCAATGACTGCACGTTGCTTAAGTCGCATTGACCAACCATCTGCACAGGGTTCCATACTTCGCACTTTAACAACACAACCTTTCAATGCTAAGGCATCCTGCCAAATTGGAACTGTAGAGGAAAGTCTACTGAACAAGCCAGTACCTGCTGCATACAAGTACTGCCATCTGTTGAGGAGTTACGAAGGTGGGGGAATTATTTTTCATTCAATCCTTGTAAATAAAAATTCATTGTTCATTTTTGGGATTAACATAACTCAAAAACCACTGGATGAATCGACACCAAATTTGGACACAATACACGTATCAGGCCAACGAGTGACCATCACTCAAAAAAATTGATTTTGTCATTTGGGAGTTGTAGCTGCTGGGATTTATAGTTAGCCTACAATCAAAGAGCATTCTGAACTCCATCAATGATGGAATTGGGCCAAACTTCCCACACAGAACCACCATGACCAACAGAGCAGAACTAGAATGGTTTGATGGGCATTGACCTTGAGTTTGGGAGTTGTAGTTCACCTACATCCAGAGAGCACGGTGGACTCAAACAATAATGGGTCTGGACCAAACTTGGCACAAATATTCCATATGCCCAAATATGAACACAGATGGAGTTTGGGGGAAATAGACCTTGACATTTGGGGGTTGTAGTTACTGATTTATAGTTCACCTACAATCAAAGAGCATTCTGAACCCCACCAATGACAGAATTGGGGCAAATTTCCCACACAAAAGCCCCATGAGCAACAGAAAATACTTAAGGCCATCCAGTCCAACTCCCTTCACCAGGGCAAGAAAACCTAATCAAAGCCCTCCTGACAAAGAGCCATCCACCCATAGATATGATTCATACACACAGGGAAGGAAGGAGAATGGGAAAGAAAAAAGGGAGGGAGGGAGGGAGGGAGGGAGGGAGGGAGGGAGGGAGGGAGGGAAGGAAGGAAGGAGGGAGGGGGAGGGAGGGAGAGGGAGGAAGAAGGAAGGAAGGAAGGAAGGAAGGAGGAAGGAAGGAAGGAAGGAAGGAGGAAGGAAGGAAGGAAGGAAGGAAGGAAGGAAGGGAAGAAAGAAGAAGGAGAAAGAAAGAAAAGAAAGAAAGAAAGAAAGAAAGAAAGAAAGAAAGAAAGAAAGAAAGAAAGAAAGAGGGAGGGAGGGAGGGAGGGAGGGAGGGAGGGAGGGAAAAAGGAAGGATGGAGAGAAGGAAAGAAAAAGGGGATGGATGGAAGGATGGAGAGAAGAAAGGAGAGAAGGAAAGAAAAAAATTGAAGGAAGGAAAGGGAGAGGGAAGGAAAGAGAAAGAAAGAAAGAAAGAAAGAAAGAAAGAAAGAAAGAAAGAAAGAGAAAGAAAGAAAGAAAGAAGAAAAGAAAAAAGGAGAGAAAGAGGGAGGGAAGGTTGGTCACAGCAACTCGTGGGGAGTAAAGCTAATAGAAAATATTTATGTTAAAGGAAGCCCATCGCAGCAAAAAAAAACAAAAAAAAAACACTCCTACCCATCCTCCTTAAAAGTATGAACTCCAACAGTAAATAATAGATTTATTTTGATCTCCGTACTGGGTACATTGAGAGCACTTTACACCAAAAATAATACACAGCTGCCATCGCTCTTTTTGTTTTGTGCTTAATAGAAATCTAACTCAGCAACTGCAAAGAAAGCAGGGGGTACATGGGGGAAAAACACACCAAAACAATGCCCACATCGGCAAAATGTGCTTCATGCAAACACAAATCCGCCTCCTCCTTCTCTTGTTCGTCCTTCTTTTCTTCCAGCAACAAAAATACCAGCGAAAAAGGTCCTTCTTAGAATGCTCAATAGCATAAAACACATTAGGAAAAAAGGAAGGACACATTAGAAGGAAGCCAAAGAGGCCCTCAATTTTCAAGATTTAAGCAGGGCTGTTGATGAGTAGAGGCCGTGGAGGTATCCCATCCATAAGATCGCCACAAGTCAAAATTTTATGTCTGTATATATGTATATACTAGCATACGTATTCGACGTTGCCTGAGTGTTGGAGGGGTTGCAGCCCCTCTGCTTTCATGCGTTCTTTCTCATATCTTTTCCCATTTCCTTTCTCTTCCTTCCCTCCTTATCTTTCTTCCCCCTTCCTATATCTTTTATTTCCCTTCTTTTTCTCTTGCTTTCTTTCCTTCCTTCCTCTCGTCCCGGTAATATTACACAGATTCACTTCACCTACCAGCAGCCTTTGTGGTACAGACAGGCAAACATACAAACATTGCCTTTTATATAAATCAGTGGTTCCCAATCTTTATTTGACCAGGGACCACTCTCCAAAATTAGGACCAAAAGGGTTACGAAGCAGTTTTTGGTCAACTTTAGATTCGGTTGGCTATTTGAGGCACTGATTCAGAAAACTGCATTGGATAGACCACAACAACTCTAGTTTCTGATACAGAACATATGCCATCCAGTAGTCACCATCTGCTCACCCACAGAAAGCCATATTTAATAATCTAGAGTTGATGTGGTAGTAGTAATCTTTCAGGGGTAGTCAGCCTCTTCAGTTTGGTTATTTGGGGTGCTAATTCAGAAAACTGCATTAGATAGACCACATCAGCTCTGGTTTCTAATACAGAACATATGCCATCCAGTAGTTGTCATCTGCTCGCCCACAGAAAACCATATTTAATAAGCTTTGGCACTATCAGAGGCTTTCGCAAGACCCGTCACTCTTGTTGCAATGGTGAGGCCACAGACCATATTTTAGTTCTTGTGGACCACTGCTGGTCCACAGACTGGGAACCACTTATATAGATAGAATACATGCACACACATATACAGAAATACATACACACCGACATCTGCGATTTATGGTGACCCCATAGATGAAAGATATTTGTGTGCATGTGTGTGTGCGCGCGCGTGCTCACACACATACACATACACACTTTGGACTCTCAGTAAACCTGAACTCAACTGGAACTCAACTGTTTTAATGTATATTCATTTTAATCTTAATTTAAATGTTTATTTTAATTGTATGTTGTTTTTAAGGCATTGAGTAATTGACTATTTGTAAAGCCACCTTGAGTTGGGACAGGTATAAATATGGTAAATAAATACATAAATAAATAAGCAAGCAACCAGCAAAAAATCAAAGGTATATTACTTTAAATGAAAATGAAAATAAAATCATTTTTAGCAAAAATGTTACATTATATTTTTCTTTACTTGCTTTAAAATACTGTCTTTCAATATTAAGTCAATAAGTTTAGTATTATAGTATAGCCGCTTTGAATCTCCTTGTTGAAGAGAAAAGCGGAATATAAATAAACATAATAATAATAAGAGTTAGGTTTGCTTTTCATAGTAACTCTTTAGTAACCAGAAACTATATTTACCCGGCACCAATCCCCATGGATGCTGGTTAATTTATATCCCTTCTACACTGCCATACAATTCAGTATCTGATCCCAGATTATCCGTTTTGAACTGGATTATATGGCAGTGGAGACACAGGCCCCTTCAACACTGCCATATATCTGATCCCAGGTTGTCTGCTTTGACCTGGATGATATAAGGCCCCTTCTACACTGCCATATACAATCCAGATTATCTGTCTTGAACTGGATTATATGACAGTGTAGACTCAAATAATCCGGCTCAAATCATATAATCTGGATTATCTGATTTGATAATCTGGATTTTATATGGCAGTGTAAGGAGTGGTCTCATATAATCCAGTTCAAAGCAGATCACCTGGGATCAAATACTTGGATTGTAGGGCAGTGTAGATCCAGACACACATATATCTGCTTAGATCGCCTATTGGTTTGCTGCAGTCCCACGCATTTCAGTGTTTTCCATTTGCCACCATTAGTTAGATACAGAAGGTCTTTCTGTAGCCTTCCCTGCCGGAGAGGGCTGGTGCCTCACCCAACTACAAATCCCAGCATTCTCTAGGCTGGCTGCAAACGTGACCCGGGCTAGGGGAGGAGCTTTTCTGGCTTGCCAAGCATGTCGGCTGTGCTGCTGCGGAGGAGGAGCACCTCTCTGCTGCCTTCCTTGGCCGGTTTCTTAGGCCGGGGGGCTGCCTTGCAGGTAAGCCCTGGAGGCTTCCAAAGGACTCCCAAGACCTCCTTTCCAGGTTTCCTTCCCCTATAAATGGCGATCTAAGGGATCCCTGCCACCCCCAGGAAGCTTTGCATTGGTATTTTCCAAGGTCAAATACCATTGGTGCTCCTGGGTTCAGAATCAGTGATTTGTTTACTTTGCAGACCAGCCCACCCACTGAACTGGGTGGGATTTGCTTCCCAGTAAAAAAAAAAATGCATAGGATTGCACAGCTGATTGGGAAACACTGCTGCATAGGAGAGTCTAAATCCTGCTGGAAAAAAATCTAACTTAAGGGTGCTGTAGAATTACTGCAGTTTATTATTGATTTGTTTGTTTGTTTGTTTGTTTACAGTATTTATATACCATTTCTCTCATCCCTGTGGGGACTCATAAGCGATTTACATAAAATAATGGCAGAATTCAATGCCTTCTATATAAATAAAATGTAATGTTCGTTTGTTGGATTAACATAACTCAAAAACCACTGGGCGAATTGACACCAAATTTGGACACAAGACACCTCTCAGGCCAACAAGTGACCATCGCGGATAAAAACACTGAGAAACACAGCAGAGGGGACTTAAAAAGCAAAAAGCAAAAAAAAACCCCAAAATACATTATAACTCATGCACAAAACCACATATGTATGAACAAAAACACACATATATACACACATATATGCATACACACACACATAAAACACATACACAGAAAGGGGGAAGGAGGGAAGGAAGGAAAGAAAGAAAGAAGGGTACAGAAAGAAGGAGGGAGAGAAAGAGGGAACGAAGTAGGGAAGGAGAGAAAGAAGGAAAGAAGGGTAGAGAAGAAAGGAGGGAGAGAAAGAAGGAAAGAAGGAGGAAAGGAGAGAAAGAAGGAAAGAAAAAAGGGTAGAGAAGGAAGGAGGGAGGGAAAGAAGGAGGAAAGGAGAGAAAGAAGGGTAGAGAAGGAAGGAAGGAGAGAAGGAAATAAAAAAGTGAAAGAGGGAAGGAAGGAGTGAAGGAACTAAAGAGACAAAGAGGGAAGGAAGGAAGGAAAGAGACAAGGAAGGATGGAACCAAAGAACAAAGGAAGTGAGAAAATAAACAGGTAGAGAAGGAAGGAAGAAGAAGGGAAAGAAAAAGAGGGAAGGAAGGAGAGAGAGAAAGGAGAGAAAGAGTGAGGGAAGATTGGCCACAGCAATGCCAAGTGGGAACAGCTAGTACATACATAAACCAGATAATAAATCAAACAGATTATAGTAAAGGTAAACGTAAAGGTATTCCCCTGACATTAAATCCAGTCGTATCCAACTCTGGGGGTTGGTGCTTATCTCCATTTCTAAGCTGAAGAGCTGGCATTGTCTGTAGACACCTCCAAGGTCATGTGGCTGGCATGACTGCATGGAGTGCTGTTACCTCCCCGCCGGAGCGGTACTTATTGATCTACTCACATTTGCATGTTTTCAAACTGCTAGGTTGGCAGAAGCTGGGGCTAACAGCAGGAGCTCACCCCACTTCCCAGATTAGAACCACTGACCATTCAATCAGCAAGTTCAGCAACTCAACGGTTTAACCCACTGCGCCACCGGGGGCTCCAAACAGCATATAACTAAGCATAAATTCAATAGGACGGTTCACCCACCTACTTCATAACTGATTTTACCTAAATGTTGAATTATCAAGTTATTGTTAAATCAGTGACCTTGTTCTGTTTGGATCTGAATAATTAGATTTCAAACTAAATATGTTCACTCTGTGTCCAAAATTTTGAGTTATAAAGGAGATCTGAAAAGTAATTACTGGTAATAAGATTTTTTTTTTGTTCTTTCGATAATGTTATTTTCCCTTTCCTTCTCCTCCTTCTCTCCCCTCCCCCCCCCCAAACCCCCATAAAGCAGAGCAGGAGTTGTTCAGGATCTTCAGCTCAAGCTGTAATTTCAGCCAAACAACCCTTTCAAGTGGAATTAAAACAAGGAAAGGGCTATGCTTGGTGTGCCTGTGGCCACAGCCGAAAGCAGGTAATCCTCCTGTCTCCCTCTCAATTTTCTGTATATTCCTTTTTCTAATAGGCAACAAGAATTGTTAAATAATAATAATAGTAATAATAATAATACATCACACAGTTGTAGACGCTTGGGAAGTGTTCAACTTGTGATGTTGTGATACGAAATTCAGCATATAGATCTCATTTGCTGTGACATACTGTGCTTTTGTGTCAATAATAATAATAATAATAATAATAATAATAATAATAATAATAATAAATCACACAGTCCTAGACGCTTGGGAAATGTTCGACTTGTGAAATCCAGCATATAGATCTTGTATGCTGTGACATACTGTTTTTTTGTGTCAGTATAATAATAATGATGATAATAATAATAATAATAATAATAATAATAATAAACTATATTTATACCCCATCACCATATTCCCGAAGGGACTCGGGACAGCTCACAAAAGCACTACAAGTTGCCACACACAAAATAGCCTAAAAACAATACACAAAATAGACTGAATACAAGGAAACAGACAACAACAAATGATAAAATTAGAATTTAAAATGTATAAAATGCAGTAGTACCTGCGGGTAACTGGGCTTCTTTAAGTAATGAAGTCAAGTTCCGAAATAACAGAAGATCAACGTCACATATAACTATAGTAGATTAGTCAAAGTCAAAGGCCCATTTAAAAAGCTAGACTGAAAGGTTTGGAGAGTTGGGGCTAGGGAGGGCATTCCAGAGCCAGGGAGCCACCATCGAGAAGGCCCTCTCTCGTCCCCATCAACCATACTTTGTGGGACCAAGAGAAAGGCCTCACAGCAGATCTCAAGGCCTGCACCAGTTCATAGAAGGAGATGTGGTCTCAAAGATAGGTTGGGCCCAAAGCATATAGGGCTTTATAGGTAATAACCTGCACTTTGGATTGGGCCTGGAAACTTGTTGGAAGGCAGTGGAGCTGCTTTAATAGGGGCATGGTATGCTCCTTATAGCTAGTCCCAGTTAGTAATCCGGCAACCGACCTTTGCAGTAATAGCAGTTTCCGAGCCGTCTTCAAAGACAGCCCCATGTAGCGTGCATTGCAGTAGTCCATTCTGGATGTAACTAAGGCATGGACTTAGTTAAAGCCTTTCTTTTGACAAAATTTCAGTGCGGCATCGATCCCTTGATTTGCTGAGCATGAGTAAGAGATGTGATACTACAGCATGTAAGGCCTATGCTGTTTTGTATTAAAATAGCTCCATTATTTTCTAGAAGCATGAGGTTTAGGGATGGTAATTGTGGAGCCCTCTAAATATTGGACTCCAACTCCCAGCTTTCATCACCATTGACTAGCTAGGATTACTGATACTTGCCATCTAAAAACATATAGACGGCCACATGATTTAGGAATGATGCTTGCTATAGAAGAGAGTAAGAAACCCAAGGTGCTCCTCTCCAGATGGTTCGGCTTAGTGACCCACAAACTTGGTTCTCCAGATGTTTTAGAATTTAAATCCCATGATTCCTCTCCATATAATGTTAAATAAAGGTCCAAAACATCCCAAAAGCTAGAGTTTAGGAGCTACTGGTTTAGCCTCCACTCTGACTACAAACACTATCAACATACATTATCAGCATGGCCAATGGTGACTGTAAAATTGCAACCCAACACCTGGATGGTAAAATGTTGTCTCTTACAGAACTTCTTAACAAAAACAAAATTCCAACGGTGTAAAAGAATTGTATTAATTCAGGTTTCATAGGGACTTCCTTTCTCTGCTTCTGTGCCAAATCTGAACCAAAACAGTAAAGCTCAGCAAAGTTATGATATTTTAAAGCACTGGCTATTTTGGATTCTGGGAACTGTAGTCCAAATATCCATTTCATTGTTGCATCAATTTTAAATTAAATTACAGCTCCCAGAATCACCCAGCACTGCCCATTGTGGATTCTGGGAACTGTAGTCCAAAGGTCAATCTCATTTTTGCATCAATCCCTATAATTTCTGAGCATGAGCAAGAGACGTGATGCTTCAGCATGTGAAGCTGATGCAGGGTTGTATCAAAGAGTATTATTTCCCAGTTTTTCCAAACTTTTCCATAAAATCTCTTGGCAGTGCTGGGAGGCTGTCGTGATCTCTCTTGGTTTCAAGGGGAAACTGTATGATTCTGTTTTGCATTTGACAGCCCTTCTGTGATGGATCCCATAAAAGGAATGCCCCGAAAATGTCTCCCCTGAGATTCAAAGCTGAGGAGACAAAAGAAGCCTGGCTGTGTGGCTGCAAATGCACCAAGAACCCGCCATACTGTGATGGTACTCACAAGGAAGGTTTTGTGCAAAATGCAGAGCTCCATTCTCAACCTCAGAAGTGATGAGAAGCCATGAATGTCCTTTGATGAAATGCAAGCGATGAAGTTGGCAGGTGACCAGCCTTGGGACCAAGGCACTGTGGCACTCTCTTGCACAAGTGCTGTCCTTGCACAGTTCCTGTTCATTTCAATGCAATTTGTCAAGGAGCACTTCCCTGCTTACTGCACCATTGGTTGCCTTGGCGAAGACTCTTAAGTCTCCGTGACATAGGCCAATATTGGCCATCACTACATGGAGCAGAGAAGAAATTATTTTTGTTGTCTGTCTGGGAGGTATGAACAAGGCTAGTTCCTTCCACCACTTTTAATATTGCTGTATTGTTGAAGTCACTTGTGGAGAACAAGGACGAAATACACCTCTTCCTCCCATTTAGTTAGAATGTTGGGTTTTAAAATTGATTAATTGATGTTGGCTGCTAGAATGGAGATCATTCGTGTGTTGGCATTGGGAAAACATGCACTGAATTGATGCTAAACTTGTTAATTTGTTAATTAAATAGTAATTTTTGAAGAAACCATAGGATTTACTCATCCTTCACACATTGTGGATTGTTTGTCTGGACTGATGTGTTCATTCCAATTAGAAAACATTGATCCAGCACAGAGTTGACACACAGAAATGAGTGACTAAGAAAAAGTGTTTGGAGAAGCAAAGTTGACAAATTCTTCATTTAAAGCAGTATGAATGCTTCTGAGCAAATGCAAGACATGTTTTCTCACACTTATAAACTACAGTTAGGTTGCTATGAGTTTTCCAGGCTGTATGGCCATGTTCCAGAAGCATTCTCTCCTGATGTTTCACCCACATCTATGCCAGGCATCCTCTGAGGTTGTGAGGTCCTCTGAGGATGCCTGCCATAGATGTGGGCAAAACGTCAGGAGAGAATGCTTCTGGAACATGGCCATACAGCCCGGAAAACTCACAGCAACCCAGTGATTCCGGCCATGAAAGCCTTCCACAACACATTTATTTATTTGTTTGTTTGTTTATTACATACACTATCCCGCCCTTCTCCCCACAAGGGGACTCAGGGTGGCCTTACATAAGCATCCAGTGATGCAATCTACATATATACCAATAAAATTACAATTAAAACAGTAAAATCTGTTCATAACGTTATCCAAATTCAACAATAAATTCATTAACAATAAATTAGCGTGCCAATACACCAAAGCCAAGGCAAGAGAGTCCAGTATTGGGATGTCCAAAAGTTTTTCTTTCATATTGCTGTTCCCCTCTAGTTGAATGCCTGGTTCCAGAGCCAGATCTTCAGTTGTCTTCTAAAGGACAGAAAGGAGGTGGCCAATCTGATGTCCTTAGGGAGGGTGTTCCACAGACAGGGGGGCCATTGCCGAAAAGGTCCTGTCCCCACCAACCGCGTATGCGAAGGTGGTGGGATCGAGAGCAGGGCCTCTCCTGATGATCTTAAGTTTCGTGATGGTTCATAGCAGGAGACACATTCAGACAGGTAATCTGGGCCAGAACCGTGCTGGTTTTGTTTCCACTCCTTTTCACTGGAAGGACCTACATCTGAAGACATGGCCTGGAGTCCATAAAGGTTTGTGCCAAATAAAACCTGCTTTTTATAGATTATTATATGTCTTAACAAAATCTCGCCCCAGGATCTTTGGAGTGGAGTGTTTATACCCGGTGTTGGGAAACTAAGGCTCCTTCTACACTGCCCTTTATCCCAGGATCTGCTCCCAAATTATCTGCTTATCACAGGCTATCTGGCAGTAGAGGCTCATATAATCCAGTTCAAAGAAGATGATCTGGGATAAGATTCTGGGATATAGGGCAGTGTAGAAAGGGTCTTAGATAGAACCCGGGCTTATTTTAGTTTATTCTCCAGGTAGCTGATGAAACTTTGGCCAAAATCTTGCATTGGGAGACATATCTGTGGAGACATAATTACATTTCCCTGTGCAAAACTCCTTTTTAAGATGCACAGCTGCCTCCCAACAAGGCCATTTCTGAATTGCCAGAGAGTGGGGGATAAGCCTTGGTGAATCCAGCCTTGGAGTGTCTGTGCATGCTACTACTATAGGCAGCTGCAGCGAGCCCTTTGTGCAACAACCATAAAAGTGAATTGCGATGTCATAAATCTGACTCACAACATAAAAATTGCTGAATTGAAAGGTTGCCTATGTCTGCCTAGGCTGAAAAGGGTAGGTTTGAATCCTTTTGTTAAACTTTTTGTTAAGCCCAAAGCTAATGAGAGTATTGAGGGACTTACCAGGGTTGCTTGGGATTTAGTGGGTGACAATGCTTTGTACATTTGAAATAAAATGAGTCCAAACACATATGGCATATGGCAACTTAGGCAATACCTCGTTGGCCGAGTAGGATAGTCTTCCAGGATCAGGATTCTTGTGAGTTTGTAGGTGGCTGTGGAGCACTATTCTTGATCTGCATCTTCTTCCGCAGTGAGGGCATTGGTTTCCAGGTGGAAGATGGTCCCGGTCGGGGTTGGCTTGACGGGCCTTCCTCTTGGCACGTTTCTCTCTTTCACCCTCCATTTGTGCCTCTTCAAATTCTGCAGCACTGCTGGTCATAGCTGACCTCCAGCTGGAGCGCTCAAGGGCCAGGGCTTCCCAGTTCTCAGTGTCTATGCCAGAGTTTTTAAGATTGGCTTTGAGCCCATCTTTAAATCTCTTTTCCTGTCCACCAACATTCTGTTTTCCGTTCTTGAGTTTGGAGTAGAGCAACTGCTTTGGGAGATGGTGGTCGGGCATCTGAACAATGTGGCCAGTCCAGCGGGGTTGATGGCGGAGGATCATTGCTTCAATGCTGGTGGTCTTTGGTTCTTCCAGTACGCTGATGTTTGTCTGCCTGTCTTCCTAAGAGATTTGCAGGATTTTCCGGAGGCAGTGCTGATGGAATCGTTCCATATATATGGCATATACTGCTCAGTAGTTAGGATCATTGGATAGAAATAAATGCTATTTGCATTTATTTCTGCTCAGGTAAGTCCTTTCATGGGCGTAGAAGACTCAGTGTGATGTTCTGCCCAGAGTCCATATTTAAAATGGGTTCTCAACTTCTGGGCCTCCAGATGACTTGGACTCTTAACTCCCAGAAATTCCAGAATTCTGGAAGCCGCAGTCCCAAACATTTGGAGGAACAAAAGTCAAGAACCACTAATCTAGATGTCTTTCTACTTTTCTTACAGGATTAAGTTTCAACAGATGGTCCTGTATAGGCTCAGATCCCTTTCACACTGTTCCTATATCCCAGCATCTGATCCCAGATTCTTTGCTGATCCCAGATTATCTGGCAGTGGAGACTCATATAATCCAGTTTATGGCAGGATCAGATCCTGGATATAGGGCAATGTAGAAGGGGTCTCAGTTATCCTCCTGGAACCAGATACCTTTTGCGTTTCATTGTATTTCAACCATTTGAAGAAGGGGAGATGTTCTATTTCTGTGGCATTTTCTAGAGTGGTGAAATTTGAGTTAATAATCAATAGTCCTGAACTTTTAAAAGAGAGAGTGATTTATGAGGTTGGCTTTTTCCCCATAACACTCTCGCTGTCCAAAGGCAAAGGTCTTCTCTTTGACTTGTGACGTCTCAGCCGTTCAGAACAGTCACTTCCTGGTATCATCATTTCTGTGGCCACAGTCCCATCTTGTCAGCAATTCTTGCCTTATGTAATCAGTACATTCTTGTTCCAGTCAGATCAGGTACAAAGGCCCCTATTGACAAGGCAGAGGTCAGTGGAGAAAAAGTCAACTTTCATCACAACCTAAGTAGGTATTGGGTTAGTTTATGACAACCTTTCCTGGAACACTAATTGCTTCATACGTTATGTCAAATGCTGCTCCAGCTGGTGTACATAGATGTCTTGGTGCAGAGTGATATGGATCAAATAAAGCAGGAGGCCATTTTTGAAGGCAGACATCCATGTAGAAGCTGTGGTGATTTTGTGCCTTCAAGTAGACTGGCTTACAGTAGTCTTATCATAGGATTTTCTTTGCAAGGTTTATTCAGAGACATTTTGCCATTATTTTAAAGCTGAGAGTATGACTTGCACAACATCACGCAATGGGTGTCCATGGATGAAAGGAATTCAGATCCAGGTCTTCGGACATCCTAGTCCAAGCATTAGGTCAAAGGCTGGACATGTCAAAAATGACAAAAGATGTTGAAGCTCTGTCCTATCCCTTGATCTACACTTTTCTCCAGTTAGTCCTAAGTGTAAGGCAATTTTTCACTATAGTACAAGAGTCACTTTGTGCTTGTTCAGAAAAGAATCGTACATTGTCCAGTAGAGATAGGCAACTATGACTCCATGACTGTTTCACCATAGTTAGTGGTGAGGAATTGTGGGAGTTTATTTGTTTATTTATTTACTCTGTTTCAGTGTTCCTCAACCTGGGGGTCAGGACACGTGAGGGGGGGGGTCGCGAGGGAATGTCAGAGGGGTTACCAAAGATCATCAGAAAACACAGTATTTTCTGTTGGTCATGGGAGTGCTGTGTAGAAAGTTTGGCCCAATCCTATCGTCGGTGGGGTTCAAAATGCTATTTGATTGTAGGTGAACTATAAATCCCTGCAACTACAACTCCCAAATGTCAGGGTCTATTTCCCCAAACTCCACCACATTTGGGCATATTGAGTATTTATGCCAAGTTTGGTCCAGATCCATCATTGGTTGAGCCCACAGTGCTCAATGGATGTAGGTGAACTACAACTCCAAAACTTAAGGTCAATGCCTACCAAATCCTTCCAATATTTTCTGCTGGTCATAGGAATTATGTGTGCCAAATTTTGTTAAATTCCACGGTTGGTGGAATCCAGAATGCTCTTTGATGGTAGGTGAACTGTAAATCCCAGCAACTACAGTTCCCAAATGACAAAATCAACTCCCCCCCCCCCCCCCCCCCCCCCCCCCCCCCCCCCCAACGCCACCACCACCACCAACTCCACCAGTATTCAAATTTGGGCATATCGGATATTTGTACCAAATTTGTTCCAGTGAATGAAAAACATCCTGCATGTCAAATATTTACATTACAATTCATAACATTCACAAAATTATAGTTATGAAGTTACGATGAAAATAATGTTATGGTTGGGGACTCCAGAACATGAGGATCTGTATTCAGGAAGGTTGAGAACCACTGCTCTATTTCTATCCCGCTCTTCTCACCCTTGCAGGGGACTAAGAGTTGCGTACATAATGGCAATATTCAGTGCTGCATCATCAATAACAAAATACAATACAACAATGCAGTGAACAATTTAAACACATAAATATCATAAAACTATTAAAACTTAATTCTCAGCCCAGAGGATGTCATTTACGTACTACATTGTGCTGATTTTATATTGCACTACCCAAACCCTGATTGCAAAGCCAGGACTTTACCAGGAGGGAGGGGGTCAGTCTGATATAACTGGGGAGGGAGTTCCACAAATGAGGAGCCACCACAGAGAAGATCCTGTTCTTCATCCCCACCGGTCGTGTTTGCGATGGGGGTGGGACCAAGAGCAGGGCCTCCCCTGCAGATCTTAACTCTCCAACAGGTTCATAGGGAGAGATACATTCGGACAGGTAAGTTCGACCGGAGTCAATTAGAGCTTTATAGGCCAAAGCCAGCACTTTGAACTGTGCTCGGTTGCAGACTGGCAGTCGGGGGGGGGGGGGGGATGCTCTCTGTACATCATTCCGGTGAGCAACCTAGCTGCATCCCATTAGACTACTTGCAGCTTCCTAACAGTTTCAAAGGCAGCCCCACGTAGTGTGCATTGCAGTAGTCTATTCGGAATGTAATGAGAGTTGTAGTCAAAATACAACTGGAAGACCACAGTTACTCAATTTTTATTCTTTGTCTGAACTCTTAAATTTAGACTCCGAGGAACCTGATAGTCCTTTCTCCTGCTTTGAGGCTGAATGGTTGTTCTATTGAGTGCCAAAATGGAGCATGTGGATAAAGATTCTCATGACTAAATGTCACAAGAAAACATATAATCTACCAAGCATTCCTAAAGGCATTCCCAACATTCAAAAGTTTTGGACAGCTATTTTCTGCCTGATACTGCGGGGGGGGGGGGACATCGTAGTAGCCTGCATGTCTCAACAATGGATAGATACACACCCTGAGGGTTTCATGTTATCTAAAGGCTAGGGCTTTACTCCAGAAGCTCATTAAACCAAGTTTCTAATTCTTGCAGGGTGAGATCATAGGGGGAAAGTGTGGGGGAGAAACACAAAATCTCATAGAAGCCTTTGGCCTTTTGGAAGATTGAGCACTGAAAAATGTTCAGCTCAAAAATGCGGAGGATCTCCTTTCTCCAAAACGAAATGAGATTTGCTGGCCTGCAGAGGCAAGTTGGCACAATAGGGACAGACCCCAACTGCCCTGCACAAGAAGGGTAACTAGCCACCCAATCAACCTTGTAGTATGAAAGGTCCCTTTGGAGCAACATGTTAGGAAACCCACACAGGTCTTGTCTCAAAAAAAGATAAGGCAAAGGTAAAGGTTTTCCCTGACATTAAGTCCAGTCGTGTCCGACTCTGGGGTGTAGTGCTTATCTCCATTTCTAAGCGGAAGAGCTAAAGTCCATAGCCACCTCCCAGGTCATGTGGTCAGCATGACTGCATGGAGTGCCATTACCTTCCCACCGGAGCAGTACCTATTGATCTACTCACATTTGCATGTTTTCAAACTGCTAGGTTGGCAGAAGCTGGGGCTAAAAGCAGGAGCTCAACACACTCCCCGGATTCAAACCTGCGACTTTTCGGTAACTAAGTTTAGAAACTCAGCGGTTTAACCCACTGTGCCACTGGGGCTCCCAAAAAAGATAAATAGCCAGAAAAATCAGCAAAAAATGTTAAGAGATCATTTCTGCTACCACCTGTCAAGAGGGGTTCTTCCATTTGTCTAATGTGGGAGCTGACCCTCGTTTTTCTTAAATCTTAACTAATCCCATTGTTATCCCAACTAGAGTGTACGCATTGAATAAGTGAGAATTATTGGGTTGTTGTTACCTCACTACCTCTGAGGATGCTTGCCATAGATGCAGGCAAAACGTCAGGAGAGAATGCCTCTAGAACATGACCATATAGCCCGAAAAAACCTACAACAACCCAGTGATTCCGGCCATGAATGCCTTCGGCAATACAGAGAGAATTATTGTTTTCTCAACATTCAAAGCTATGAAATGGGTTAATTCTAGTTGGGATTAAACAATAGGATTCAGGCTGTTATAGCCCCTCTTTGCTTCAATATACTTCCAGATCCATAGCAAAGAAGGGTTCCAGCCAGGCTGGATTTTTCCAGTTTGTTGGCTGCCCTAAGCATTTATCTTTTTGGTATTCTTCCCAACCGTCTATACAATAATACTCTTGGCCAGTGTGCGTGCATACAGGATAACCAGAGAACAAGGAAAGGGAAAACAGGAAAAGACCAACTTTTTTTCCCCTGTGATCAGAAGCTTTGTATAATGACTCATTTCCTGGTCAGCCAAACTTTTTTGACATGTTTTTGCATTGTGCTGAGACAGGAAGGAAAGAATGACGTCCCTCCTCTAGCAGGTCAACAAACTACCTCTGGCGGGTTGCTTTTCAAAGAATTACTACAATCTATTCACAACAGTTGGTTGTTTCAAAGACAGAAAGCTTTGTATAGGATATTAAGTCCAGTCATGTGTGACTCTGGGGGTTGGTGCTGATCTCCATTTCTAAGATGTAGAGCCGGCGTTGTCCGTAGACACCTCCAAGGTCATGTGGCCAGCATGACTGCATGGAGCGTCGCACCGGGATTGTGGCGCAGCTGGCTGAGTGTCAGCTGCATTAAGATCACTCTGACCAAAAGGTCATGACTTCGAAGCCAGTCCGAGTTGGAGTGGGTTTCCAACCAATTGTGTAGCCTGTTGTCGACCTTTGCAACCCGAAAGACAGTTGCATCTGTCAAGTAGGAAAATTAGGTACCACCTTCAAGTGTGGGGAGGCTAAATTAACTGATTTATGAGGCCATAAAGAAGACTCCAGCAAAAGCATTCCAGCAGGGAAGCATGCGGAAATGCTTCATCAGCGTCGCAGATGGACGATTAAAGCGACAGCTCCCCTGGCGGCCAGAAAAACTTAAATAGCCTCTGTGTATGTCTGTATATGTTTGTATGTCAAAAATTGGCATTGAATGTTTGCCATATATGTGTACACTGTAATCCACCCTGAGTCCCCTGCGGGGTGAGAAGGGTGGAATATAAAAGCTGTAAATGAATAAATAAATAAATAAATAAATACCTAATGCTAATGCTTTTTGTGTTAAGCCGCTTTGAGTATCCTACGGGAGAAATAAAGCAGGGCATAAATAAATGTAATAATAATAATAACACCGTCAGGAGAGAATGCTTCTGGAACATGGCCATACAGCCTGGAAAACTCACAGCAACCCAGTGATTCCGACTATGAAAGCCTTCGGCAATACAACAGCAACAATAATTCCCAGAAAATCTCATGGAATTCATGGGATTACCATAAGCTGGCAGGTGACTTGAAGGCATTCCAAAAGGAATAGACAACTGCAACATAATTGGGGGGGAGGGGGGGACTTTTAACCAAGATTTTCTATGTGTGTTCAAGTTGCTTGTCAATGTATGATGACCCTATGGATTTTATAGGGGTTTCTTAAGCAAGGAACACCAATTGGTTCCTTTGAAATATAGCCTACAACACCTGGAATTCATTGGCCTATTCAAGTACTAAGGGCTAACTGCATAGCTTCCAAGATCAGACAAAATCTGGTCCCTTTATGGTATGGTTAGTGCTATTCAACATGGTGCTACTCAACATGGTGGTCTGAGGACTAGTGCCAAATTCCAAGCTACTGACTGTCAGTTTGCAGTGAATTTCCAAGAAATAAAGAAACCTTTATTATTAATAAGCAATAATAATAATAATAATAATAATAATTTAATAATTCATATTTTAATTGATTGATTTTAAGTGTAATTGTTTATTTGGTATATAGCATCAAATCGCTGCCTGCTGTAAGGCCGCCTTGAGTCCCCTCCAGGGTGAGAAAGGTGGGATATAAATATGGTAAAAATAAATAAATAAATAAATAAATAAATAAATAAATAAATAAATAAATAAATAAAATGATGCTGGCCCCTAGGACATTAGGGGGGCAACATCAGCAAGCTTAAATGCTAGTCTAGCTCTTCTCAGGTAAAAGTTATTTTGGAGCACTCCTTAATGGTTCAGAATAAGACAACCTTAGAAAGAAAAGCCAGTAAGAATAAATATAGCTTTTATTGATATTTAAAATAAATCTGCAAATGCAAAAATATTGTATTCCTATGAGAAAAAAATAAAGCTTTTAAAAACTTCCCCAAGTATGCTGGTTTTAGTCCGTCCCAATGGTCTTCTTTAAAACAAGGAATCATCCTCGGACCAGTTGAATTAAATATCCAATAAATTACTTCTGACAATATTTTCAATAAAATAACTTAATCAGAGAAATAATTTACTTTGATGGTTTCATACGTTAAATAGATATAAATAAAGTAATGTTCTTTAAAGGCTTGCTAGTGAGGCAAGGGTATCTGGGAAGAGATCCAGACTTCAGATGGTCAATAGTAATATTTTTCTCAAGAAAGGGTTGGACTAGATGGCCCATGCAGTCTCTTCCAACGTTATGATTTTTAGGACAAGATGGATTCCGCAGTCTCAGATTCAAATTGGTCTCATTGTCACGTGCAGCGAACAGCCTTGCGTGGTTGGGCTACGACCTGTGGTCCATATAGCTTCTCAGCTCTCTTCTCAAAGGCTGATACCATCTGCTTGACTACCTCACTGAAGAAGAGGTTGGCCAACTGTGAGTGGAGAACTGACTTGAATTCAAAGGAGACCTGGAGGAAGAAAATAAGATTAAAGAAATTAATATGACACATAGTGTATGTACATGTATGTATACATAGGAGGACATGCTTCTTTAAGTATGTGCTAATAGAAACCATTTCATTGGGCATTATCTTCAACAGACCTAGCTCACCTAATAAACAGAGTAAGGCATTGACCACAGAGAGCAGAGCTAAGTATATCATGAAAAGAGCATGAAAAGAGCAATGTATTTGTTAGGTTCTTGTGGGTTTTTTCGGGCTATAGAGCCATGTTCTAGAGGCATTTCTCCTGACGTTTCGCCTGTATCTATGGCAAGCATCCTCAGAGGTAGTGAGGTCAAAATGTATTTGTTATATAGAGAGTCACTTTGTGCTTGTTCAGAGAAAAATCATAGATTGTCCAGTAGAGATGGACAACTATGACTCTATGACTGTTTCACCATAGTTAGTTGTGAGGAATTGTGGAGTTTATTTATTTATTTATTTTCTCTGTTTCATTGTTTCTCAACCTGGGGGTTGGTGCCCTAGGGGGTCGCAAGGGAGTGTCAGAGGGGTCACTAAAGACCACCAGAAAACACAGTATTTTCTGTTGGTCATGGGGGTTCTGTGTAGGAAGTTTGGCCCAATTGTATCATCGGTGGGGTTCATTATGACCTTTGATTGTAGGTGAACTATAAATCCCAGCAACTACAACTCCCAAATGTCAAGGTCTATTTTCCCCAAACTCCAACAGTGTTCACATTTGGGCATATTGAATATCCGTGCCAAATTTGGTCCCATCCCATCATTGTTTGAGTCCACAGTCCTCTCTGGATGTAGATGAACTACAAATCCAAAATTCAAGATCAATGCCCACCAAACCGTTCCAGTATTTTTTGATGGTCATGGGGGTTCTACATGCCAAGTCGGGTTTAGTTCAATTCTGTCATTGGCGGAATTCAGAATGCTCTTTGATGGTAGGTGAACTATAAATCCCAGCTACAACTACAACTCCCAAATACAAAATCAATCCTCTGCCCCAACTCAAATTTGGGCATATCAGATATTTGTGACAAATTTTGGTCCAGTGAATTAAAATACAGCCTGCATATCAGATACTTACATTACAATTCTTAACAGTAGCAAAATTACAGTTATGAAATAGCAAATAAAATAATTTAATGGTTGGGGGTCACCACAACATGAAGAACTGTATTCAGGGGTCACATTAGGAAGGTTGAGAACCACTGAGGTAGAGAAATAAGTGCTTATGAAATATTTTCTCTCCTGTGTTGAAATAATTTGTCTGGTTTAGGAGTCACTGCACCTTAAACTGGGTGAACATGTAGATTACCAAATATCTGACTGAAGGTGTAGATAACATTCAGTCAGATATTTGGTAATCTGACTTAAGGTCATCTACACCATAGAATTATTGCAGTTTGACATCAGTTTAGCTCCATGGCAATGGAATCTTGGGATTTGTAGTGTGGTGTGGCACCAGCATTCATTGACAGAGAAAGTCAAAGACCTTGTAAAACTATAGCTAGTAGAAACTGGGCATATCCTGCTGTAATCTCAATACCATCTCTCAGTTGTGGTTTTATATTGTATTTAATGTGTTTATGTGCATTTTGATATTGTGTATATTGACTTGCTGCCTGTAAACAGCCTTGAGTTGCTGAAAGGCTGAGAAAGGCAGTATACAAAGACAATAAGTAAGTAAGTAAGTAAAAAAATAAATAAATATCTACTCTGGAAAACTTTGTAAAGAAAGTAAATGTTTCCTTTCAGTTGAACTATCTAAAAAAAAGACACATTTGAAATAAAACATGTGGCACATCGTAATGGTACATTCAAGGATTAAAGGCATGCCACAATTTCACAAAAAGGAAAGAAAATCAGTGGCTATTCGGTGCTGGAGGCAAATTCCAATTTTGTGAAAAAACAGGTTTCGCTACCTACAGGTAAGTTTCTAGGCTTTGTGGTTGTGACATACACTTCTAAAAACTTTAAAAGACAATCGGTGATAGACGATTAAGACTTTCAAAGTGTAATCTAAGATTATCTAATCAATCAGTGACACGTTTACAAAGCCACCGTAAAAACTTCACGTTACATCACTTTGCAATGAAACTGGACTTTGAGAACTGGCAACCCTTATCACCCATTCTATTGGCTTTGGAAGGCACACCCCCAACCGGCAACTGGCACACAAAGGGTACTTACGTAAAACTTAAGCATACAGGTGTCGGCTTTTCCGGGCTTGAACTGCCACAGCGTCTCCAAATGCTGAAATAATTGCCCATCTTTACTCACGGCCTGCAAAGTAGACAAAGCAACATCAGGTTAGTGCCTACTGTTGAGAAATCAGATCAAACAAAAAAAAAGCACCAATTGCACTTTGAGTAACTGTCTGCTTATGTAAGAACTTAGGCAATCTTTCATCCTCCCCGACAGCAGAGAGGAAGTACCCTGACTTGTATTACATATGGGTATAATGAGACTCCTATGAAGGGAGAGTAGAGTCTGCTTGCTGGCCAAGTTCCCTTTATGTCACCAAAAGTAATGAGACAAGGAGAGGGGAAAATACTGCATAAATGGTATGTGCACTAATTTAAATTAAAAAATAATTTACAATACATTTCCCCATTGTGGGAGACATCTCATCATTTTTGTGTCCAGGCACAAATGTTGCCAGGACTGGAGCATCCTTGGCCTTGAGATTTGAGGATCAACATCTGACTCATGTTCTGGTGATGTCATGGATGTCCAAAGAACGAAACTTTTCTGAGCAAGTTCTGAACACAAAACAGGCCGCCGTGGCTACAAGGAGCCATATGTACGTAAGTATGTATATTAGAGGATCATGCTTATGTCAGAAAACTTGTGTCCTTCACCCAAAGAACTGGAGAACAGTGCCAGGCCTTGAAAACTGGGAAACCTACCAGGGACTAACTGTTGGCCAATGTCAACATTTCTATTGGAGTTTAGACATTGGAGGAGGCAAAATGAAGCCATTGCCTCCTCCCAGTAACTATTCTGTCTCACCAAATGAAGTTTTCCTTCAGTCCCCAGATTTCTAGCATTGCAGTCACTGAAGCCTTCAATTAAATATTTAGGAATTTAGGCATTCCAAGAAACATACAACTAAAGTTCCCGAGAGAACTAAAACATAGCACATAGCAGATTTGTGAGTGTGAATTATTTTCAGTGTTTGCAGTGCTAGAAATCTTGGCAATGAACCAAAAATTCATCTGGGGAAGAATGCTTATTGCCACTCATTTAAGTTTTGTGAGCTGTTTTGCTCCCCAGACTTGGTAAAAGATGGAGGAAGAGGAGAAGGAGGAAGAGAAGGGATGAAAATTCCCCATAGTCACATCTCTTCCTTCTACTCTTTCCTCTTTATTTTTTATCTTTTAATTGGACTTGAACTAAAGGGACCATTAAACAGAGCAGGGATAGACTCCTTTGACAGGCCATAGAGCCATGCCACACACACAATCACACAGATACACTCCTCTCTATCACTTCCAACATTTGGATTTGGCAACCTGAATGTAGCAGAGATGGGTGGGAATAGACAGTAAAACTTCTGGTTGATGGGAAGTTGCCTGTCAATAGTTTCAACACAGGAGCCTGTCACACTGAAGTGTTCACACACTCTATGACAACAGTATCGTATGACATAGAAACAAATTTAGGTACTGATGAAGTCACGCTTTGAAGTTTCACATAGCCATTGACAAAGCTTATAGTAGCATTGTCGTAGTTTCTGAAAAAAACATGATGAAATCTTTTCTGCCAGGGTGTTAAGGCTTTGCATGTGAAGGAATGCAAATGTAAGATTGGGGAAGTGAGTCAAGAAACTGTTGTATGATTAGCTGAAACTAGATCCAAACCGGTTTAACAGCTCCCAAATAAGCAGTTGGGGTGAGGCAATGGGTTATTCTGGGCCAAAAGCTACTAACAGATGTTCAACATAGTCACTAAAACCCACAAAAGCCAGTGTTCTCTAAGAGACATTGACAGCTCTGTCAATTTCAGATTGGCAATATGAGCTCCAAGCTTAGGCATCCCAAAGCTTGGTCTCCTCAATTATATCTTGAGACTTCAGTGCTGTTGTGTGCTTTCAATTGCTGTGACATATAGTTAGTAAAGGTAAAGGTTTCCCCTGGCATTAAGTCTAGTCATATCCGACTCTGGGGGGGGGGGGGTGCTCATCTCCATTTTTCTAAGCCAAAGAGCGGTGTTGTCCGTGGACACCTCCAAGGTCATGTAGCCGGCATGACTGCATGGAGTGTTGTTATCTTCCCACAGAAGCAGTACCTATTGATCAACTCACATTTGCATGTTTTTGAACTGCTAGGTTGACAGAAGCTGGGGCTAACAGCGGGAGCTCACCCCACTCCCCAAATTTAAAATGCCGACCTTTCGGTCTTCAAGTCCAGCAGCTCAGCGGTTTAACCCGCTGCACCACCAGAGGGCCCTTATGACATATGGTTACTCTAACAGAATTTTTGTGGCAAAATTTCTTCAGAACACATTTTATGTTGTCTTTGCCTAAGGCTGAAAGAGTATAACTCACCCAAGAACACCCAGTGGATTTCAATGTATGACTAAGGTTTATACCAGGGTCGTTCAAAGTCCTGGACCAATATTCAAACCACTACACTACTTCTTTTGTTGTGTGCTTTGAATCATTTTGAACCTATGACAACCCTAAGACAAAACCCTATCATGGGGTTTTGTTGGCAAATTTTGTTTAGAGGGGGTTTACCTTTGCCTTTCTCTGTGGCTGAGAGAGTGTGACTTGCCTTAGGTGAAGTGGCCAAGCAGAGATTTGAACTATGACCTCCAGAATCATGATCTCTGATCAAAGACGATGGAAGATATCATAAAAAACACCATAAACCCAAGCAGGACAAGGGAGATTTTGGGGAGTTTCTTCTAATCAGTAGCACTAGTGTTTTCCAACCTTCAATTTCTATATTTCTATCTATATATTTCTATCTATATATTTCTATCTATATATTTCTATCTATATCTTCTATCTATCTATCTATCTATCTATCTATCTATCTATCTAGTCCAATAGTGTCTGATTCTGAGGTTTGGTGCTCATCTCCATTTCTAAGCTGAAGAGCTGGCATTGTCCATAGACATCTCCAAGGTCATGTGGCCAGTATGACTTCATGGAGCACTGCTATACACACACACACACATATGCACACACGCACACGCGTGTGCGCGCGCACACACGCACACACATACGCACGCACACACACACACACACACACACACACACACACACACATATATATATATATATTCACAACCATGGTATAGAGGAGCCATCACTCAGAGTTGGAATGTGACACTGATTGATTGGCAAAGACAATGACATCAGAACCCTGTTGTTTAGTCTGAATTAGACCCACTGAATCAACAGATAAACAGTGAGTCAATATGTAAGAAAATCCAGTCCGTGTAATGCCTCTATACTTGTTAGGACTAGCAATGGGATTTAGATCATTGTTTGCCACACAAGTTTTGTTTTACTTGCAGTCTTTGGAAGGGCATGGAGTTGAATTTTCCCATTCAAAATCAATTATAATGTGCCCATGGGTGTAATGCAAATGTTTGTTATTGCTAACCATTTTATTTGATGCTATTGTCTGTCTGTATTTTATTTTGCCTTATTGTAATTTACTTGGGCTGGCCTCATGGTAGCCACCCCAAGTCCCTTTGGGGAGATGGTGGCGGGGTTTAAATAAAGTTTTATTATATTATATTATTGTTATTTTGGGATGGCCTGGCCTTGAATGGGCAATTAAGAGTGATTAGCTTTAGAAAAGACCTGCTTCTATTATAGAAAAAATTGACTACAACTGATCTGTAGATATGAAGCCACTCAGCTACCTGTATTTTTTCATTCTCCTTTGTGCATATTGTGATAAGCATCTGCATTTCATATTTCATCACTGTGTCACTGATACTCTGAGTCATCTCTCTAGGAAGGGTGAAGAATGCTGAGCTCTCTGCCAAGTTTACAACTTATAGGTTTCTATGAGAGAAGCCAAAATCACCTCTGCCCATTCCTTGCCTAACAAAACCCTGTGAAATTCATAAGGTTGCCATAAGACAACAGGAACTTGAAGGCACACACATATAATGCTAGACACAAGAGTCTCGTGGAAAGCTTCATCCTTAGGTGGTAACATATATGGTTTCACTTGAAAATGGTGCAAGGGTGGACATTTTAGGCTTTTCCTGTCAGAATATTAAAAATTAACTGGTTTTTTTATTACAAAAGCATGAGTCAAGCACTGAGAGTTAGTAGGTCAAAGCCTGTTAGAGTCAGTGGGCCAAAACTAGTGTCATCCTGAGGAGAGTGAGCAGGCCGAAGCCTATCAGAGTTAGTGGGCCAAAGTTAGTGTCGTCCTGAGGAGTGTGAGGTAAACCTCTGTGTGAGAGAGGCCTTGTGTAAGAAAGCTCCAGTGTGAAGGCTGCTGTGTGTAAAGCCTATTAGAGTCAGTGGGTCAAAGCTAGTGTCATCCTAAGGAGAGTGAGTAGGCTGAAATCTGTCAGAGTTAGTGGGCAAAAATTAGTGTCGTTCTGAGGAGTGTGAGGTAAACCTCTGTGTGAGAGAAGCCTTGTGTAAGAAAGCTCCAGTGTGAAGGCTGCTAAAGCCTATTAGAGTCAGTGGGTCAAAGCTAGTGTCATCCTAAGGAGAGTGAGTAGGTCAAAACCTGTAAGAGTTAGTGGGCCAAAGTTAGTGTCCTCCTGAGGAGTATAAACCTCTGTGTGAGAGAAGCCTTGTGTAAGAAAGCTCCAGTGTGAAGGCTGCTGCGTGTAAACTACTATGTATTTGTTTATTTGTGTTATGGAAACCTTGTTGTTGTGTAACTATATTATTTTACTACAAAGAAAATATAACATTGGTATGTATGTTTTTGTTCTTTTCGTCACTTCGGGATACTGGTGCTGTGTCACACTGCTGCTAATAAGTTACTCTGCTATACATTCATAGGAAGGGTCTTTGGTTAATAAGCCAATTTGCCCAACATTTCCTGCTCATTGAACACTGGATCTGTACCCTAAAGTCCTGCCCCGGTGACACCTCTGACTGAAAAGATGGAATTTGAGGACAGAACTTCCAGGGAACAAGTATATCTTCTGGAAAAACCAAATAGGGCATAGTAGACCACAACAATACATCATCCAGAAAACATCCCCCAAATATTGCTCCAATCTGACAATGCTCCTTACCCGGATCTGATAATTCGGCACTGCGGAAATCTCAGACACATAGCGCTCTACCACTGGAGGGAATCCCACTTCCAGTTCCGCCTCTGAGAATTCATTACGATGGGAAATAACACGGGAGGAGGTACACCAAGGTACAAAGCGCTGATAGCTGCCCACATCTGCCACAATGTCATACATCTGGTCAACAGAATACCTGAGAGAGACAGAGAAGTAAGGGACAGGATGAGTAAGAATGAATGAACAGTCTGGATGTGAAGGAGGAAATAGGAAAGGACAAAGATTTTCACAGACATGATCTTTACACACGTTCACACTCTTCCAAATATTTATGAGAATTGCTCAGTTTAAGCCATAGATCACTATGAAGATCATTTTGACATCTGGAATTCACATCATCTATATAAATAAAAATGTAATGTTCGTTTGTGGGTTTAACATAACTCAAAAACCACTGGACAAATTGACACCAAAATTTGGACACAATACACCTATCAGGCCAACAAGTGACCATCACTCATAAAAACACTGAAAAACACAGCAGAAGAGACTTTAAAAGCCAAAAAACAAAAATTACATTACAACACATGCGCAAAACCATATATATATACACAAACATACACATACATGGCCACAGCAATGCGTGGCAGGGGACGGCTAGTAATCAATAAAAACATATTCTGTTGGGTTTCATCCCTGGACTGCACAAATCTTTGTGTCATCAAGTTTCTAGTCCTCAGTGAGTAGCTAGACTAGAGACAGGACTAAACTCGGGGATTCCTTTCCCCCACATTCCTATGCATGTTTCCCACTGCTGGCCACTGTCTCCTCTCCCTTTGATGTTGTAGTAATGGAATTCTGTGAGGGAACTTCCTCTTAAGCTTAAGTTTTAATGCCCACCACTGTTTCTTCTGCTTTCCTTTCTCCCAGTGAGAAAGCATTCTGAAAAATGTATTTATTTATTATTTACTAGCTGTCCCCTGCCACTCGTTGCTGTGGCCCAATCTGTGTATATGTGTTTTGTGTGTGTATATATGCGTATTTGTGTGTATATATTTATGTATATGTGTATATATGTGTGTTTGTGTATATATGTGGTTTTGCGCATGTGTTGCAATGCATTTTTTGTTTTTTGGCTTTTAAGTCTTTTCTGCTGTGTTTTTCAGTGTTTTTATAGATGATGATCACTTGTTGGCCTTATAGGTATATTGTGTCCAAATGTGGTGCCAATTCGTCCAGCGGTTTTTGATTTATGTTAATCCCACAAATGAACATTACATTTTTATTTATATAGATTTATTTACTATACTTGTATACAACCTTTCTCAGCCTATCGGCAACTCAAAGTGGCTTACAAGTCAGTTAACATAATAGCAAAATACAAGTTAAGCATTAAAACAATATAAAACCACAATAGAAACAATAAAACCAACATCATTATCATCAGCGTTTTCTAGTTTAAAAAGTTGTCCAATTCCATTGTCAAGTGATTCCATTTTCTATGTCAGTTAGTCTGCATTTGTAAACACTTGCTCACATAACCATATCTTAACTTGTCTCTGAAATGTTAAGAGTGAAGGAACAGATCTAATCTCCTTAGGGAGGGTGTTCCATAGCGAGGGGCCACCACAGAGAAGGCCCTGTCTCTTGTTCCCGCCAGACGTAATGTAGCTGCACAGACTTTTTGGCCTGTAGGCAAAATGGTAGCTGGATGGACCTTTTGACCTTTTACCTTCTTTTGAAGATGAGATTTAAAAAGATAGTTAGCTCCAAGACATTTCTATCAAGAATGTTTTTTTAAAATAGATATTTTTGAACCTAAAGCTCTAACTCTGCAATCCGGAGCCATCATAAAGATTAGAAGGCTATCCCTTCTCACCACACGCAAGTTTTTGCTGGTTATGGAGTTTTACTCCTGGTACTCTGCTACATTTTGGTGGAATTACCCTAAATGAGGGTTATTTTTGAGCCTAACAGCTCAGATTCCCCAACATATTCATAGTACAGCAAGCCAGGGCCAAGTTCTGACTCTATGTTGACACCATGCCTCTCCATAGGGAGAGAGAAGGGAGAGAAGAAAGATTGAACTCCCTTCATGTGGAAAACATGCTAAGGAGTCGAGTTTTAGTTTTTCCTTGGCATCCTCAATTTGGACATTCATCCTGTCATCTGGACTCCCAGCCCCTTACACAGAATATAGACAGTCCACTGCTTCTTTAAGGATGAAGCTAGAGCAGGTCATAATGTGGCATACTTACGGGAGCTGACGGACTTCTGCATACTCTATTTGCTTGGCAGCAAGTAGTGGGGCTGCCAGGCTCAGAAAAGGACGGGTTTGCTGCCTTGTGCCTGATGCAGAGACCAGGAAAGGGCAGGCGTTTGGACTCGGAGGAGCAAGGTTCCTGCTGCAGCTTAAGTGGCGGCAATGTGGCAAACCCAGTCTGTGGGAAAATCAGGAAGGAAACACCAATGGTTAGAAAAGCAATGAATAAACCCTCATTTATGTACAATATAAAGTATTGTGGCATCTTTAAGGTAAGCAAATTTTATTATTGGGTTGCTGTGAGTTTCCCAGGCAATTTTATTATGGTGCAAACATTCAAGAATCATATCTACATTAGTAAAGGTAAAGGTTTTCCCTTGACATTAAATCCAGTTGTGTCCGACTTTGGCGGTTGGTGCTCATCTCCATTTCTAAGCCGAAGAGCCGCCGTTCTCCGTAGACACCTCCAAGGTCATGTGGCCAGCATGACTACATGAAGCGCCATTACCTTCCTGACAGAGTGGTACCTATTGATCTACTCACATTTGCATGTTTATGAACTGCTAGATTGACAGAAGCTGGGACTAACAGCGGGAACTCATCCTACTCCCCGGATTCAAACCGCCGCTCTTTCAGCCAGCAAGTTCAGCAGCTCAACAGTTTAAACCACTGCGTTACCAGGGGCTCCTACAAAATGTTTTGGCAATAGTTGATTGTATGAGTGGGTAGGAGATCGTGGACAATTCTGGAGTATTTTAGAATTTGGAATTCCAGATCAGGGATGCTCAACCTGTATCACGGAGAGACCTTACAGCACATTTGAGACTAAGGAGGAGAAAAAATTTGGTAGCATGAACTTCATCAGAACTTCATCAGTCTGAACTGAGTCTACAAAAGTTGATGACACAATTTTCTTTTTCTCAATTAGTCTCAAAGTTATGACAAGAGGCATGCGCAAACCTTTGCCCTCCACGTGTTTTGGACTGCAACTCCCACAATCCCTAACAACCTCTGCCCCTTTCCTTTTCCTCCTCAGCCACTTAAGTGGCTAAGGGGGGAAAGAGGCTGTTAGAAATGGTGGGATTTGAAGTCCAAAACACCTGGAGGAAGGCCAAAGTTTGTTCATGCCTGTGCTACAAGATTCCTTTCCATACTGATCTAGACTAACATAGTACTTACTTGAATTAGTAGTTATTTAACTTTGAATTAGTACTAGAAAGTCAAATAAGTTGTCCAACCTCAAAAAAAAATCTTGCTGACTGCAAATGGAAATTTTTAGGCTTAGCCTTGGAATAAATCCCCTTTAATCCTTTGCTTTGAGCAGAAGTGGCAAGGCACTCAGAGCTAACTCTTGTTTAGTAATAATTTTTGAAAGTCCATTAAGAAAATAAAGGGTCATAATTATATTACAGGCAATCTCCACAATAGGTTCTGTAGGTTTGTTCTTCAGTTGAAGTTGTATATAATTCAGAACAGGTACATTTTAAAGGGTAACTCCAGTTAACTATCTATCGATCATCTATCGATCTATCTATCTATCTATATCAGTTTTGGATGGCATAGGGAAGGGTGAACACCCCTGTGGTATTTGTTTTGCTCTCTGTGCCGCTAATCAGACGATGTCACTTCACTTTCTGTCCCTGTGATACTTGGATTTTGAGGAGAGAGATATTGACATGCTGGAATGTGTCCAGAGGAGGGCGGCTAAAAGGGACTGGAGAACAAGCCCTATGAGGAGCGGCTTAAAGAGCTGGGCATGTTTAGCCTGAAGAAGAGAAGGCTGAGATACACAGACTGGTGTTGGGAGACAATCTTGGATCTGAACCAGCGTTTCTCAACCTGGGGGTCGGGACCCCTGGGAGGGGGTCATGAGGGGGTGTGAGAGAGGTCACCAAAGACCATCAGAAAACACAATATTTTCTGTTAGTCCTGGGGGTTCTATAAGGGAAGTTTGGCCCAATTCTATAATTTGTGCTCTTTGATTGTAGGTGAACTATAAATCCCAGCAACTACAACTCCCAAATGTCAAGGTCTGTTTTTCCCCAATTCCACCAGTGTTCACATTTGGGCATAGTGAGTATTTGTGCCAAGTTTGGCCCAGATCCATCATTGTTTGAGCCCACAGTGCTACAAGAAAGGAGATTCCATCTGAAAATGAGGAAGAACTTCCTAACTGTGAGAGCCGTTCAGCAGTGGAACTCTCTGCCCCGGAGTGTGGTGGAGGCTCCTTCTTTGGAAGCTTTTAAACAGAGGCTGGATGGCCATCTGTCAGGGGTGATTTGAATGCAACATTCCTGCTTCTTGGCAGGGGCTTGGACTGGATGGCCCATGAGGTCTCTTCCAACTCTTTGACTCTATGATTCTATGCTCTCTGGATGTAGGTGAACTACAAGTCCAAAACTCAAGGTCAGTGCCCACCAAACCCTTCCAGTATTTTCTGTTGGTCATGAGAGTTCTTTGTGCCAAGTTTGGCTCAATTCCATCATTGGTGGAGTTCAGAATGCTCTTTGATTGTATGTGAACTATAAATCCCAGCAACTACAACTCCCAAATGACAAAATCAACCCCTTCCCGACCCTACCAGTATTCAAATTTGGGCATATTGGGCATCTCTTACCGGTTTCCTTTGGAACGGCGCGCCAGGTTGGAGCCAAAGCGGATCACAATGGAAGCGGTCCCTCTCCCTGCCATGCTTCAACTTCTTTCTACTCGGCCCAAGTTAGGTCTGTCTGATCCCGGCTCTTGCGGACTTAAAGCACCCCCCGAGCCCTGCCCCCGTCCCCGCCCAAGAGGGGTGTGTGTGCCTCCGTCAGAGACAGTCCCCTTCGCGCTTCCTTCCACGCCTTCTTCTGGATGAAGCAACCACCAGTTAGTTCCTTCTCGGATAGGCAGCACAGTCAAGGATACAGCTTCCACTCCGGGTCCAGTGACGTCACTAGAGTTAGCATATTGATTTATCGTATCAGGAGTGAACCAATGCATTTGAGAAAACACAAAGTTTAAAATGTATTGTCGAAGGCTTTCATGGCCGGAATCACTGGGTTGTTGTAGGTTTTTTCGGGCTGTATGGCCATGTTCTAGAGGCATTCTCTCCTGACGTTTCGCCTGCATCTATGGCAAGCATCCTCAGAGGTCGTGAGGTCTGTTGGAACTAGGAAAAAAGGGTTTATATATCTGTGGAATGACCAGGGTGGGACAAAGGACTCTTGTCTGTTGGAGCTAGGTGTGAATGTTTCAACTGACCACCTTGATTAGCAGTGCCTGGGACAATCTTTTGTTGAGAGGCAATTAGATGTCCCAGATTGTTTCCCTTCTGTTGTTTTGCTGTTGTAATTTTAGAGTTTTTTAATACTGGTAGCCAGATTTTGTTCATTTTCATGGTTTCCTCCTTTCCGTTGAGATTGTCCACATGCTTGTGTATTTCAATGGCTTCTCTGTGTAGTCTGACAGGGTGGTTGTTGGAGTGGTCCAGCATTTCTGTGTTCTCAAATAAAATGCTGTGTCCAGGTTGATTCATCAGGTGCTCTGCTATGGCTGACTTCTCTGGCTGAAGTAGTCTGCAGTGCCTTTCATGTTCCTTGATCCGTGTTCAGGCAGTGCTGCGTTTGGTGGTCCTTATGTAGACTTGTCCACAGCTACATGGTATACAGTCGACTCCTGCAGAAGCGAGAGGATCCCTCTTGTCCTTTGCCGAACAAAGCATTTTCTTGGATTTTCTTGGTGGGTCTGTAGATAGTTTGTATGTTGTGTTTCCTCATCAGCTTCCCAATGCGGTCCATGGTTCCCTTGATGTATGGCAAGAACACTTTTCCTCTGGGTGGATCTTCGTCTTTACTCTCGTGGCTTCTTCTCGGTCTTGCAGCTCTTCTGATGTCTGAGGTGGAGTATCCATTGGCCTGTAGAGCCCAGTTGAGGTGGTTCAGTTCATCTTGAAGGAGGTGTAGTTCTCAGATTCTTTTTGCTACGTTCAGCAAAGGACAAGAGGGATCCTCTCACTTCTGCAGGAGTCTACCATATACCATGTAGCTGTGGACAAGTCTACATAAGGACCACCAAACGCAGCATTGCCCAAACACGAATCAAGGAACATGAAAGGCACTACAGACTACTTCAACCAGAGAAGTCAGCCATAGCAGAGCACCTGATGAACCAACCTGGACACAGCATATTATTTGAGAACACAGAAATGCTGGACCACTCCAATAACCATCATGTCAGACTACACAGAGAAGCCATTGAAATCCACAAGCATGTGAACAATTTAAACAGAAAGGAGGAAACCATGAAAATGAAGAAAATCTGGCTACCAGTATTAAAAAAAACCTCTAAAATTGCAGCAGCACAACAACAGAGAGGAAACAAACAAGGACATCTAATTATTACCTCTCAACAAAAGCTTGCCCCAGGCACTAACAAGCCACACCAAACAACAGCCAGGCCATCAAATGCTAATCAGGTGGTCAGTTGAAACATTCACACCTAGTTCCAGCAGACAAGAGTCCTTTGTCCCACTCTGGTCATTCCACAGATATATAAACCCCTTTTCCTAGTTCCAACAGACCTCACTACCTCTGAGGATGCTTGCCATAGATGCAGGCAAAACATTAGGAGAGAATGCTTCTGGAGCATGGCCATACAGCCCAAAAAATTCATAACAACCAAGTGATTCCAGCCATGAAAGCAACTGACAATACATAGCTTGAAAATATTGTTGGAGAGGGATCCAAAAAGCAAACCTTTAAGGGACACCTTTTTCTTACACCATTTTAAACTGCCTTGATCAGACATGATTATTTTAAATATATGTGCTATTGTGGTTTTAATGCTTATATTTTCTTGTAAATTTTATGTTTATGCCATTTTTTTCTTGTATGTACTGTTTATGTTACTTGGAAACTGCTCTGAGTCCCTTTGGGGAGATAGAGCGGTATATAAATAAAGTTTTGTTGTTGTGGTTGTTGAATGTAATGGGCCTTAAACATCAATGGATTTTGGAATCCACAGTGGGTTCTGGAATCAAAACCCAACAGATACCAAATGCTCACTGTAATGATATAGTGTATATAGTATATAATGGTCTTATACAAATGCCATTTCGTTAACCAAAATAAAATAAAATAAAATGCAGAAACACAGCACAAACGTTTCAGAAATACACCACTGTTGAGTATGATTGAAGAGAAACATTTCTTAGCACCGAACATACAGCTTTCCTTTCAAAGAAGTATTGTAGTTTGGGATCAAAATTCCAGAAACATGCTCATGGGAAATTCCTGGAGTTGTAGTCCCAAAGGGACAGTACAGTGTATAAACTGTGTCAGTGGATTCCAGCAGTGCTGTTAAGATAAACGTGCCAGTGCTACTTAGTAGACTATAAACAGAAAGATTTCCAAATGGCAGCTAGGCCATTTCTTTCAGTTTTGAAGAGAGTGAAGTAAAATATAGTATTATGCAAGGAAGGAGAATGCTAAACATGCAGTAAACATCAGGTTAACAGTTATCATAAATAAGTGATAAGAAAACACTAGGCACTAAATGTTGTGTAAGTATCCAAAATATGGTCCAGGGAAAATGTAAAACAATGTTTCTCAACCTTCCTAATGCCGTGACCCCTTAATACAGTTCCTCATGTTGTGGGTGACCCCTAACCATAAAATTATTTTTGTTGTTACTTCCTAACTGTAATTTTGCTCCTGTTATGAATTGTAATGTAAATATCTGATATGCAGGATGTATTTTCATTCACTGGACCAAATTTGGCACAAATACCCGATATGCCCAAATTTGAATATTGGTGGGGTCGTGGAGGGGAATGATTTTCTCATTTGGGAGTTGGTTGCTGGGATTTATAGTTCACCTACAATCAAAGAGCATTCTGAACTCCACCAACGATGGAATCGAACCAAACTTGGCACACAGAACTCCCATAACCAACAGAAAATATAGGAAGGGTTTGGTGGACATTGATGTTGAGTTTTCGAGTTGTAGTTCACCTATATCTAGCAAGCACTGTGGACTCAAACAACAATGGAACTGGACCAAATTTGGCACGAATACTCAGTATGCCCAAATGTGAACACTGGTAGAAAATAGACCTTGACATTTGGGAGTTGTAGTTGCTGGGACCTACCATCAAAGCGCATTTTGAACCCTACCAATAATAGAATTGGACTAAACTTCCCACACAGAACCCGCATGACCAACAGAAAATACTGTGTTGCTGTAGGTTTTTTCAGGCTATATGGCCATGTTCTAGAGGCATTCTCTCCTGACGTTTCGCCTGCATCTATGGCGAAACGTCAGGAGAAAATGCCTCTAGAACATGGCCATATAGCCCGAAGAAACCTACAACAACCCAGTGATTCCAGCTATGAAAGCTTTCGACAATACAGAAAATACTGTGGTTTCTGATGGTCTTTGGCAATCCCTCTGACACCCCCTCATGACCCCCCGAACACCAGGTTGAGAAACACTGCTATAAAAGAAGCCATAGGGGAACATGATACCTTTGTGTGATCAGACTGGTTTGAACTGACACTGATAGGGTTTGAAGACATAGATGGGATCTGAAGCTGAGAGAGATTGGAGCTGTTGTAGAAGAGGTTTTGGATTTGGGAAGGAAAGGTGACCTATCTAAAGTTTTGGGGAGCTTAGAGTAGATGATAATATATTTTTCTACTGGGTTTGATAAACCTATAGTTGTTCTACACCTCTGTCAAGCCTGAATTAGAGTCGGTCCACACATAATACAGCTAGAGAACTCACACAGTAGCACAATTTGTTCTCTACTTGGTTCACCCTGAGGCCCAATAACCCAATCTGGCAAAGGAATACTTATGAGGTTAAGGGTAGGATGAGTGGCAAAATTCCTAGAGACCGGAGGTTTGAGGACAGCCTATTTATAGGAGTCTGTCACACCTGCATAAACAAGCTGATGCACACTCATAGCACAATAATAAACCTTGGCCACTATTCAGGCCACACAAACCTACTCAGATTTGGCTTGGTGTATTTAGTATCTTTTCAATAATGAATTCTTATTTTAAACAAGAATTAAAATGAGGAATTATTGGGTTTGAAAATGTTACTTTGGATTACAGCTCCCAGCATTCCTCCAGTTATCAGCCAATTGATCCAAAACAAATTGACGGTGAAAGTAACCAGTCACAAAGCCCTATATTTCCATTCCTCATCCTCATGTGTCATAAAATGAACGGAGTGTGAAAACATGTGGACACCACAACAAACCAACCCTTGGCTTCTCCTCTTTCAATTCTGAGACAGACCCCTGCTATGTGCCACCTTCACGCCATGTCCCATAAAGCCGATAGCATCAAAAGAATGGTCACCCTAGGAAACGGCAGAGACTATAGAAGTTTGTTGGAGTGACACTCTTTTAGTGGCTTTGAAGTACAATTGACTTCACAATAGAGATAATGCAAATAAAATGGAACAATCTCCTTGTGGGGTGTTTTGGTGTGTGCCTTCTGTCACGCTTCCCCTAGTGTCACGTGAGTCACATGCAGATAGTCCAGACTGAATAGGAGATCCACAGAGACCTTGCTGGCTAGTGGATGCTGGGCACTGTAGTCCAAAGCGTTAACATTATTAAGTTTGAATTTTTGATGGTGGATCAAGGTGTGGCCTTTTAATGCCTGCGGGAATCCTTTGTTCAGAGCTGATTAGCCGTCCCTGATTGTTTCTTGTCTGGAGTTCCCCTGTTTTTGAGAATTGTTCTTTATTTACTGTTATGATTTTAGAGTTTTAAATACTGGTAGCCAGATTTTGTTAATTTTCTTGTTTTTTCCCCTTAATAATAATAATAATAATAATAATAATAATAATAATACTTTATTTATACCCCGCTACCATCTCCCCAAGGGACTTGGTGCAGCTTACATGAGGCCGAGCCCACAATACATCAGTAATAAAAACAATAACAACAGTGATACAAACAATAAAATAAAACTCAGAACAAAAAAAAGCAATAAACATTAACAGCAACACAACAACGTTTAAGAGACCTATGGCTGGGCCAAATGTAATAATTAAAAATTTAAAAATAATGCTGAGCATGAACAGCTGAAATATGACTAGGATAGAGTTTTCGGAGAGAATTTCTGTTGAAATTCTCCATACTTGTGGATTTCAATGGCTTCTCTGTGTAGTTTGACATGGTAGTTGTTACGAGTAAAAAACCACACCTTGAAACTGCTAGACCATTAAATGCTAATCTAGGTGGCCAATTGAAAAATTCATACCTAGCTCCAACAGTAAGAGTTCTTTCTCCCATCCTGGACATTCCACAGATATATAAACCCCATTTTCCTAGTTTCCAGCAAACCTTACAACCTCTGAGGATGCCTGCCATAGATGTAGGTGAAATGTCAGGAGAGAATGCTTCTGGAACTTGGCCATACAGCCCCAAAAAACTTAAAACAACCCAGTGATTTTAATGTTTGTATATATTTATACTTTTATGTCCTGGCATTGAATGTTTGCTATATATACGTTGTGCTCCATCTTGAGTCCCCTGCAGGGTGAGAAGGGCAGAATTTAAATGTTTTAAATAAATACATACATACATAAGCTAATGTTGGAAGCTAGTAAATTGTTGAGGCTTGTGTTTTCTTTTAAAGTGAACTCTTATTGAACAGAGCTGTGTGGAGCAGCATAGTTCGTGAAGAAACAGTTAAAGTAAATAAGCTTTAAGATACAAACTCTCCAAAAGTTTATAACTCTCAAAAGAAATGGGCCAGTATCATTAAATGCATGAATTTATAAGTAAACAAACATTTTTATTCTAAAAGAAGTTTGCTTGAATCTTTGTCTGCCTAAAGCATTAAATAAACTCAAGGAATACTCCTCTCAAACTCTGCTATCCCTTGATGTGTTGTGAGATCCCAACAGGTAGTGATCTATCCATTATCCCCAATATTTACCACTAATAACATGTAAGCTACAAATGTAGTATGTGCCAGTGTTCCACACTGAAACAGCCCTTGAGTAGTCTGGAAACTACGTCACATTCTGGAACAAACTATGTATATATTTTAAACTAGCCGTCCCCTACCACACGTTGCTGTGGCCCAGTCTGTGTATATGTGTTTTGTGTGTGTATATATGTGTGTGTATATATTTTTGTGGTTATGCGCATACGTTGTAATGTAATGTATTTTTTTTTGGCTTTTCAAGTCTTTTCCACTGTGTTTTTCAGCGTTTTTAAGAGTGATGGTAACTTGTTAGACTGATAGGTGTATTGTGTCCAAATTTGATGTCAATTCGTCCAGCGGTTTTTGAGTTATGTTAATTCCACAAACAAATGTTATATATTTATTTATATAGATGTTGATTTCAAATTTGATGTTTTTGGTGAATATTTTTTCAGTCTTGTATTAACCGAAACCATAACACTATATTTGGGGCTTGTTTCCAAAAAAATACCAAATCCAAAAATGACCTCATAACCTCTGAGGGTGCCTGCCATAGATGCAGGCGAAACATCAGGAGAGAATGCTTCCAGAACATGGCCATACAGCCCGAAAAACTTACAACAACCCAATACCAAATCCATTTGAAAATATTTTACAGGAATCAAATTAAAGTGCTGAGGATATGCATCCTTTTGCTATAAAATGCAATTTTCCGAGTCTTGTACCAAAGTGATAATTTTGATAATGTTGATCTGTACACAACAGATCAACATTATCCACCTATAACTATTTTTTCATTTTTCATTTTTATTTATTTTGCATTTGGAACCTTTTGGAAACACATTTCACAAGTATCATCATGCCAACTTTGTAAATCCTTTACACCAAAACCTATCAGATAGAATTGGGACAAATCAAGGTGGCCCTGAAGAGAAAGGGCTACCTGCCCATCCCTTGGTAGATTCCCAATGAAATACACAGAATGAGGACGATAACAAAGAGATGGAGCCATCAAGAGATTTTGTCTTTATGTGTAGCTTAACATAGCAAAGGGCACACAGTATAGAATGGGGGAAATAAAAGCTAGTGAGAGGCTTCCCAACCCTCTATCCTTTGAGTGTCCTCTATTGTAAGCAGCAATGCTGAAATGTTGGTCTCCATCCGAATCATGCAACCATTGCTGGCTTCAGGTGTGGGTCTGCTGCTCCTTCCTGCTTGGCCAGCACCCGTTTCCACTTTGTTCATGCGGCTCCCTCAGCTTTTTGTAACAGGGAAAAAGCAGAGGGAATTCATGTTTGTTGTTTCCCTCCCACCACCATCACCAAGCATTTTGATCTCTTGGCTCCACATCTCCATCCCTGTCTGTGGTCCCTTGATCACCCAGGGTACATTCTTCCAGTCTGGCAGCACTGAACGAGCAGGATGAAGAGGTGATTTTCATCTTGATACAAGGCTCTACTTGGCTTTCAGACGTTTCTGGAGCAGGGCCCAAGCCTTTTCTGTCTGTAAAGGAATGATATTATTCAATAAGGTCACCAGGGACGGGGCTCAAGAGACTGGCTCATTGAAGCGAGTGGAAGGATGGTCGCTCCCCACCTCACCCTCTTACCAGCTCACAGGTAACCTCTGGTTCCCACATTGTGCAAAGGACAACATGTGACTGTTTCACTCTCTGGCTGTTGGGCATTTGGCTTTGGAGCCGCAAGCGGGCAGCTTCTTCACTTATGCCATCTCTGGCAACAATGCGTTTTATGGCCTGGGGAGTAGGGAGAGGCAGGAGAGAGAGATGGAAAATTTATATATTATTTATTTCGGGCTTTTATAACCCATCTTATCTCAACCTCCGAGGAGGGACTAAGGTCGGCTAACAAATCAGCACCCCATGGTGCCCACATCAGAAAAACATAAATATATAATTTAACAGCAGTATAATAATAACAGTACAAACCAATATAAAATAGTATAAAAACAATCAAGCAGTCAGCAGTTCCCGGTTTGAATCAACATCCAAGGGGCAGTCAGTCAGTTCTATATAAGTCGTCACGTCAGCCAGTCAGCCTAATTTACAAAAGCCTGATCCCATAACCAGGATTTTACTTGTTTCCAGAAGGTCAAGAGGGATGCAGCAGATCTAATTTCACTCGTGAGGGAGTTCCATAGCTGAGGGGCCACCACAGAAAAGGCCCTGCCCCTTGTCCCCGCCAGACGCGATTGCGACAATGGGGGAACAATGAGCAGGGTCTCCCCAGATGATCTTAGGCCCTAGGTGGAGTCGTGTCTGACTCAGGGGGGGGGGGATGCTCATCTCAATTTCTAAGCGGTTGTCCGTAGACACCTCCTAGGTTATGTAGCTGGCATGGAGCGCCATTACCTTCCCGCCGAAGCGGTACCTATTGATCTACTCACTTTTGCATATTTTTTAAAAAATTTTTATTTAGGGTAAACAAGGAAAGGGGAAAAAAGTGGGGGGTAGCTTGGTTATACATTTAAAGTGGGGGAACAATACTGTGTATAAAAAGCAAGAAAAAAATAAGATTTAAAAAGGAGAAAAAAAACAAAAAAGAAAGAAAGAAAAAAACCACGGGTGACTTCCATCTAATCCTTTGCGCTTTAAAACCTAGTTCAATAAAAAAAACCCTCTTCAATGTTGGAGGCACTAAAGCCATGCTTTTGAGTTTAGTCTATTATTAAGTCCATTCTTCTACAATATCCATTTGGAAAAGAAGCAGCTTTAGGTGCTTCTTTAAATTTTTTCATTCTTTCATATTCTTCTGTGTCCAGTTTGTCTGTCTCATCGGGTTTCCCAAGTTTTTCTTTAATAAAAAACTAAATTTGTCCATGTCTCTAATCTCCCTTATTTTATTTATCCATTCTTCTATATCCGGTATTTTCTACTTTTTCCCTTTGTTTCACGTATATAATCCTGACAGCTGTCGTCAAATATGTGAATAAAATGTCCAAATCTGTTATTCCTAATAAGTAATATTCTTGCTTCATTGCATGTTTTCAAGCTGCTAGGTTGGCAGAAGCTGGGGCTAACAGCAAGAGCTCACCCTGCTCCCTGGATTTGAACTGCCAACCTTTTGGTCAGCAAATTCAGCAGCTCAGTGGTTTAACCCACTGTGCCACCAGAGGGACCAATAAACTATAAACCCAATCCTAAAATTGCTTTTCTACTACCCAGAATACCTCCATCTTATGTGGACTGAAACTGCATTTGTTAATATACATCCAATACATCACTGCACATAAGAACACACTCAACAGCTTCAGAGCCACCTAGGCATCAGTTGGATATCAACATTGTGATGCCATACCACCACCACCCCCAACAAAATTCCTCCTCTCTTAATGGCGCTATATATATGCCGAAATCAAAGAAAAAAAGTAGCAGTTTGCGGAATCTATAGGCTAGTTATCACAGGCTGCCAGTAGCCACTTCTGTGTTCACAAACAGGGTTGAACTTATTGCATTACACTGCTATAATGTGATATTCTGGCAAATTGAGTCAACAGTGTGATGTGGCAGCTAAAAAGCCCAATGCGATTCTAGGCCGTAGCAAAAGGAGTTTAGTGTCTAGATTGAGGGAAGACCTAATCCCATTCTATCCTGCTTTGGTCAGATCTCACCTAGAACACTGTGCCCAGTTCCAGGAACCACAATTGAAGGAGGATATTGACAAATTGGAACGTGTTCAGAGAAGGAAAACCAAAATTATCAAGTGTTTGGAAACCAAGGCCGATGAGGAATGGCTAAGGAAGCTGGGTATGTTTAACTTGGAGAGAAAAAAGTTGAGAGGGGACATGATAGCCATGTTTAAATATTTTAAAGGATGGCACATTGGGAAGATGGCAGCAAGCTTGTGTTCTGCTGCTCTGCAGATTAGGATGTGGCACAATAGATTTAAATGGCAGGAAAGAAGATTCCATATAAACATTAGGAAGAATTTCATGATGGAAAGAGCTGTTTGGCAGTGGATTCTCCTTTTATAGAGATTTTTAAGCAGGAGTTGCATGGCCACCAATTGGGGGTGCTTTGACTGCATTTCCCTGCATGGTAGAGGGTGGGCCATTGTGGTCTCTTCCAACACTGTGATTCTGTGAAATGCCCTAAAAAGATACCATGGTCAATAGCATCAGATGCCAACAAAGAAGTCCAGCAGAATGCAACTCCTGGCACAACCTGTTTAGTACAAAGTAGATGTCATCTATTAATTAATGCAACCAAGGTTGTTTAATTTCTCAAATCTTGCCTGAATCTAGGCTACAAATAAAACATTGTTATGTGATATTGTTATAGAATGATGTTAGGGAAACTATTTTTATGGTGCTACTGCTTTTCTATTTTGTTTTTATAGGTTGTGTTTTAGCATATCATGGCCAAACGACATTTCAAAATTAAAGAAAAACAGGATGTACACTGTTATCCACACATTTAGTTTCAGAAATTATGCACTGACAATGCAATGCCTACCTCATCCTCGGGGATGATAACTGTCCAGACCTCATTAACTAGGTCTGTCCAGCCTGCCTCCAGCAACACGGCTCCATCCAAGATGCACACGGATTTTCCTGCAGTACAGGCATTGGCAAAGTTGAGAAACTTTTAGGGTGGATAGGAAGAGTACAAAAACACTTTAACCATATTTGCATACCTCAGAAAAAATCAGGATGCCTAATGTATCCAGGCTCAGTGTGCTGATTAACTCAGCCCACTTACTCCTACCTTGCTTCTCTTGCTCACAAAATAGGCTACAAAACCCAGTAATGACTAGGTTAGAACTACATGAGATTGTTAGGAACAACTATTGACTTAGTGGACATCACAATATACCGTATATACTCGAGTATAAGCTGACCCAAATATAAGCTGAGGCACCTGATTTTACCACAAAAAAACTGGGAAAACGTATTGACTCAAGTATAAGTCAAGGGTGGGAAATGAAGCAGCTACTGGCAAATTTCAAAATAAAAATAGATACCAATAAAATTACAGAAATGCAGACATCAGTGTTTTAAATGTTTTTGAATATCTACATAGCACTGTAATTTAAGATAAGACTGTCCAACTCTGATTAAACCATTATTCTAACCTTCTTCAATGTAAAGGTGCTTACGTATCCTTCCAATAATAATAAAGGGAGTAACATAACCAATGTAATACACATAATAATAGAGGAAAATAATGGAAATGTAATAATAACAGTAATAATAGAGGAAAATAATCCATGTATTAATAACAATAATAAATAGAATAAAATAATCAATGTAATAATATTAATAGAGTAAAATAATCAATGTACATCACACGGTCCTTGACACTTGGGAAGTGTCCAATGTGTGATCCAAACAACAGCCAGCAGAGTGATCTTGTTTGCTGTGGACTCATCTTGTTGTGTTTCTAATAATAATAATAATAATAATAATAATAATAATAATAATAATAACAACAACAACAACAACAACAACAACAACAACAACAACCCAGTAAAATAATAAATAACTTTGACTTGAGTACAAGCAAAGAGGGGCTTTTTCAGCCTTTAAAAAGGGCTGAAAAACTAGTGTTATACTCGAGTATATACGGTACTTACTGAAAGATTTAAATATCAATAGAAATTATCTACTTTTAGCTTGTCCACCTCTGTCCACAAACAGAAGCTCAATGTTCACAGTGAGCCAGAATCAATGGGAATCAGAGATGTTCAAATTCTGGCAAATATACCAAACCTTGCTAATTTCAAATCTGCCCAAATCAAAATGAAGCCAATCAAATCTGAAAACTACAGTTTAGATTTGAAAAGGTACAGAGACCAAGAGAGACCTCCAAAAACAGATCCTTATCTCTATAACAAGGGAATTTACCTTTGTGGCTGGACTTTGTGTTGGAAAACTGCCTTTAAACTGGGTTGTGTAGATTAATTGTTGATGTTTATGTTTCAAAACTACTTCATGTTCCTGTTTGCCCCACTCTCAGTGCCCTTTTACCCAGGTTAAATCAGGTTAAGTGGGGGAGGGGGGCTGAATGTCTTTTAGCCAAAATACAAGAGGAATCAGGTTAAAGGCTGGAAAACATATGTTTAAAAGCTGCCCGTTAAACCTGATTCCTCCTGAGAAACATGCATCTTTCCATGGCTGTGTAAACATGCAGACATGGAAAAACAGTGTTTTTCTTCACTTCCTCCGGTCTGGATTCCCTCCTGCCCCCCATTTCCCTCTCGACTTATCCGAGGAAGCCTTCCAAGCAGGCCTGCAACCTTTGCCTCTCTTCCCCTTACTTGGAAGTACTAACGGAGGGCCTTGGAGGAGAAAGCTCTCCCCTCAACCCAAAACCCTCTTCTGGTTCTTCAAAGGGATGGGGTGGGCAAAGATAAAGGCTTCACGCCTTGTCAGAGTCTTCTCCAGAAATTTCATGGGAAAATGGAGGGCAGGAAGGGGAGGCTAGCAGTGCCAATGCCCACCCCTGCTGATCTCAAAATTCCTCTTGGATTTTTGGCCTGTCTGGAAGGGCCCTTAGTTCTTAGATCCCAACTCTATTCTTACCCTGTGCTGCAGCCTCCTCAATTTTTTCTTTTGCCATTTGAGCCATCACTGGCCACATGATATTGTTGAGCATCTTCAGCTGCTCCTGTCAAAAGAAAAGAAAAATGTCTGGAAATAAGAATGTTCAAAGTGACAATGGAGAACTCCATGATGTAGTGCTAGGTTGTGGGATTATGGTGGGTAGTTCTAATGCAATGCAGAAGAGAATGGCATACCCAAGTAGTGGTTTTGGAGTGCAACTTAAGCTGGGACACAATGCACAAAGATGCAATCTTAATGAAATTAAAGAGACTTGTGTAAGGGCAAAGTGAAATATTGTCCATCTAAGAAATACCTGACATGAACAGCATACAGAGTCTATATCTATTGCCTCCAGAGACTAGGGCACAGAATGAGTTAAAATTACATGAAGAGGGACACTACCTAAATATTATGGAAGACCTTCCTGAACACAAGAGTTGTTTAACAGTGGACTTAATTACCTCAAATTGTGGTGGAGCTTTCTTCTCTAGAGGTTTTAAAGAGGCTGGATGGCCTCTGGCATCTGTTGGGAGTGCTTTAATTATGAATGTATTTATTTATTTATTTATTTATTTACATCTGCTCTGTTAAAACTGTTTTTAATATGTTTTATTGCATTTATATGTTTTAAATGTTTTATAATTTGATATGTTACATTTATTATTTGTTGTTGCACTTACTGCATTTATATGTTTTAACTGTTTTATAATTTGATATGTTATATTTATTATTTGTTGTATGATGCGGCATTGAATGTTACCATAATCTGGAAACCACTCTGAGTCCCCTTTGGGGTTGAGAAGAGCGAGGTATAAATACAGTTAATAATAAATAAATAAATAAATAAATTTACTTTATTTATACCTCACCTTTCTCACCCACAGCTTGCAGATACTGGCAAAATTCAATGCCATATTTGAACATAACAATAAAAACATACCCTATCCAGCTTTGAAACAGTTAAACCACACGAGCAAATAAAACACAGATAACAATAAAACAGATTGAAACATATAAAGTGCTTGATTCCATTAATCCTTATTCCTTGTTCATAATCCTTGTCCAGATTGTATTTTTGCATGGCAAGGGGTTGGACTAGAATTTTACAATTTTATCAGATGAAATTTTATGTTTGTTTGTTGTTTTCAAACTTACATTGCTGTTTATATGCTTATGTACTATTTGTTTATTTGTGGCACTTTTAAGTGTTTCTATGAGCTGCTCCGAGTCCCTTCAGAGAGATGGTGGTAGAATAATAATAATAATAATAATAATAATAATAATAATACAACAGCCAGCAGAGTGTCTGCTGTTGCCTCATCTTGTTGTGTTTCAAATTATTATTATTATCATTATTATTATTATTATTATTATTATTATTATTATTATTATTATTATTTGAAACACAACAAGATGAGTCCACAGCAGATACTCTGCTGGCTGTTGTATTGGATCACACATCGGACACTTCCCAAGTGTCTAGGACTGCATGCAGATCCCAGTAAGGTGGCCTTTTGCAGCTGGCAGTTGGTAATTTTGTCAGCGCCGATTGTGTTTAAGTGCAGGCCAAGGTCTTTAGGCACTACACCCAGTGTGCCGATCACCACTGGGACCACCTTTAATGGTTTGTGCCAGAGTCTTTGCAGTTCGATTTTTAAATCCTCATATCGTGTCAGCTTTTCCAGTTGTTTCTCTGCAATCCTGCTGTTACCTGGGATTGCGACATCGACAATCCATACTTTCTTTTTTAACATGATCATGAGGTCAGGAGTATTGTGCTCCAAAACTCTGTCTGTCTGAATCTAGAAGTCCCAGAGGAGTTTGGCGTGTTCATTCTACGTAACCTTTTCCGGCTTGTGATCCCACCAGTTAGTTGTCGCAGGCAGATGGTATTTGTGGCACAAGTTCCAATGAATCTCTGAGCAACGGTGTTATGCCTATGCTTGTAGTCTGTCTATGCAATCTTCTTGCAGCAGCTTAGGATGTGATCTATTGTTTCATCTGCTTCATTGCAGAGTCTACATTTGGGATCTGTTGTCAACTTTTCAATTCTGGCTTTGATGGCATTGGTTTGAATGGCTTGCTGCTGCTGCTGCTGCTGCTCCTGTTGTTGTTGTTATTATTATTATTATTATTATTATTATTATTATTATTAGATGGCCTTTGTGGTCTCTCCCAATGCTATGATTCTATTAATCCCATATAGATCTGATTTTCCTGAATTTTCAGGCTATTTGTATAATTTCTTTGCATCAATTCTAAATGATCTTACATTTGTCCTTCTATATATTTAGCATACAACTCGCATGACACACAAGCCAAGGTCTGTGAGAACTGTACTTCAATAAATCTGGAGGGACAATAATTTACCAACCTTTTTCACTGTGTGTGTTTAGCTGCAATCAAGGTAAATTAACTTTATAATTTGAAAAGGCAAGCTGCAAATGCGAATTTGAACATTAACCTGTGTGCAGAACAAAAGGCTAAAGCCTCATAGGATTGGACTATGCTTTAATGAAAGAGAAGCATCCCAGCCTGACCTTCTTCCAGTGCTTCCAGTGGAAAAGGCCACGCTGTACTACTTACTGTACAGAAATGGTTCTTATTCACACTGCTCCCTATCAGTACCTTTCACCCACATACATACACAGAGGAAAACATCCAGAGAAAGAAGGTGAAAGGGCTGTCAATTTTGTGCGAAAAAGATGCATCAGTGGCACAAAGGTGAACAAAAGACAACCAGGGCTATTTGGACGATGTTAAGTCCAAAGTCCAAAGTTAAATATTGTCCTCAAATTCAGGTTGTTTTTACCTTGTCTCCAAATACTTTGGCCCCCAAGGCTTGTCTGTTGATGGTTCCATCTTCTTTCAAAATATCTGCAAAGAAGAATGAAATGTACGTCATCAGTGAGTGTAAATAAAAAGAAAGAAAGTAAGAAATTACATAACCCCCCCCCCCCCCCCCAGGAGGCAGGAGAGCCTTCAAAAGCCATGTCCCCTTAAGAGTTCAGATAAGGCTGCTCAGTCCTATTTCGCAGCCAATTAACTTCTGGGTTGCTGTGAGTTTTCTGGGCTGCATGGCCATATCCCAGAAGCATTCTCTCCTGATGTTTCACCCACATCTATGGCAGGCATCCTCAGAGGTTGTGAGGTCTGTTGGAAACTAAGCAAGTGAGGTTTACATATCTGTGGAATGTCAGATGGGAGAAGGAACTCTTGTCTGTTCTTTCTCCCACCCTGGCTACCAGTATTTAAAAAAACCCCTCTAAAATCAGGACAGTAAATAAAAAACAACATTCAGAAAACAGAAGATTTCCAAATATGAAACAATCAGGGCCAGCTAACACCTCCCAACAAAGGATTCCCCCAGGCAGGAAGCAGCCAGGCTTTGAAGCTGCAAGGCTATTCGGCGGTAATCAAGGTGGCCATTTGCAACATTCACACTTGAGAACCACATATATAGGGCTGATCGGGGTAAATTGTAGGGGTGATAAGGAATCATAGAATCATAGAATCAAAGAGTTGGAAGAGACCTCATGGGCCATCCAGTCCAACCCCCTGCCAAGAAGCAGTAATATTGCATTCAAATCACCCCTGACAGATGGCCATCCAGCCTCTGTTTAAAAGCTTCCAAAGAAGGAGCCTCCACCACACTCCGGGGCAGAGAGTTCCACTGCTGAACGGCTCTCAGTCAGGAAGTTCTTCCTCATGTTCAGATGGAATCTCCTTTCTTGTAGTTTGAAGCCATTGTTCCTTGTCCTAATCTCCATGGAAGCAGTAAACAAGCTTTCTCCCTCCTCCCTGTGGCTTCCTCTCACATATTTATACATGGGAAGCCACAGGGAGGAGGGAGCAAGCTTGTTTACTGGTTTATCAGTTTTATCAGTTGATCAGTTTTATCATGTCTTATCATATTTATTTACTGTATTGTTATAAGTGTCTTATTTTAACTTACTACGTGGAGTGTGATCGGGTCTTGTCAGGCCTTGTTGTTCTGTTTCTTATTGTGATATGGCCTAAGGGCTAATCAATAAAAAATTACTTAAAAATTACTAATTCACACTTGCCTCCAACAGACAAGAGTTTTTTCTCCCACCCTGGGCACTCCACAGATATATAAATCCCACTTGCCTAGTTTCCAACAGAAATCACAATCTCTGAGGCTGCCTGCCATAGATGTGGGCGAAACATCAGGAGAGAATGCTTCTGGAACATGGTCTTACAGCCTGGAAAACTCACAGCAACCCAGTGATTCTGGCCTTGAAATCCTTCAACACAATTAACTTCTATCCATTGCCATTTTGTTGAAGCTGAAGGTATTCCATGAAGTGATCATTTCTGTCTGATGCACAAAAGAAGATAAGTTTCTAAAAGGCTACTTATATGACAAGTTGCTTTTTCTGGGGGAAAGAACAGTAGAAAACAAGCAGCTTCACTCATGAAAGCAGAAGAAAAATACTGTCTCCAACTGACACTTTAGTTCTAAAATGGTACTGAAAATCAGTGTTATTTTCTCTGGGTCTTATGTAGTAATTAACATTTTACATATATTAAGGAATTGTTATTATTATTATTATTATTATTATTATTATTATTATTATTATTATTTATACCCTGCTGCTTCTCTCTTAAAAAGAGATTCAAAATCATATTTCACTATTAGCTTTTTTTTGCTTCCTGTCAAGTATTATCTTCACTTCAACTTCTTCAATGACTGAGTGAGCTCCAGTGATGTTATGGCTGCTCCTGGTAAAATGTTGATAAATCATGTAGATTTTGGAAGGTAAAAAGGCAACTGAGTAATTGGGGGGAGGGGGGGGGGGAAGAGACAAGAATTCCTTGGTTTTTCCCAGCCTGTTTTATAGAGAATAAAGCTGACTGACTGAGGATTGGGAGTAAAGAGATTGTTTAGGTCAGTGTTTCTCAACCTGGGGGTCGGGACCACTGTGGGGGTCGTGAGGGGGTGCTAGAGGGGTCACCAACGACCATCAGAAAACATAATATTTTCTGTTGGTCATGGGGGTTCTGTGTGAGAAGTTTGATCCAATTCTATCATTGGTGGGGTTCAGAATGCTATTTCACTGTGGTGAACTATAAATCCCAACAACTACAACTCCCAAATGTCAAGGTCTATTTCCCCTAAACTCCACCAGTGTTCACATTTGGGCATATTGAGTATTTGTGCCAAGTTTGGTCCAGATCCGCCATTGTTTGAGTCCACAGTGTTCTCTGGGTGTAGGTAAACTACAACTCTAAAAACACAAGGTCAATGTCCACCAGACATTGTTTGGTATTTTCTCTTGCTCATGGGAATTCTGTGTGTCAAGTTTGGTTTGATTCCATCGTTGGTGAAGTTCAATTTCATCATTGGTGGAGTTCAGAAGGCTCTTTGATTTTAGGTGAACTATAAATCCCAGCAACTTCAACATTCCCAAATGACAAAATCAATCTCCCCCAACCCCACCAGTATTCAAATTTGGGCATATCAGGCATTTGGGATTTGAAAATACATCTTGCATATCAGATATTTACATTACGATTCATAACAGCAGCAAAATGACAGTTATGAAGTAGCAACAGAAATAATGTTGGGGGTCACCACAACATGAGGAACTCTATTAAGGGGTCACAACATTAGGAAGGTTGAGAAACACTGGTTTAGGTGGAGTTCTTGATATGCCTACCATATAACTTTTTAAAAAGGCACACTGACTTTAAATATTGCTGCCCTAGAACTAAGCAATACCTGTTCCAAAGGCTTTGACCACTTGCTCATATACAGGACCTCCTGGCATATAGATATCATGTCCTAGATGGTCCATATCCACATGGAAGGCACCAAGACGAACCAGATGCTGTGCAATTGAGCTCTTGCCACTACCGGATCCACCTGTGAGGCCGATAACGTAAAGATGGGGTGGAGGAAATAGTCCTTTCTGTGACCAGGAATGGAAGAGAGAGAAGAGAGAATGGTTTGAGGGAAGAGACTCCATGGTGCACATTTATGATATAATGACCATTCTTTTGTAAATTCAATCCTACAGCACAGCTGTAATGTTTAAAGGTCATGAAAACTTCTTTCTGTGGTTACTTAGCTATGTGTTTCCAACCATCCGTTACAAGAAAAGCCATTGAAATACACAAGCATGTGGGCAATTTCAACAGAAAGGAGGAAACCTTAAAAATGAACAAAATCTGGTTTGCAGTTTTTAAAAGACTCTAAAATCAGGACTGTAAATAAAGAGCAACACTAAAAAAAAACCCGTATTTCAGACAACAATCATTCAGGGCCAGCTAACACCTCCAAACAGGAGTCCCCGGTGGCGCAGTGGGTTAAACCCTTGTGCTTGCAGGACTGAAGACCGACAGGTCGCAGGTTCGAATCCAGGGAGAGGCAGATGAGCCCCCTTCATCAACTCCAGCTCCTCATGCGGGGACATGAGAGAAGCCTCCCACAAGGATGATAAAAACATCAAATCATCCAGGCGTCCCCTGGGCAACGTCCTTGCAGACGGCCAATTCTCTCACACCAGAAGCGACTTGCAGTTTCTCAAGTCGCTCCTGTCACGACAAAAAAACAAACAAACCTCCAAACAAAGAATTCCCCCAGGCAGCAACTAGCCAAGCTTTGAAGCTGCAAGGCCATGGCATGCTAATCAAGGTGGCCATTTTCAACATTCAAGCAGACAAGAGTTCTTTCTCCCACCCTGGACATTCCACAGATATATAAACCCCACTTTCCTAGTTTCCAACAGATCCCTCAACCTCTGAGAATGCCTGCCATAGATGTGGACAAAACGTCAGGAGAGAATGCTTCTGGAACATGGCCATACAGCCAGGAAAACTCACAGCAACCCAGTGATTCCAGCCATGAAAGTCTTCAACAACACATCTGTTATATTTCTTGTGGGACATCCTTTGACATTTAATGTATTTGTTATATTTTATTCCTATTTTCCTCTAATGAGATTAAGGCAGTCTACATGGCTCCCCTCCTTCCAATGTTGTTTTCACATCAAGCTTGTGAGATGGGTTAGTTAGATAGAAAAAGTAATAACTTTGTGACTGTAAGAGCTGTTCAACAGTTGAACTCACTGACTCAGAGTGTAGCGGACACTCCCACTTTGGAAGCTTTCAGAGGCTGGATGGCCATCTGTTAGGGGTGCTTCGAAAGTGCAAGGGGTTGGACTAGTCAGTGGTTCCCAACCTTTGGGCCTCCAAGTGTTTTGGACTTTCTAACAGCTGGTAAGATTCCGGGAGTTGAAGTCTGAAACACCTGGAGGTGTGGTCCATGTGGTCTCTTCCAACTTTATGATTCTATATTCAAAGTCACCCAGCAAGTTTCAAGGCTTAGGGATGAGTGTGCTAGGAAATAGGTTGTCCAAGTCCTGCTCTACCTCTATAACTACTACACTGCATACTTAGCTGACACATGCTCTCTCTATGCTTCAGCACTATGCTAACTATCCACAATAGGCTTACCTCTCATGTTTGCATACATGGAATTTGGAAAATAAAAGACAGAGTAAAAGAAAGACTGAAACTGGAATGATGGCAGTGGAGAGTCTCCCCAGAAACTGGTCCATATTACTAAAAAAATATCTTGTTGGATAAAAACCTAAATGTCTTCCTTTCCCTGTGTGTCAATTCATTCACCCCATTTTCTTTCTTGGAATAAAGGCTGCTACTCTCAGTGGTACAATGGGTTAAACTCTTGTACTGCTGAACTGCTGACTTGAAGGTTGGCAATTCAAATCTGTGGGACAGGGCAAGCTCCGGCTATTAGGCCAGTTCCTGCCAAGCTAGCACTTTGAAAACATACAAATGTGAGTAGATAAATAGGTATCACTTAGGTGGAAAAAGGTCTAAGAAGCTCCAAGCAGTCATGCCAGTCAAATAACCAGGAGGTGACAACACAGGCTCCTCAACTTGGAAATGGAGAACAGTACCTCCCACAGAGACAGAGATGAGCACCACCTCCAAAGCCGGAAATGAAAGGAGAAGCCTCTGCCTTTGTTTGTATCATCGTATTGTAACAACACATGGAATGTTTACTGGTATCTGTTTACACTGTAATCCACTCTGAGTCTCCACAGAGAGAAGGGCAGAATATAAATAAAGTGTTGTTGTTGTTGTTGTTGTTACCCTCAGATAAGACTCTGACCCACTAAAATAAATGGATAGGAAAGTAGAATTGCATTGTGAGCCTCCTGTAGGAAATGTATCAACTCCAGCCCTTTGATAATAGGGTCCTGCCATTTTCCTGTCAACTAAGGGAAATTTAGGGGGGGGGGGGGGGGGGGTTAGCTAACCAGGGATTTAAGGGCATTATATGGGAACTCCAGAGCATTGCAAGAGATAACATGCAAGTATAAAAGTCAGGGAGCAAACCCTTTACAAGCTACAACACACAACCCCATAGAACACACAATAACAGAATGAACGTAACTCACCCTTGGTGGACGCAGTAGAGTCCCGAGCAACCTGCACCGCATGCTGGAGGAGCTGATCTTCTCCTCCTCATAACTGGCATGCTGAGGGTCAATGGCCAACTTGATTGTGTGAAGGGCCAGTTCAGACAGACCCTGTAATAGAGATCGGTATTAGTGAATAAGAAGAAACAGAAAGATATGAAGCCAAGTCACTGTTACTTTTTCAGTTGCTCTGCTGCTCCTCAAAAATATAGTTCTTGGCAACTGAATTTGCTTAACTGTATGGATGATACATTCTTCCTTTATTGGTGAATGTCAAAATTATATTTAATATATTTTTTGCTTTTATTCATTACATATAGGTAAAAGTTTTCCCCTCATGTCTGACTCTGGGGGTTGGCGCTCACTCTTTTTCTAAGCTGAAGATCTCCAAGGTCATGTGGCTGGCATGACTGCATGGAGTACCATTACCTTCCCGTCAGAGCAGTACCTATTGATCTACTCACATTTGCATGTTTTTGAACTGCTAGGTTGGCAGAAGCTGGGGCTAACAGCGGGAACTCATACCATTCTGGGGATTCTGTGATCGCTTCCCATTTTTGTGTGTGTAAACCACCCTGAGTCCCTTTGGGGAGAGAGGGCGGTCTAGAAAAAACACTTTATTATTACATTATTATAAATAAATAATAAATCGCTCTTCTAATCTGAAGTTATGCAAAAGGATACCCATGTAATGCACTTTAATAGAATGTTAACTAATATCTTAAATTTATTATTCTGAGATGACAGTCTGTTAACCTGGGAGGGGGGCTTTGAAAATATGTGAAAATCCCCTCTTTTGCTATATTATTATAATCGTTTATTCCCACTGTCCCTTCAAAGAACTCAAGGCAAAATACCGCTCCTCCTTTCCCATTTGACTATTACAACAACCCACTTGTTGAGAGGTAGTGATTCATCACGCTTATGTCAGGAAGCTTCATGGCTGAGAAAGAAACCCTGACAAGAACTACACACTGCTTTCCCTCACTCTGCAAATGAAATTGTTAAATTAAACATGATGTTCTAAACATCATTGTCAGATTTATATTTATATACTACAACTCCCCAATTTTTCAGCCAAAGTATGAATATGCTGAGCTTTTGTTCAAAATGTTATTTTGAACAAAAAGTTAGCTAGTTGTGGGCTAGCTACACAGTAAGCTGTTTTTAAAATATTATAAAGGCTTGCATTCTGCATCAGCAATATTTGTTATATGATTTTGAGTGTGAATTTCAGATAAATTCCACTGAGCTCTTCATATGAAACAAGAAAGAGTTTGTTTACCTATGAATTCTTAACCTTATAGAATTCATTACCATAATGTGTGGATAAGCAGAAGCTAAACATAAGAGCAACCAACCTATTAATTGCTACTAAATTTGATGGTCTGGAAGAAAACTTCCAAACTGTCTCCAGTGTCATCAGTTGGGAGCCCCCCGCCCCCCAGCACCAACTGCTTCTCTGAGATCAGAGTGAAGAGAGGAGCCAGGAAGGCAGTTCTATCTTGTCTCCTGCACTGTGCTTATAATATAATATAATATAATATAATATAATATAATATAATATAATATAATATAATATAATAATATAATAATATAATATAATATAATATAATATAATATAATATAATAATATAACATATCGTATATACATATAATATTGATAATATTATAACGTAACACAATATAATACTACAAATAATATGATATTATAATTATATATTTTATATTAAATGTAATATTACTAATAATATTACAGTATAATGTTATAGTACAATGTAATATATAATATTAATATTGTGCTTTGGTAATAAAATAATATATTGTATTGACTTTTTACTTGTAAGCCGCTCTGTGTCCCCTTCGGGGTGAGAAGGGCGGCATATAAATGTCGTGAACAAACAAACAAACAAATAAATAAAATGTGTATATAAACCAACTACTACAAGGGATGAGTATTACAGTACTCTCCTTTTGATGAATTTACAGAATTAATGTTGAAAAAAACTAGAGATGAAAAAGATCACTTAATTAATATCCTAGTTGTTAAGGAACTATAGAATAATTGGCACTTTAATAATAATAATAATAATAATAATAATAATAATAATAATAAGGCACCATCACTTAATTAATATCCTAGTTGTTAAGGAACTATAGAATAATTGGCACTTTAATAATAATAACAATAATAAGGCACCATCATTATTATAATAGAACTCAAGGCAAAATACCGCTCCTCCTTTCCCATTTGACTATTACAACAACCCACTTGTTGAGAGGATCTTGATATAATATATGGTGATATATTTCGAACAAGAATGGTTTCAAAAGGGAATAGAAACATTCACAGAGAAACTGTGTACCAGTGCAGAAGAGCTCCAATTCATATCAAAACTATAGTCCTGAGCAACCATTACGTATCATTTTGCATCTAACTTATGAAGAGACAGTGCTTAGCCTTGCCCTTCCTCACATGAAAAGTAATAATCTGATTCTTGTTTGCATGGACACTCCCTGCTTGATCAAGGATGCTTGAAAAACAAGTTCTATCCCATGTGGAGACTCTCCATGTTAAACAGTAATGACGCCTTTTCATGTTTGTCATTTTCCAAGTGAAGAAAATCACAATGGGAAAAGGCACTAGGTGCCCCACGTTTCACATGTTGATTCAAAACATTAATTCCTGAATGAGGGCAACATGAGCCCCATGAAATGAAGGATCTGTTTACAAGGTCTGCCACACACTTACATTTTCTACCCTCTTCTTGTTGACTGCCAGACCACCCTTGAGGGTCTCCTTGCTGACTACAATGCACTTCAGGTCAGGATCTGTGATGGATGGACCAAAGTAGTCAAACAGAGGGAATATTTCATACAGCAAGGAGGGCTTGATGTCTACCAGAAATTCGTTGAGTTGAGTCACACGTTGTTCAAAGGGAAGGATCAGCTCCTTTAATAGCTTATCTGTAAGACAAAAAGAAGGGAAGAGTCACTTTTTGGAATGCACAAAGAGCTCTCCATGCAGGACTGGTGGGGCCCTGACTGTGAGAGCCGTTCAGCAGTGGAACTCTCTGCCCCGGAGTGTGGTGGAGGCTCCTTCTTTGGAAGCTTTTAAGCAGAGGCTGGATGGCCATTTGTCAGGGGTGATTTGAATGCAATATTCCTGCTTCTTGGCAGGGGGTTGGACTGGATGGCCCATGAGGTCTCTTCCAACTCTTTGATTCTATGATTCTATGATTCTATGACCTTCCCTCAAGAAAACGCATTGTGCAACAAATTCACAGATTTGATAAAAAATACTATTTCTAGGAGATAATCTTTGAGCACACCAGTGTGACTCTGTAGTCAGCTTCCTCCAGGAGTTTCTAGAAAGAACTTCTCTTTAGGAATCTCTAAGATCTCCAGTGCGATTGTTAAATTTCCCAGAGAAATTGGCCATAGACTTGCACTGATGGTACCAAGAGAAAAGGGTATAGCTAAAAAAAGGTTTTAAATATGCAACTAAGCCTGGCTTCTAAAAAGTTATGTATGTTTTAGTAGGATTTTATGTTTTATGATGTTTATTTTCATTTGTCTGTATGGTTTTCCTTTCTGGCAATTGAATATTTTGCCTTATATGTTGGAAACCACCCCGAGTCCCCTTTGGGAAATAGGGCGGTATACAAATAATAATAATAATAATAATAATAATAATAATAATAATAATAATAATAATAATGGCCTCAGGGCCCCTGGGGCGCAGCAGATAAAACTGCTAAGCTGCTGAACTTGCTCACTGAAAGCTTGGCAGTTCAAATCTGGGGAGCGGGGTGAGCTCCTGCTGTTAGGGCCAGCTTCTGCCAACACAGCAGTTCGAAAACATGCAAATGCGAATAGATCAATAGGTACTGCTTCTGCAGGAAGGTCACAGTACTCCATGCAGTCATGCTGGCCACATGACCTTGGAGGAGTTTATGGACAACGCCAGCTCTTCGGCTTAGAAATGGAGATGAGCACCAACCCCCAGAGTTGGAAGCAACTTAATGTCAGGGGAAACCTTTACCTTTTTATTCTTGACCAGATCCGGCTACCTGGCTTATCAAGTGGCATATCAAAGGCTACCATGCTTACTGAGGGATTGTGAGAGGTGTAGGCCAAAAAAGGATTTTTCCAAACTTCTCTAACAAATGCTCAAAACAATCTGGGTGCTAGAGAGGGATGGACAGTTAGATAAGAGTAAGCTACATAAACAGAGAAATAGCAGTATTGTCTGGAAGTGGGGATTTGGAAAGATTTGGTATGCAGTCATCTCTCCACATTCACTGGAGGTTCATGAAAATGAAAAACTTCAAACTACAGCTCACCTTTCTAATGATCTCTAGGCCTTCCAGCACAACTCTATGGTCTATTTCTCTGGTAAATATAACAAATAATCACACTGGAGATCCTAGAGATTGCCATAGAGAAGTTCATTTTAGAAAATCCCAGAGGAAGCTGACTTTAGAGAATCTCTAAGTACTGGGTTCTCTCCTAGAAATAATATTTTTTATCAATTCTGTGAATAATCAAATTCGCAAAAGTCAAAATTACAATTGTAGAGGGACAACTGCACTTCTACCTAAAGACCCCACCACCACTCAGACCAATTCATTCAGCTGAAACCATCTTGTTTGGTTTTTGATAGGCTGCAAAAGCCCTTGCACCAAGCATCTTGAAGGAGGGAAAAGCAAACAATTGACCACAAAGATTTATGGCTCCAAGAGTATCTTGAACCTGATAAGACCAGGCATTTTATTATGCTTCTCCTGCTCTTGTGCAAGAGGCACCCTGTCCAAACCAAGATTGAGTTGAGGAGAGGTTCCAGGAGACTTATTTCCTAGAAATATCTGGTGGGTTCTGGGTATGATAATGCAAACATGTTATTTTTTCCCCAAAGCCTGCATATCTGTATGGTATGCATCAGGACTTCTTAAACCTTTTCCACTCCTGACTCCCTTTCTGTTGACAAATTTTATGTGACCCAGGCATATAAAATAGACATAAAAATCAAACATTTACTGATAATAAATCAGCATTTGCAAGGCTTGCTAAAAAAGCTGATCTTCCCTTTTATAAAGTACATTTTGTGCAGAGCCTACTGTAAATGCTGCACATTGTTGCTTAACAGATTTGTGTGAGTCTGTGATGATTAGAAAACTTTTACAAAAATTTTCGTGAGCTAAAGGGAGGTTTCAAGCATATTTAAGTTACACTCAGAAAAAGCCACACTGAATTGAATGCTCCTTACTTCTCAAAAGATATGCACTGAATATGCATTACTCTAGAACCATGATTCTCCATTTCTATCCCACAAACTCTAAAAACTTTTTTAAAAACCACAGTGAATTCATTTTCTAAATTTCAAGTGACCTATGGCATATTCCGTTGGACCAGACAGACTGGATCCACAAACAAAACCAGAAAACTTAGCTCTCTAGGGCATTTTAGTTGTTAAACCTGTAGTTCTGGACCCTGGAAAGTGGTACATCCCTGCTGAATATGAGAAACAGTTTAAAGAAAACTGCTGGTGCAAGTAGTCTCAGTAGCTGACAGATATAAAATGAGGAAATGTCCACACACACACACATCCTAAGCATCTATAGTGGATTCTTGTGAGGTGTTCACAGATATCACCTGAAAATGCAAGAGGGGGATGTGGAAGGTGAGGCTTTTAGTTATAACTGGGGAATATTGTGTATACGAGTTATTAATGTAAGGTTTTTTTCCTTTCTAATTGTGTTAGAGAGTATGTTAACAGGGAGATTGGAAATGGGAATTGTTTACTAGCAACATTTTAAAGATTTTTTAATATATATAAACCATAAATCCCAGTATGATTCATCTAAATCAAACACTGATGATATAAAGGACTGAAAATGTTGGGACACATAAAGATATTAAGATAGTTTTGAAAAATCAGTATTTCTCTATGTTACATATTCCTAAACATTTGATGCCAGTAAGTAAATAATGACAGGCTAAACCCAATTATAAGGCCTATCTAGAAAAGAGCCACAGAATTAAAGGAATTTAAGTGTTGATTTAACAAGCCCATTTAATTAGTGTACTCTAATTGGGACTAATGATATATCACAGAATCATTGAGTTGGAAGAGAACTTGTGGACCATCCAGTCCAACCCCCTGCCAAGAAGCAGGAAAATTGCATTCAAAACACCCCCGACAGATGGCCATCCAGCCTCTGTTTAATAGCCTCCAAAGAGGAGCCTCCATCACACTCCAGGGCAGAGAGTTCCACCACTGAACAGCTCTCCTTACAGTTAGGAAGTTCTTCCTAATGTTCAGGTGGCATCTCCTTTCCTGTAGTTTGAAGCCATTCTTCCTAAAAGCTTTTCCAAGGCCTTAAATTGCATTTAACTTAAAGAATAAGAGCTATAAAACATGTAAACTTCCTTCTTTCCCTTGCTGTTACCATAACTCCTGCTCCAGGATTTTACAGTTGTGCTCCCAATCATAGATTATATATGAAGAATCTGGAGTATTTTAAGAATTCTCCTGATTCAAGAGTAGCTTGTGTTTTAGGACTGTAGTTCCCATCAGCTCTAGTTAACCAAGCTAATGATGAAGAAAGCTTGGAGCTACAGTCCAAAAATTACCGCAAGACTGATTTTCCCCCATCTTGACCTAAATGCTCATGATTTTTCTAAACAGCTTTGCAGGAGCTTGGAAAAAGGGCATACATGGTTCAAAGAGACCCACTTTCCAGGAGATCTTTGTCGGAGACGCCAACTAGTAGCCGATTTTCCGCCAGCATACAGCTCACACTCAGAAGTATCTTGTGACCGTTGTGAAGTCTATCGAAAGTGCCTCCCACGACAACATCACTGTAGCTCTGCAAGGGCTCGTCTTTCACACTGGTCTCCTGCTGTGGGGACAGATCACCATCTGGGGACAGATCGCCATCGCTAGATTCTAGTTCATACTCTGGGTATAACAGGACAGAGATGAGATTGGGTCGACAACTGTAGCAGCTAGTGGCATAGCGCTCTAAGCGTTGCTTGACTGGATTGGACTGCCCACCATCTCCAGTTTCAAAGTCAGTGAGCACCACTTCAGGTGGCTGGGAGAGATTCTGTACAGATCCAAGCACTGGAGGAGACGTTCCCTGGTTGAGAATGTTAGTGAGCAAGACCCGGACATCAAGGTGGTGATGGACGCCAGCATCAGCATACAACTTGCTGATAAGGCTGTAGACTTCAGATGTAGCTGGAACATATGTGGAACGGGGCTGTGTAGATCCTGTCAGGCTGAGCCCTGGCTGCAGGTGAATATAGAGGGTGTCTTGTACCAGCCGAGCAGCTGATGTGAGAATGGGAACAAGACGCAAGGAAAGTTTTGACAGTGGTGATGTGAGAACCAGCAGGCCTGAACGGAAAACCGACATGCTGCTCAGCAGGCAACACACCCAAACAGTTGTGCAAAAGAGAAGAGAAACAAAGGTTAGTGAGAGACAACAAACAGACTTTATACAATGCAACCATTGCCTACCACACACAAACTGAAATATCGGATCATGAACCTGGATTAGAATTTTTCAAATGCCGTTCAATAACATTGAGAAGACACTTTCATGAGGTATGAAGAATCAGGTGCTCTAAATTGTTGGGCTTAGTGAGATGAAATGTGAATATAGGCAATCCCCAGGTTACGAACAAGATAGGTTCTGTAAGTTTGTTCTTAAGTTGAATTCTATGTAAGCTGGAACAGGTATATTTTTAAGTATAACTACAGCAAAATAATAATAATAATAATTATTATTATTATTATTATTATTATTATTATTATTATTATTATTATTATTATTATAGCACGGGGAAGGGTTAACACCCCTGTACCAATTGTTTTACTGTCTGTTCAGAAGATCTCATCCCACTTTCTATCAGTGTGACAATTGGATTTTGAGAATTCTGGGTTGTTGTGAAACAAGGATTGGTGACAAAGCTTTAGTAGAGATACCTTTTTTCCCATGATAACTCTTACAGGAGTAAATTTCTCTTCCTAGGGATAGATTTCCTCTCACTTCCTGTTGTCTCACCTCCATATCTAATTAGGAGTTGCATGGGACTTCCTGTAGAGTAGCTGATTTATGCATAATATAAAATGCATACACCTATAGTTACTTTGCCAATTAAAAGTCCCCTACTTCTCTTCTTCTGTTTGTTCATTTAAAGCTCTCTATTTAACATTAGTTAATAGGCAATTTAACATGTGCAAATCAGTAACAGAGAGCATTTCCTTCCTACTTCTTAATACATTAACTCCCAGGAAAACGGCTGAAAAGAAAGATTAGAAGGTGAGGCTATTTTATAAAGTCACAAGCTATCCCCTGCCACGCATTGCTGTGGCACAGTCTGGTGATCTGGAAAATAAAGGAATTAGGAAGTGTTGGTTTCTAATATATGTAATTTCTTTGTGCTTGTGGGAAAACAGTATTTTTGCTGTTTCTTTGTCAGTGTTGATGTAGAGATTGTCTGGTTTGCACACTCTGGAACATGCAACACATAATTGTCCTTCTTTAGGGGTCCCTTTCAAGTCTATGATACTATATCTGTGTGTGTGTGTGTGAATCATATATATCTATCTATATCTATGGCTGGATGGCTCTTTGTCAGGAGGGCTTTGATTACATTTTCTTGCCCTGGTGAAGGGAGTTGGACTGGATGGCCTTAAGTATGGGGGTTCTGTGTGGGAAGTTTGCCCCAATTCTGTCGTTGGTGGGGTTCAGCAAGCTCTTTGACTGTAGATGAATTATAAATCCCAGTAACTACAACTCCCAAATGTCAAGATCTATTTCCCCCACACTCCATCTGTGTTCATATTTGGGCATATGGAATATTTGTACCAAGTTTGGTCCAGATCCATCATTATTTGAGTCCACAGTGCTCTCGGGATGTAGGTGAGCGATAACTCCCAAACTCAAGGCCAATGCCCACCAAACTCAGTTTTTTCTGTTGGTCATGGGAGCCCTGTGTGCTAAGTTTGGTTCAATTCCATCATTGGTGGAGTTCAGAATGCTCTTTGATTGTAGGTGAACTATAAATCCCAGCAACTACAACTCCCAAATGGCAAAATCAATTTTTTGAGTGATGGTCACTCCTTGGGTTAGTAGGTGTCTTGTGGTCAAATTTGGCGGCAATTCATCCAGTAGTTTTTGTGTTATGTTAATCCCACAAACGAACATTACATTTTTATTTATATAGATTACTCCTGTCTCCTTTTCTCAAGGCTCCACAATCTTCTATTCTCAGTTCCTTGAAGTAAGGGCACTTCCACACAGCCCTCTATCCCAGAATATATGACAATCCACACTGTCATATATTCCAGTCCAAAGCAGAAAATATGGTCCCCTTCCACACAGCTGAATAAAATCTCACATTTTCTCCTTTGAACTGGAATATATGGCACCATGAACTCAGAGCCCTTCCACACAGCCCTATATCCCAGAATATCATGGCAGAACATCCCACAATATCTACTTTGAACTGGGTTGTCTGAGTCCACACTCAGATAATGTGGGATTATCTGACTTGATATTCTGGGTTATATGGCTGTGTGGAAGGACCTACCTAGATCTACAGCTCCCATGATTCCATAGCCTTGAGCCTTGGCAGTTCAAGTGGTGTCAAACTGTGTTAACTCTCCAGTGGAGATGCAACCTGAGAGCCAATAAACAAAGACGTGTAAGGCCTCCTTTTTACCCACTCCTCTCTCTTTCCAAGGGCCCTTCTACACAGCCCTATATCCCAGAATATCAAGGCAGAATATCCGACAATATCTGCTTTGAACTGTCATCGAACACAGAAACCCCTGCCTTCAAGTTGATCTGACTGCAGCAGGGAGTTCCGCAGTTCCTGATAGTGTGGGATTTCCTGCCTTGATATTCTGGGACATAGTGCTGTGTATATGGCACCATGAACTCATGCTTGCACACAGTTCTATATCCCAGAATATCATGGCAGAGAATTCCACAATATCTACTTTGAACTTGGTTATCTGAGTCAAATAATGTGGGATTTTCTGCCTTGATATTCTGGGATATAGGGCTGTGTGGAAGGACCCACCCAGATCTACAGCTTCCATGATTCCATAGCCTTGAGCCCTGGCAGTTCAAGTGGTGTCGAACTGTGTTAATTCTCCAGTGGAGATGAAACCTGAGAGCCAATAAACAAAGACGGATAAGGCCTCCTTTTCACCCACTCCTCTCTCTTTCCCAGGGCCCTTCTACACAGCCCTATATCCCAGAATATCAAGGCAGAAAATCCCACAATATCGGCTTTGAACTGGGTTATCTTGTCATCGAACAGAAAGTTGATCTGACTGCAGCAGGGAGTTCCACAGTTCCTGATAGTGTGGGATTTCCTGCCTTGATATCCTGGGATATAGGTCTGTGTGGGAGGGGCCCCAATCTTTTAAAAATACAAAGAGGCATGTAGGAAGAACACAGAAACCCCTGCCTTCAAGTTGATCTGACTGCAGCAAGGAGTTCCACAGTTCCTGATAGTGTGGGATTTCCTGCCTTGATATTCTGGGATATAGGGCTGTGTGGGAGGGCCCCCAATCTTTTAAAAATATAAAGAAGCAGGCAGAAAATGATACTGAAAAGGAAGACCCACAGAGCCAACATTTGCCCACACTCTGGGGGTGCATCTACACTGGAGAATTAACGCAGTTTGACACCACTTGAACCGCCAGGGCTCAAGGCTATGGAATCATGAGAGCTGTAGATCTGCGAGATCTTTAGCCTCCTCTGACCGAGTTCAGGCGCTTCACCCAACTACAACTCCCAGCTGTAGCTGTCAGACATGGCTGATCAAGTGGCATCAAACTGCGTTAATTCCCCAGTGTAGATGCCAGGCTCAGCGCCAAGACTCTCCCGAGGCTTCACAGCCCACAGCAGAAAAGAAAGAAAGAAGGACCAAATCCCCCAACTGGCGCTCACCTGCTGGGCAGCCCCAGCTGAAGCCTCGCCCGACCCGGAAGGACTTTCGTCAGAACCGGAAGCATTTCTTCACTGAGGGGTGGGAGAGAGAGAGAGAGAGAGAGAGAGAGAGAGAGGCATAAAGTATTTGAAATGATTTAAATACTTGAATTAAAAAGCTTTGTATTGTCCTTTGGATGGGATCAGTCTGGCTCTTTTAGATTACCTTTTAAGTAAAGGCAATCTTATTATATCCAGTTCCATTTGAGCAATTTCAGATTGAAAAGCTAAGAAAGGGCGGGATGGGGCGTGGCCAACTGAAAGGGGCGTGGCTTTGGCGAAATGGGGGCGTGGCCTCGCTTGGCTTCCATCCACAGTGCCTGATGCTGGCTCTGTAGGAATGCAATTTGACAGCAGTTGGATTGCTGTGACTCAATGCTAGGGAATCCTGGTTGTGGTTTGACAAGCTCTTTAGCCTTCTCTGCCAAAGAGTGCTGGTGCTTCCATAACTCCAAATCCCAGGATCCTGTAGCAGTTAAAGGGATGTCAAACTGGATTAATTCTATAGTGTAGATGTACTCCAACACTCAAACCATACACACACACACACACACACACACACACACACGAGGGTTGAATGAAAAGTAATGCCTCCACCTTCGTTACTTGGGTTTGGATGGGAATATTTTAATAAATCAAACGCAGAAATAATCCTTAGAATGTGCTCTTTAACTACCACTCTTCACTTTCCCACATAATCACCAGATAATTGGATACATTTCTGCCAACGATGAACAAGTTTTCTGAAGCCATCACGGAAGAAGTTGACACTCTGTTTCCGCAACCCATCGTGCACAGATCTTCCAATAGCCAAGCAAAGTAATAATGTTGAAGGAGTAGGTTCTTGTGGGGTTTTTCGGGCTATATGGCCATGTTCTAGAGGCATTTCTCCTGACGTTTCGCCTGCATCTATGGCAAGCATCCTATGGCAACCAACCTGGATACAGCATTTTATTTGAGAACACAAAAATGCTGGACCACTCTCACAACCACCATGTCAGACTACACAGAGAAGCCATTGAAATACACAAACATGTGGACAATTTCAACAGAAAGGAGGAAACCATGAAAATGAACAAGATCTGGCTACCAGTATTAAAAAAATTCTAAAATTGCAACAGCAAAAACAGCAGAGAGGAAACAGGCAGGGACATCTAATCACCTTCAAGAAGAGTTTGCTCCAGGCACAGTCAGCCCATTGTATGCTAATCAAGGTGGTCAGTTGAAAGATTCACACCTAGCCCAACTTACAAAAGCCCTTTGTCTCACCCTGGTCATTCCACAGATATATAAACCCCCTTTTTCCCAGTTCCAGCAGACCTCACCTCTGAGGATGCTTGCCATAGATGCAGGCGAAACGTCAGGAGAAATGCCTCTAGAACATGGCCATATAGCCCAAAAAAACCCACAAGAACCTAGTGATTCCAGCCATGAAAGCCTTCGACAATACAAAGGGTCTCTGAGTGAAATTAAGTAAGGGGCTTTGAATGAAATTAACAGCAAAAGAGAGACATATCCTTTCTCTGTAGAAAAAGAGCAGCACGGAAGAAATTTTTTTTTAAGAAACAAGATGTGACATGTAGAGGTACTTTTCTTACACAGGATGTTGTTGTGGTTAACTTCAAAGGTTGTTTTTGAAGCGCAGAGGCCGCATGTACAAGAAGGTACTTTCCATCAAAAGGTCAAGAGAGGGGGCTGGAAAGAGAGTACTTTCCATGACAAAAAATGTTCTTGTTTACTTGAGGTTATATATTTGGTGGTCAAAAGCCAAGGGGGCACGGCAGTCACTTGAAGGGTAGCATCTGTGCATGCTACCCGGCTGTCCGTCTTCTTCATGAAGAAATTAAAAATAAAACCTTGGTTTTTTTATCTTTCATTGGCACTATCTCCTTCCTTTCATGTTCCCATGATGTGGACCTAAGAAGACCCAATTTAGGGTCTCTAACAATGTGATCCACATGTTCTTGTGAAATGCCGATTATGCTTGAAATTTCTCTCTGAGTTTTATGATGATCATCCTTTTGTCATCCTGTCAACCTTTTGTTTGTGAAACTCAGTGGTTGCTGTCACGGGACCTCCAACTCTTTGTCACGCAAGTCAGATGTTCCCATCTCAACATCTTTAAACTTACTCACCTAACGACGCACAGTACTCACATCAACACAATCACCATGAACAGCTTGTATTCTCTGATGAATCTCATTTGGGATGACATCTTCTGCTGTCAAGAATTCAATGAGTGCATGTTGCTTAAGTCGCATTGACTGACCATCTGTGCAGAGTTCCATACTTTGCACTTGAACAACACACCCATTCAATGCTAAGGCTTCCCGCCAAAATGGAACTGTAGAGGAGTGTCTACTGAACAAGCCAATACCTGCCACATACCAGTACCATCATTGGTTGACGAGTTACGAAGGTGGAGGCATTACTTTTCATTCAGCCCTCGTGGGGTGGTGGGGTGAGTGTGTGTGTGTGTGTGTATACACACACACACACACACACACACACATACATACATACATATATATATATATATATATATATATATATATGGAGAGAGAGAGTTGCCAGATATAATACATGGAGCAAGAGTTGCCAGATGTACAAGCTGGGTTTAGAAAAGGCAGAGGAATGAGACACCAAATTGCCAATATCCGCTGGATAATGAAGCAAGGCAGGGAGTTTCAGAAAACACCTATTTCTGTTTTATTGACTATTCTAAAGCCTTTGACTGTGTGGATCATAATAAATTGTGGCAAGTTCTTGGTGGTATGGACATACCAAGCCACCTTGTCTCTCTCCTGAGGAATCTGTATAAGGACCAAGTAGCAACAATAAGAACTGACCATGGAACAACAGTCTGGTTCAAGATTGGGATTGTATACTCTCATAACCTATTCGACTTGTATGCAGAACACATCATGAGATGTGCGGGGCTTGACCAATGCAAGACTGGGGTTAAAATTGCTGGAAGAAACATTAACAATCTTAGATATGCAGATGATACCACTTTGATGGCTGAAAGTGAGGAGGAGGAGCTGAGGAGCCTTCTAATCAAGAGGAAAGAAGAAAGTGCAAAAGCTGGGTTACAGCTAAACATAAAAAAACCAAGATTATGGCAACAAGAATGATTGACAACTGGGAAATAGAGGGAGAAAACGTGGAGGCAGTGACAGACTTAGTATTTTTGGTGCAAAGATTACTGCGGACGCAGACTGCAGCCAGAAAATCAGTAGATGCTTACTTCTTGGGAGGAGAGCCATGACCAACCTCGATAAAATAGTGAAGAGTAGAGACATCACACTGGCAATGAAGATCTGCATAGTTAAAGCAATGGTATTCCCCATAGTAACCTATGGATGTGAGAGCTGAACCATAACGGATGCTGAGCAAAGGAAGATAGAAGCTTTTGAACTGTGGTGTTGGAGGAAAGTTCTGAGAGTGCCTTGGACTGCGAGAAGATCCAACCAGTCCATCCTCCAGGAAATAAAGCCTGACTGCTTATTGGAAGGAAGGATATTAGAGGCAAAGATGAAGTACTTTGGCCACATCACGAGAAGACAGGAAAGCTTAGAGAAGACAATGATTCTGGGGAAAATGGAAGGAGAAAGGAAGAGGGGCCATCCAAGATGGATGGATGGTATCCTTGAAGTGACTGGCTTGACTCTGAAGGAGCTGGGGGGTAGTGACGGCTGACAGGGAGCTCTGGCATGGTCTGGTCCATGAGATCACAAAGAGTCGGAGGTGACTGAACAAATAAACAAAAATTACAACATGGGGAAGCATTCACCCATATGCTAAACTCCACTTAATATTGAAACACAGAACACAAAATTAAAGAGCTGCAAGACTAAGGGCTGGCATTATTGAAGCAATGGCCAATTAAAGCTCATTAAATTAACAAAAAACTGTTCCAGAAAATGAAATATGCTAGAAATACTTTGCTAATATGGATGGGAAAGCTTTGAAGTATCAGCATTAAACACGGGTCAACACACATTTTGGTATCTCAAATGTTCGCCTTGTTTCTGGATATATTTGACCTACTACTTCCAAAAATGGCATTTTTCCCCTATCAGCTCTACTTTTTGGGATACAGAACATATGGCATCTACTAGTCAGGGATCTGCTCACTCATAAAAAACCCTGGGCCCTTCCACACAGTTCTATATCCCAGAATAAAGTAGACAATCCCACATTTTCAAAGCAGATATTGTAGGATTTTCTGACTTGATATTCTGGGATATAGGGCTGTGTGGAAGGATCCCCTGATAACCATATTTGAGGGCCCTTCCAGACAGGCCCTATATCCCATGATCCCAGGTTTTCTGTTTATCTTAGATTATCTGGCAGTGTGGACTCATATAATCCAGTTTAAAGCAGAAAACCTGGGATCAGATCCTGGGATACAGGGCCTGTCTGGAAGGGCTCTCAGCCCCCTTCTACACTGCCATAAAACCCAGATTATGAAATCAAATAATCCAGATTATCTATTTTGAACTAGATTATATGAGTCAGATAATCCAATTCAAAGCAGATAATCTGCATTTTATATGGCAGTGTAGAAGGGGACTAAAAAAATAAAGCAATCTTCTGAATCAGCGGCCCAAATAATCCCAAGAATAGACCTAAAATCCAAGATATCAAGAAAAAAATGACCCTGAAGTCTCAGTGTTTGGGATAGCTTTGAACCAGTCTGTGACACCTATCCAACATTCACCTCCTGGAACTGATATGCAAAATATCAAGGCAGGCTTAAATTCCAAAGCGTCCCATTTGGAAAACTCTTGTCTTTCTCTCCTATATGCATACACTCACACACATTTCTACCTGGTTAGAGGAACTTGTATGGGGAGGGCAAAGTGTTGTACCCATCCCTATTATTCAATTATCCTTAAGCACGATGTTTACCCTCTGTGTGTTTAGTGTAGTTTACCCCCAGATTACTTGTTGTTGTTGATGCCTGGGCCTGAAGGCTCAATAGCAATCACTGCCTTAATATTTCTTATGCTTTATCATATAGCACCCTTCAATCTGGAGTCCACACACATCTACCCACTCTCATATTATAGGAGCATTTTGGTGTGCATCATCTGAGAGCTCAGGCAAAGGTGACAGAGTGAGTGCCCTTCCACACAGCCCTATATCCCAGAATATCAAGGCAGAAAATCCCACATTATCTGAGTGTGGACTCAGATAACCCAGTTAAAAGCAGATATTGTGGGATTTTCTGCCTTGATATTCTGGGATATTGGGATGCGTGGAAGGGCCCTGAGAGTCCAGGTCCAGGAATATATGAAATGAAATAAAACAACCTCAATGAAATTGCTGAAATTGCATTTTATAGCTGCTCATTTATACACAGAATACATCTATACATCATGCCACAAAGAACAATTTAAAACAGGCATAAACCCTAATATCTCCCTCCATCCCTCACCCAGGTACTTTATGTGATAATTTATTGCCTTTCCCTTCTTTTCAGATATCTGAAGAAAGGAGACGACTTCATTATACGAGATTTACATGGGTTCACATGACAGTATGAACTGAGGCCCCATCTACACTGCCATCTAAAATCCACATTATTTGTTTTGAACTGGATTATATGGCAGTGTAGACTCATATAATCCAATTCAAAGCAGATAATCTGGGATCAGATCCTGGGATATAGGGCAGTGTAGATTCAACATGATGGTTGTCTCCACGTCTTTGATGAAATGTCAGGCATCTTTGGTCATAAAACATCATATTGCACATGGTAGACTTTGTCAGCAGGTAAGAATATACATTTATATATTAATATTAATATCAATATCCATAGAGTGTTTCATCCTCACAATACTCATGGGCATGTATATACAAAAGGATATTGTAGCATGTTTAAGACTGCTTTCGTCTGATGAAGTAGACTAAGGACTTTATCAGACATAACACAGAAAACGCTTTTAAAATAGCCAACCCATGATTTAAGAAGGCTAGGTAAGGACTGGATATATATCCACCCCATCACATCCAAATCTCTCCTTTCTATATCCGATAAAATAATGTGCTTTTGACTTATCGCACTGCAGAGGGAGGACTCCTCCCAATCCATTCAATGTTCCCCGTATCACTGACTTCCATTTATTTATTTACTTGGCATATCTTGCACAACCACAAAAGTTTATGACCTCCATCAAAATGTAAAAACTTTTTTTGGTCCTGTGGAACGGTGTAGTTCTGTTTTTTTTTTTTAAAGGAAACATTCCCAGGGAAGTGGTCACATTAATTGCTTTATCATTCTCTGAATTCCACTGGAAATGCAATTCCAGTTGTTTCAGCAAAGGAGAATCAAATCAGATAAAATATCACATCCAAAACATGCTCCAAAAGACATGTCACTTGCACAGAGGATGAGCTGCAGACAAATATAAAGGTTGAGTAAAGTTGATTGTTTCCCACTGTACAAAAGGTACTGTTAGCAGATCCTTTCCCTAATGAGTGCCTACAGATTAGCTACAAAATGCACCTTCTGTCATGGGAAAGGATTTGTAGGCACCAGTAGGCAAAATGGCATCAGAGACGGGGTATAACACTGTGATAAGGTACTAAGGGTGCATCTACATCACAAAATTAATGCTGTTTGACACCATGGCTCAAGGCTATGGAATCATGAGTGTTTTGGTTCGATATCATCTTAGCCTTCTCTGCCAAAGGATGCTGGTGCCTCACCAAACTACAGCTCCCATAATTCCATAGCACGATCATTAAAGTATCAAGCTTCATTAATTCTGGGTTGTTGTAGGTTTTTTTGGGCTATATGGCCACATTCTAGAGGCATTCTCTACTGACGTTTCACCTGCCTCTATGGCAAGCATCTTCAGAGGTAGTGAGGTGACCTCACTACCTCTGAGGATGCTTGCCATAGATGCAGGTGAAATGTCAGGAGAGAATGCCTCTAGAACGTGGCCATATAGCCCAGAAAAACCTACAACCACCCAGTGATTCCGGCCATGAAAGCCTTCGTCAATTCATTAATTCTATAATAATAGGCACCCTTCTACAAAAGCTTATGCTACAAAATTATTTCAGTCTCAGAGGTGTTTCATTATCCCTTTGCATACCAATGCCAAACAACACAATTATGTCTTTGAATTTTAACACTTGTGAAGTAGGATAGTCTGAAAGATAGTGATTTGTCCAAGGTACAGCAACAAGGTTCACACCGAGTTGGAACTTATTGTAGGGTCTCTCATGATCCTGGTTTGGCACTGTAACCATTATATCACATGGGCTCTTAAATGAACTGGGTTTACGAAGAACTTGCTTAGGATGGGTGAAGGGATATGAAATCATTAACAATTCTTTCTTTTTTAAAGCCACAGTGCAACACCAAAGCAGCAAAACGAAGGTGGTCATCATCAGCAAGACACCTGAATAGAATGAAAAAAATAGAGAGAGAGAAGGCATCAAAAAAGAGAAACAATTTGCAGAAGAACTAAACATGTCTGAACAGACATAGGGAACATGTAGATGAGTTGCCGAACATTATTTCATTTTGTAAACATTTCTTGAGTGAAGCCACAATCTTTTCCTTCTCCCATTGCAATGCAAAAACTGTTGAATGTGTAACAACTGCCATTCTTAGGGATTTAGTCATTTTGAAAAAAATCCAATTTTCTTCATAGTTTTATGATAGAATCATAGAATCATCGAGTTGGAAGAGACCTCATGGGTCATCTAGTCCAACCCCCTGCCAAGAAGCAGGAAATTGCATTCAAAGCACCCCCTATAGATGGCCATCCAGCCTCTGTTTAAAAGTTTCCAAAGAAGGAGCCTCCACCACACTCTGTGGCAGAGAATTCCACTGCTGAATGGCTCTCAGAGTCAGGAAGTTCTTCCTAATGTTCAGATGGAATCTCCTTTCTTGTGGTTTAATATTACTCAATGTTATGAACTTTACTGAATTAATCATATACATTTGAATTGCTCTAGTAGGCAACAGGGCTGTAACAAACAGGATGCAATGAGAATATTCATCTCTTCCCACTCAGATGGTGCTTCCAGAAAAGCTTGTGCAACCACTGTGTCTCATTTGCTGAATTTTATTAGGAGACTGGAATCTAACAACTTTTTACACCACAGTTATAGTGCTATGATCCCACTTTAACTGCAACAGTTCCATCTTATGGAATCCTGGAATTTGCAGTTTTCTGAAGCCTATTTAGAAATTTTAGCCAGAAATCTCTAGTGCCTCACCAAACTGCATATCTATATGACATTGCTGTTAAGTGATTTCAACATCCACATTCTGGGAAGCATGTCTAGCTTCCCAGAAGGCCAAATTAGACACAGACAGGTTGAAGGCAAAATCAGAGGTTTATTCTTAATGGTGAGAGAGGATGTCAGTGAAGAAAGCACTCCAAAGAACCAACATACCACAGTTGTGAACACAGATATTTACTGTTGTTGTTGTTGTTCATTTGTTCATTTGCTGTTGTTGTTCATTTGTGACCTCATGGACCAGCCCATGCCAGAGCTCCCTGTCGGCCATATTTGATAGCTATTCAAAGTTGTGCTGACTCTTCATTGGCTCATAAATTGTTTGGTTAGGATGCGTTGCCTAAGTGGTCCAGGACTCTGTCATTATCACTAGTTGGTTCTTGCTTTGGTGGGAAACTTTAATAAACTGTCCTTGGTTTATTTTGAAGAGCCTGTCAATTCATTGATCTGCCCCTGAGGGGGGGGGGGGGTAACACAAAAGGAATGTGGTGTGGCAATCAATATTGGGTTCATGATAGGCTTAATGGTTGGGATTCGGAGGATACAATGGTTTGTTTGGGTTTTTTTTTCATGTCAGGAGCAACTTGAGAAACTGCAAATCACTTCTGGTGTGAGAGAACTGGCTGTCTGCGAGGACGTTACCCAGGAGGTGCCTGAGTGTTTTTGATGTTTTACCATCCTTGTGGGAGGCTGGAGCTGACAGAGGGAGCTCATCCACCCTCTCCCTGGGTTCGAACCTCTGACCTGTCAGTCTTCAGTCCTGCCGGCACAGGGGTTTAACCCACTTTGCCACTGGGGACTCCGTGATACAATGGTAGTATTCCAGTATAAACAATGGGTATTTTAGGATGTCAGCCACTTCAATAGGTCTGAGGACATAGGAGAGGAATTGCTCACACAGATAACCCAGTATCCGGTGAAACAGGAAAAGAACCAAGGGGATCTGACACAACCCCATTATGTGTTTCCCCCAAGTTCTTCTAATTCATTGTAAAAGGATTGTAGTAATTTGAGGGACTGTTTCCTGATGTCCAAGGTGTGGTAAAGCAACGTTCTAACTAAATTCATAAAGAGTAACTACAGAGCAAAATGGGAAAGGCAAAATGGGTGCGCTGTCTGTCCCCATAGAGCCAAACCTCATAATTCATAATTTGGGGTCCAATTTTTCGATGACAATGCCATAACAGTTAAGGTAAAATCACAGTACTTTAAGTAGGGTTTCTAGATCTCAGGGCCTGGAGAATGTGGGTACAAATTTATCCAGTTTTGGGAAGGCTTTCCTGCTTTGGAAAATTCCAGCTCAGCGAAGTAGAACAGTAGCTTGCTACAATAAACAAGGCTTAATATGTATTGCAACTTTAAAAGATTTTCCAGAAAGTCTATGTGTTCATTTAGCTAACTACCTCTCTCATCCCAGTTGTTGTGGCACCTCCACGCTTCTCCACATTAACTTTTGGCTAGAAGCAAGTAGGCAAATTAAAGATTCTCCATTAATGAGTAAGAAGGAATAATTTCATTTCATCTTGATCTGGGAACAGCTGCTTCAGCTAGGATTTCTATCAATTATCAAACAAAAAAAATTCTCTGTGTATATATGTTTAAATAACAAGCTGTGAGTAACTGTGGTTGGCAGTTAATATACACTGCTAGAATCCATCTCTAGATCTTCAGGTTTGACAGTCTAGATGTATGACTACAACTCCCAAAATTCCTTACCGCTGGACATGATGGCTGGGGCTTATGGGAGCCAGAGACCTCCATCATCATCATCATCATCATCATCATCATCATCATCATCATCATCATCATCATCATCTGGAAGGCCAGATATTCCCTACACCATCATCTAATACATATCATGTTGAACCTAATATACAGTGCAGAAGAACTTTGTGATTAATGCTTACCTGTTGTTCTTGTCTATTCATTCATTTGCTTCCGGCTCCTGGACCACCAAATCTTGCTCTTCCTGTGCCTCATCCATCCTGATGTTGCTGTGATTCATTGAGACCCAGACAAACACTGGAGCAGTTCTCCCCACGTTGATGCCTTTAGTGCTGAGATATGACTGCAGGGCACGAAGAAACTACACAATGGGAAATCATATGAAACACTCTAGTTCAGTGGTTCTCAACCTTCCTAATGCCGCGACCCCTTAGTACAGGTCCTCATGTTGTGGTGACCCCCAACCATAATGTTATTTTCATTGCTACTTCATAACTGTAATTTTGCTACTGTTATGAATTGTAATGTAAATATCTGATATGCAGGATGTATTTTCAGTCACTGGATCAAATTTGGCACAAATACCCAATATGCCCAAAATTTGAATACTGATGGGGTTGGGGGTGATTGATTTTGTCATTTGGTAATCCTGGAGTTGCTGGGATTTATAGTTCACCTTAAATCAAAGAGCCTTCTGAACTCCATCAATGATGGAATTGAATCAAACATGGCACAGAATTCCCATGACCAAGAGAAAATATTGGGAAGGTCTGGTGGACATTGACCTTGAGTTTTTGGAGTTGTAGTTCATCTATATCCAGACTGTGGACTCAAGCAACGATGTATCTGGATCAAACTTGGCACAAATACTCAATATGCCCAAATGTGAACACTGGTAGAGTTTGGAGAAAATAGACCTTGCCATTTGGGAGTTGTAGTTGTTGGGATTTATAGTTCACCCACAATGAAATAGCATTCTGAACCCCATCAATGATAGAATTGGACCAAACTTTCCACACAGAACCCCCATGATCATTAGAAAATTCTATGTTTTCTGATGGTCTTTGGTGACCCCTCTGGCACCCCCTCGCGACCCCCACAGAGGTCCCGACCCCCAGGTTGAGAAACACTGCTCTAGTTATTGCTTGCCAGAATCTGGATTAGCACCTCCTTAGTTCCCTTTGGAATCTCTCTCTGGGCCCTTCCACACAGTTCCATCTCCCAGAATATCAGGGCAGAACTTCTCACAATATCTGCTTTGAACTGGGTTATCTGAGTCCACACTGCCATATATTCCAGTTGAAAGCAGATAATGTGGGATTTTATTCAGCTGTGTGGAAGGGGCCTCTGTTTCTATAGTTTATCTACAGCTATGGCTCCATTTACACTGCCAAATAAAATCCAGATTATCTGATGCGAATTGGATTATGTGGAAGTGTAGACACAGATAATACAGTTTGAAGCAGATAATGTGGATTATCTGATTGGGTAATCTGGATTACTATGCATCCTAACCAATTATATGCATGGTTGGAATGTGTAGTGTGGTAAAGTCCAGAACATTCTTCGCCATAAAAGGAACTGCTATTGTGTGTGTGCTTTGAGTTAAAATGCAATGTTCTTTTTCCCTCAAGCCAAAGAGGCAATACAATATAGTCTTCTGAACTGCCAACAGAAGAAAGGAGGGAGAACAAGTTCTTGAGAGCCATCTACTGTTTCACTTGGAAAACTGTCATTTTTTGGAAAAGCTGCAGCTTAGGCTGGATCTACATCGCCATTTATTTCAAGCAGTTGAGCCACATTATCTGATTTGAATTGGATATGAGACCACATTGCTATATTACCCAGTTCAAAGCAGATAATCTGGATTTTATATGGCAGTGTAGAGGGGTTTTTAGTAGGGAATTGCAGGCTTTGTGTGTCAATCGCTTCTGTCCTTGGTAATTTCAGATTGGACTGGAAGAGATTCCTGAAACGCTGGGAACCTGTTCAGAGTCAGAGTAGATAATATGGATCTAAATGTTCCAATGGTTAGATTCAAAATATCCATCTCTTGCATTGGTTTTTAAGTCATACAGACTGGAGTGTCTGAACAAAAAGACTGTGTGTGTGTGTGTGTGTGTGTCAGGAGCAACTTGAGAAACTGCAAGTCGCTTCTGGTGTGAGATAATTGGCCGTCTGCAAGGCTTCTCTCTTGTCCCTGCATGGGGAGCTGGAGCTGACAGAAGGAGCTCATCCACACTCTCCTCAGATTTGAACCCACGACCTGTCTGTCTTCAGCCCTGCTAGCATAACAGTTTAACCCATTGTTCCACCGGGGGCTTCAACAAAGAGGCTGGAATACCATATTATGAGATTTGGAAGCATGCACAGTTCTGTCCTGTTAATAAAGAAAATTCGTAATTTGGTATACAAAGATAGAAGTATTAGATGGCAGAATACGAGGGTGGTAGAGTAGATAGCACCGCTTCAAGTGTGCACTTTTTGAATTCTTTCATATGTTAAAAAACCCCTATGATTAAATTAAATCCAACAAAATAATATAGTACATCAATAAGAAAGTTTCCAGTCCTGTTTCACCTCTGTTGTTCAGATTTTCCTATTTCAAAATGTTTTAATGTTGGAACATGCATAAACTGTATCTCCCACTTTCAACCTGGAATAGTAGAGTCCATTATTTAAGACTCTTCTGCCTTATAACCACTTCATTGAGTTGGGACATAATGTTATGGCTTTGTATGAGACTATATCAACAAAAAGCATGCCTTCTCCATTTGCTACCTCCCCAGAACCTGCAGGCTTAGCTTGCCTGTTTATCATTTCCAATTCTATTTGAGGCTCCCCTCCTGTTAAAAAAAGGGAAAGGGTCTCCTGCAAACTGTCTTAAAATGAAGAATCATCCCACCTCACGAGATTCAAGTATCCATTATAGGGTTGAATCTTTATGGTATGGCTAAGAGACATGGGAGGGCTCTGGGGGTCTCAACCAGTCAAATATGGACACAAAATTCTCACTCCAAATCCAAAACCAAGCACCAAGGTCTTGAGGATACATCTTACTACATCTGTGGACCCGATCAGGATGGTTTGCTGACCAAACGTATTGGGTTGCCAAAGTGAAAACCGGTATTTAAAAAATTTGTGTAGAGGACTGCATTTCAGCAGGGGTTGCTTATTAATTGACTACTGAGGAGGGAGAAAGCTTGTTTTCTGCTACCCTGGAGACTAGGATGTGGAACAATGGCTTGGAAAGGAGATTCCACCTGAACATTAGGAAGAACTTCCTGACTGTGAGAACTGTTTTGCAGTGGAACTCTCTGTCCCAGAGTGTGGTGGAGGCTCCTTCTTTGGAAGCTTTTAAGCAGAGACTGGATGGCCAACTGTCGGGAGTGCTTTGAATGCAATTTTCCTGTTTCTTGGCCGGAGGTTGGACTGGATGGCCCATGAGGTCTCTTCCAACTCCATGATTCTATGACTGCACGACAAGAAACATCTGCTGATATTCCCTCTTCTATACAACCACTAAGGATGTCTCTCCAGTTTTCTTTCTATCAACCTTATGCCTGGGGAAGAGTACAAAGCAGTTGAAGCTTGACTCAAGAGTGGTGATGGAACCACTCTTCAAGAGAACTTGCTAGTTTTCGGTGTACAAAACAGGTCTTGTGGAACACTGTCCCTCCACCTCATCTCTGACCTGATCTCCATTCTACCTGTTGATACATCCAGCCCCTGCTTTTGCATCAAGCTGAAGCACAATTATGCTTTCTTGTTGTTGTTGTAAGGTAGATAGATGCTTCAGAGTCCTCAGAGCCCCGTGAGGCATTTTCCGACTCAAAGGAAGTAGGATCTTGAGAGAAACACAGAATCTGAGCTCAGAAGGCTCTTGACTTTTAACTGAAGTATCTCTTGAGAAAACAAAAGAAGAGCAACAGGGCAAAAAGGGACAGCAGAGTATGGGGATGAAAAGGCAGTGGGCATCCTGTTTTGGAGAACAAAGTAATTGATGACAATTTGCAGTAAAAATAGTTGGTATGGCTCACACACAAGCAGGAACTGTAAAGCCACAAAGATGGCTTGTTTATTTCTAATCTTACTCACCTCTCTTCTAGGAATTGTTAGGTGATAAGATGGGCAAAGTTTAATTCTGAGTAAGGACTGCACCTTCCAGAATTTTTCTGGCCAGTATGGGTAGTGGCCATGTTGGCTGAGGAATTCTGGGATTTGTACTCTGAAAAATTGACTTTCAAGTCAATTCAAGTCTGCACCAACTTACTAGTAAGCACCACCCTTTGTCCCACCAAATGGTAAACCGGGATTGGGAAGCCTATGGCCAATGTGTTGTAGAAGGCTTTAATGGCTATCTTGGTAAAATGGGGAGTTCTGGGCTGGTGAGAAGAAAGCTGTAGATTTCCTCCTGTGGAACTTTGCATGGTAAATATAGGATCTTGGCCAAAGCCTGCCTTTGCATATTTTACAATTCAAGCCAATGTAACCCCTCTCATGTGAAACGAGCTTTCTTACCAGATCTCTGTTCTTTGGCTGGTCCAGTGCCTTCCACTCCTCATATTGTTTGGGGTTTTTAAGTGCCTGAGCCTGTGCATAAAGACACAGCAGGCTGAGGAACATGAGTTGCAGATGCAGGTTCATCCCTCCTAAAAGAGCTGCCTCTGAGGAAAGAGTAACCGGAGAAGAGAAGGCAAGTCACAGAAAGAACCATATTGGCCAATGTGGCTGAGCTGGTATCAAACTCAAGATCACACTGGATTTTTTTGCAAGGGAAAGGCCAAACTATAATTTGATCTAGGGATCAAACTACAAATTTGCTCAGCTCTATAGAAGGCCACAAAGCTTCTAGGCATCCCTAGAATATCTTTGCAAAGAGGAGAAAAAAAGACATGGATGTTCAAACAAGCATTCGGTTAATCCGGTGCAATGAATTTGATGATCAAAGGACTGGTAATCACAGACGATGAAATTGGATTGCGATTTTAGTTAAGAGATGCATTGGATTGTTATTGGTGGCCCAATACTGTGTACTGTGTCTGTGTTTTTTATGCTTTTTAAATTGAATATTGTTGATTGTTGTAGTGTTGTAAACCGCGTTGAGTCGCCAATTTAGGCTGAGAAACAGCGGTATACAAGCGCAGTAATAAATAAATAATAAATAAATAAATAAAAATACACTCTGTCTTGAGAGAAAGAAAACTATTTTTAGGTAAGTGGAGTAGATACAAGAGACAGCAACATCTAGATAAGTTTGTGTCCTGGGCCAATCTTTCTTAGGAAAAGAGTGGCTAGATTCACGTGACCATAAACATATTTTAAAGCCGAGCTAGGAAAAATTACTTTGCGAACAACAGTTCCTAGAATCTGTGATTAAGCACTGTCACCAGTTGCTAATGTGAAGACTCACATCTAGAATGCATGAAATAACAATTAAGTGAATTTCCTTAAGCCACATTTTAAACCATTGAGTAATTGATGAAACAAGTAGGATTGATTCCTAGCACCTATCCTAAAAAAAATAGCAATCGGCCTCCATCCCAAGTCTTTGTTCTCTACTTAGTCCAAAATGTGGGGACGGGAATCTACAAATAAACACAATTGCTTCCCTGTTTTTTTATGGTGTCCACATTGTAGATTATAAGCTTCTAAGGTACAGACATTGTAAAGCAGAAGTGTGGTACATACAGTCCTCCAGATGTTGTTAGACTCTTCTGTCAGGTCCTGCTAAAATAGCCAATTATGAGGTATGATGGAAATTGTAGTCCATCCTAACTTGAGAATCTTTATCCTTGTAGTAAAGCATTATGTTCACTAGATGGTATTATAGCGACAGACATACAATACTATTCTACTCTGTACTTAAACTATAATAAATTAATACTGGGTTGCTGTGAGTTTTCTGGATTGTATGGCCATGTTCCAGAAACATTCGCTCCTGACATTTCACCCACATCTATGGCAAGCATCCTCAGAGGTTGTGATGTCTGTTGGAAACTAGGCAATTGAGGTTTATATAGCTGTGGAACGTTCAGGGTAGTAGTAATTAATACTACTGCTGGTACTATTACTATTTTCATTTCCATTGATAAATATTGATAGAGATTACAATGATAAATATTTAAGTTAATAAATTAGGCATTTCATTGTTTTAAAATACTAATCCCCAATTGAATTGCCAGATTTTTTTTGGACTACAAGTCTTTCTCTCTCCCAGCTAATTTGACAATGGGAACTAATGTCCAAAACATCTGAAGGACATTCAGGCTGCTAAAAAATGTTATGTGACAATAAAATAAAATTTAAATTTGACAAAGCTGATTGTTCACATCCTGTTCTCCTAAATTTTTGTTAACCCTGCAGTGTCTTTTAAAAATGTTACAGAGGATAACTTAATGACCAAGTTAGGTGAACTTGCTTAAGAATTTCTTCCCACTCACACCGTTAATTTCTGTTGAGAGAAAGCCAGAGGCTTCCAGTTGAACGAAGTGCCCTTCCACACAACCATATAACCCAAAATATCAAGGCATAAAATTCCACAATATCTGCTTTAAACTGAGGTCCCCTTCCACAATAAAATCCTACATTATCTGCTTTGAACCAGAATATGTGGCAATGTGGACTCAGATAACCCAGTTCAATAGATATTGTGAAATTTTCTGCCTTGATATTCTGGGTTATATGGCTGTGTGGAAGGGTCCCGGGTTAACTGAGTCCACACTGCCATATATTCCAGTTCAAAGCAGATAATGTGGGGTTTTATGCCTTGATATTTTGGGTTAACCCGGGACCCTTCCAGACAGCCCAGAATATCAAGGCAGAATATCAAGGCACAACCCTGAATATCAAGGCAGAAAATTTCACAATATCTGTTGAACTGGGTTATCTGAGTCCACACTGCCATATATTCTGGTTCAAAGCAGATAATGTGGGATTTTATTCAGCTGTGTGGAAGTGGCCTAAGTCAAACCCCATCCCATGGATGAACTCATAAAAAAGATTCCTTACCTCTTCTGCTGTATGTTTTCTGAATACGAAGTCTAGGGAGACATGCAACCTTCTCCTTTTTATGTCGCTAGAAAGGGAGCGAGTAAACAGAATCACCACCTCATAGCTATAGATGTAGGGGAAAGGACCATTCACATCCCTCCAAGCAGATGCTCTGATTTTGAGAAAGGGTTCATACTCCGTACATCTGGGGGTTATATGTACTCCAGCTTTTGTTCCTACCACTCCTGCAACCACATGTAATGCTTCAAGCCTGTTCTTCTGAATTTAAAAGGCCTGCCTTTTATTTTCTTTAGGTCCACAGCTATTCTTAAAGAGATGCTAATGCATTTTCCTTATTTTTAAAACGAAGGCAGTGCATTTAGGATGGCACTTGAAAATGTACGCTTTGGAGAGCTCTTGTTTGCGTAGGTTTGGAAGATGTATCTCCATAAGCCTTAACTCTGCCCTCCTTTGACTACAGGGAACTGAAAACAAAGCACCCGTAGCCCAGGCAGGAAGTGAGACATTATAGGAAAGGCAATTGAAGAACAACCTTTCTAGTCATTGAATCTCTTCTCTCTTGGCCCATGGCAGAACTTTCCAGAGCAGTAAACAATTCCCCAGATTGTCCAGTTTGGGAGGAGGTGAGAGAGAGTAAGGTGCCCTCCATCCACTTCGCAGGAATTCTGGCCAACCATCAATGTATTGTCTCTGTTGTGATCTTGTAGTTGCAAGTTAATTTTGATCGCCCACAATGCTCTAGAACAGGGGTGGGTAGCCTTTCCTTCCACCTCATTCTTCGCCATTTTGCTATCTTGCAGTTGCTGCCCAATTTAAGCACCTTTTAGTTCAGTGTTTCTCAACCTGAGGGTTGGGTTTCTGATGGGTTTTTTTATCCAAAGACCATCAGAAAACACAGTATTTTCTGATGGTCATGGGTTTTCTGTGTGAGAAGTTTGGCCCAGTTCTATCATTGGTGGGGTTCAGAATGCTCTTTGATTGTAGGTGAACTATAAATCCCATAAACTACAACTCCCAAATGTCAAGGTCTATGTGAAACTCCACTAGTATTCACATTTAGGCATCCATGCCAAGTTTGGTCCAGATCCATCATTGAGTCCACAGTGCTCTCTGGATATAGGTGAACTACAACTCCAAAACTCAAGGTCAATGCCCACCAAACCCTTCCAGCATTTTCTGTTGGTCATGGGAGTACTGTGTGCCAAGTCTGGTTCAAATCCATCGTTGGTGGAGTTCAGAATGCTCTTTGATTGTAGGTGAACTACAAATCCTAGCAACTACAACTCCCAAATGACAAAATCAATCCACCCCAACCCCACCAGTATTCAAATTTGGGTGTATTGGGTATTTGTGCCAAATTCGGTCCAGTGAATGAAAATGCATCTGGCGCATTGGATATTTACATTATGATTCATAACAGTAGCAAAATTACAGTAATGAAGATGCAACGAAAATAATGTTATGGTTGCGGGGTCATCACGACATGAGGAACTGTATTAAGGGTCACGGCATTAGGTAGGTTTTAAATTGTGTATTTTAATATAAATGTTTTTAATGTTTATGTATGTATATATTAATTCTTGTCCCAGCATTGAATGTTTGCCGTATATATGCTGTGCTCCACCCTGAGTCCCCGTCAGGATGAGAAGGGCGGAATATAAATGCCTACAATAAATAAATAAATAAATAAATAAATAAATAAATAAGGTTGAGAACCACTGTTTTAGTTGCTATGCTTTACAGTCTAAGGCATTTTCCCACTATGTTTTCCTCCTGCATTTACATGCATTGGATTGAGCTGCACTTCCGATGTTCGATGCACAAATGAATTACCAGGGTGCGAACATATTGTTTTAGCTCCGTCCCATGACCTTGATGCCACCCACCTGCGGAATACAGCCCCCGAGATCCTGCCCTTGAGCTGAAATAAATCTCCCACTTGTACCTAACACAGAGAACATTTAAGTTATGCTTTAGGACTGCAACTTACATGCTCCTCCTAGTATCACAGCCAGTGCCACAATAGTTAAGAATCTAATAAGCACAGTAGCAAAACACAACAAGTCTCCACTACTGAATCTATGCTAACAATGAGGAAGGTGCAGGTTGCTCCTTCAATGCACTTCCTGCTCAACTGCACAATAACAATGAGTGGGTTTAATTTCCTAGCCTGAATGCACCTGGATGTGTTCTTGCTAGCCCTGCACACCTAGAAAAGGTGCACAAGGGCAGACCAAACATACCTGCACCACCCCTTTTGCCCATAGTAAAGTGCCTGAGGGGTTAAGCTATGGCTAGAAATGACTGAGGCACAGCTAGGGCAAACTGTATAATATGACATTCAGGATTTTTTAAAATAACTATTGCTAAAAATATGTACATTGCAATAATTACTTTTCCTGACCTAAAAGGGAGTTATGATGGCATATGTGTCTCTGTCACTTAAACTCAGAGAATTACAACTTAAAATAACTTTCCCAAGCATTGCTATGCCCCACATCATAAAAGGATTCCGAGGAATTTTCTGTGGCTCATTAACTTTTACAAAAATAATTGGGCTCTTTTTAATATTCATCTCCACATGTGTTTCATGTTCCCTTCAATATTTATGTGTGTGCTGTGTCTGTATGTTGAATGAACAATAAGAGGCTATGTTGCTGGCATTACGTGCTCCAGTAATTTGCTTTCGGTAGCTTCCCTCTGATGGATATACCAAATGTATATCCTTTTACTAAAGGCATTCAGTTGATTCTCCCACAATGGTGAGACCCTCTCCTACTATGGCTGTGGAAGGAAAGAAGGAAGGTGACCAGCAGTATTTACCCACCCTCAGCTTATATATGAGTTAATAAGTTTTCCCAACATCACACTGGCAACGAAGATCCACATAGTTAAAGCAATGGTATTCCCCATAGTCACCTACGGATGTGAGAGCTGGACCATAGGGAAGGCTGAGCGAAGGAAGATAGATGCTTTTGAACTGTGGTGCTGGAGGGAAGTTCTGAGAGTGCCTTGGACTGCGAGAAGATCCAACCAGTCCATCCTCCAGGAAATAAAGCCCGACTGCTCACTGGAGGGAAGGATATTACAGACAAAGATAAAGTACTTTGGCCACATCATGAGAAGACAGGAAAGCTTAGAGAAGACAATAATGCTGGGGAAAATGGAAGGAAAAAGTAAGAGGGGCCGACCAAGGGCAAGATGGATGGATAGGATCGTTGAAGTGACTGGCTTGACCTTGAAGGAGCTGGGGGTGGTGACAGCCGACAGGAAGCTCTGGCGTGAGCTGGTCCATGAGGTCACGAAGAGTCGGAAACGACTGAACGAATGAACAACAACAAAATTTTCCCAAGTGTGAAATTAGGTGCCTCAGCTTGTATTGGATTGGCTTATACTCAAATATATACAGTAAATATGATAAACTGCATAGTTTCTGGAATTCACAAGATACACGTTACCTTTTAAAAAGTGTGAAGTACAAAAATAACCCATTATGCTTCTTTCTTACCACAGGTAAAAACACTTTTATATAGATATTAAATCAAACATAATTACAGAGATTAAACATTTTTTGTGTGAACAAAATATATACATCCAATATGTAAACTTGCCCCTTTGTCATTTAAGGACCACAAGGCACATTGAAAAGTTAAGACAGATTGAAGAATATATAAAACAGTAAAAATAAAAATGTTGATATTACAGTTTCATTGTATTTGCCTTTTATACCAAAAACCTAGAAGTACTGTGCGGAAGGTCCCAAACCCCATCTCAAGTCAGTCATAGAGCTATCATCACAGGAGGACGTTACTTAAGTGTTTTCCTCCCAACAATGCCAACTATTCTTCTCTCATCTTGTAAGGTTGTCCTGTCAGAAAAGAGCATTCTGCATAACAATTTCATGCCTACTTTTATTATAATTGTACTTCATCTCAGCCAATGAACCCCAGGACAAGCACTGCTTTCAATTTGGTATCTTTTAAGTCTTTCTCCTGGCAAGCAAGAAGAAGAAACGGTGTCTCGTCTTTCCTACCTCCTTTTTTTGGTTTCAAGCCCCCTAAGGTCATAGTAGCTCAGGTGTGAGAAATGTATAGTCCTTGAGACTGTTGGACTACAACTTCCATCAGCCCTGCCCAATAGCAAAGAGAGAAAGTTCCATTTAATTACATTGGAAGGCCATAAATTCCTGCTCTAGACTCTCAAATGCTTGAATACTTCTTGACTTACTTACAAAAGTCCTCTCCTTCAGATGTATTTTAGAGGCTGGGAAAGTGGCATAAAGAAACCACACTGAGCTTGAGTGCAAAGGATAATGAAATGTGGTGAGGGAAGAGCATCAGGCTAGGATGCCAATGGTATGAGGAAAGGCACTGTTATCACCCATAGCCCTCCAAATCTAAAACAGTATACCCCACTTCTGAGTACTGAGCTCAATTTGAGCCAGCTCTAGAGCATGTGGATCACAAGTACCACTGATTCTTAAGAGCATGTGCTGAGTTCCTGAGCATAATCACCAATCAGAAACACTGGGAGCTTGGATGCAAATTTTCCAGGCTGAAGAGCTGTACTTCCAGCTAGGTTTTACCTCTGAAGTTTTTCTGACAGCTAGCATCCCCTCCCCTTGCCTCCCCAATCCCAGTGCAATAGAGGAAAATAATATGTGCATTCAAGAATGTACTGTGACAAGCTGGGCAGCCTCAGCTCTGAAACACAGCACCAAGACAAGGAAAGGCCTGTCCAGTTGGTAGCATTACTGGTGCAAAGAACTAAAAAGAGGAAGCCTCTGTCACATAGATCTCAAATGTCCACGCTGCATGGCCGAAGGGTAATACTTGAGAAATATCTTTGTGACTATCTCCAGTGTGTTACCGACAGCCTTAGTTGGGTACCGTTTCCCATTGTAGATAAATCCCCTCTCCACTTGGAAGACGGCTTGGTTGAACTGGTTTTGGTGAAATGGTGTCCCCGTGTTGAGGCATTCCACCAAGGTGGAAACAAAGAGGCTCCAACGCACCCCATAATAATCCAGCACCAGGCCTCCCAGCTGTTTATTGGCATAGTCCAAAATGTTGCCACTGGGCCCCCAGAGGGTCAGTTGGTTGCGGGCATTGAGGTCATACAGCTCTGCCTCTCTGTCACTCGTGGCTGTTGAGCGGGCATCCTCCAGCCAGCGGCCGAGCAAAAAACGCCAGTCACTGGCCAAGAGATTGTCCAATTCTGGGAGAAGGTCGTAGACCAACACACCACCAGCTGTAAGGAGGCGAGATAGCATGTGGCTCTGAAATGCCTGTTTGATCTCCTGGTAATAGTCACTCACAAGCTGCTGCATGGCCTGGCGCGTGACATCTGCCAAGTCGTAGTTAAAGGTGCTGCTGGAGCCAAGCTCTTTGGCTGAACTCAGTAGTAGCCTCCAAGCTTCATAAACGTCACTCTGATTGTACCATAGGTCTATGTTCATTCGCAAAGATGGACGGTGTACCAGCGGGCTGTGGTTGTGGTTGATGCAAATACCCGAGCAATTGTAGACACTTTGCAGCAGTCTTTGCCAGGCCTCTATCGCCTGCGCATTTGTGGCGCCGTAGCGCTGTGTGGCATACGAGGCCACCCACTGCTGAAGATTGACTGGCTCCTTACACCAGCCCAGGTCCGTCATCAGCTCATACATCACATCATTCTGTTCAATGCCTTCAGGGGTCAAGCCAATGCCCACCATGGTGGAGTTGGGGAAACCTCTGGCTTTGAAGGGACCCTGGTTGATGCTCTCCACTGTGCCAAAAAGGCCATGGTTCCCACCAAAGTTGTGAAGCATGCACCAGATGAAAGGCTGCCCATAGAAGGACTCTGTCCAAGAGTAGACAGGTTTGGATTCGGCAAAGAGGTCCAACACCACCATCCTGCCAAGAGGCACACCCTGCAAGAGGGCTCGGACTTGAGCTGGTTGCCAGAAGTCAGGTTGGTGCTGGAAAAGCCAACCCTGCATCAGCCACAAGGCACTGGGATCAGCTGTAGGGAGAGACACCACAAATTATTACAAGAAAAAATAATAACAGGACCAAATAGATATCACTTACTTCTATTTGCAGATCTCTAAAACATTTCAAATCCTCTACTTTTTACTGCATCAGAATTGTATTTCTGGGAACTTCTATGCATCTAATATGTCACCAAAAATTGTATTGTTTCCATAAATGAAATATTGACTGAGATCATACATACCTGAATTTTCACAACCACATGCACGCACGCACGCACACACACACACACACACAGAGAATCCACAATTGGAAATCCCATAATAGACAGTCCAGAGCTTGGAGACATCACTTTTTGTGGAATGCACCTTCCAGAATCCCCAATCAGAATACCTGCTTGGAGGATTGTAGGAGCTATACTCCAAAAAGTAACTTTTCTGAGCTCTGGGAGGGACTTCTTCAGTCTACCATAGCATTGCACCCTAACACTGGAACACTCCTTTCACCCAGCACCACACCAGAGTCCAGTGATCCAATAAAGGAATGTTTATTAAAGAAAGCATATAAAAAGGGAGAAGGGGAAAATCCAAAAGAGATACTAAGGATATAAAATAAAACACAATATAAAAATATAAAATAAAACACAAAAGAAACCAGAGTTAGTAGCACTAATCCAAAAATGCCAGGGTAAACACCAAAACCAGGGAATCCAAAATCATAGAATTAATCCGAAGGTGTATTCATGAACGTGGAAACAGGAACCCCCCAAGATAACTTCTCCAAAGGTTCATAGGCATAAACAGGAACATGAAACAGGAATCTTGGCAATACAGGAAGCATGAACTTGGAGTCATGAACAGGAGACCCAATCCCCATTAGCAATATTGTCTCCTCTGAGGGGCCTGGAACCAATACACTTAATTTAAGCCTGCCAGGCACCCATGACATCATGCCAAATACATCTGGACTTCAAAGTCTTATTGCGAATTCTCTGAAAATAATCCTTGCCTGCTTTTCACGCCCTGCATTCTCAGGTCTAATCTACACTTCCTTGGAAGCTCCTCGGCTTCCCAAGACCCTTTCTCAAGGGAACTGGTACTTTCAGTTTCCTCTACTGCCAGGGAACTAGGTGAGGAATTCTAAACATCAGCTTCGTCTGCCTGCAATTGTCTCCGAACACTCACTGACTCTTCATTTTGGAACCCATTATCTCCCTCATCCTCTGAACATTCAGAAAAATCCTGTGATGCTTGCCAAACTACAAGTCCTTCTAATTTATGACTCCTCCAGATGGCAAATATCAGGCTATTATGGTCCTGGGTTATACAGTCATGTTCCTGCTCCAGCATCCAGTCACAGTATTTCTTCCTCATCCTCCACTCACCACATGTTATATCTGGGATGCTCAGAGGTAAAGGGCATAAGAAGACAAGGGATCCATGTGCAGGAAACTAATATAAGGATTTCCTAGGATCTTTTTTAAAACCAATTCCTTCCTTGAGTTTCCAAAAATCTGGCTGATTCTGGAAATTCACAGGGAATAAACCAAGACAGGAGAAATATTGTTTGGAGATACATATTATAAATCCAATTTGCACAGATAACATGGAGGCTTTTCTCCAATCCAGATGAGGTCACAGAGAAATACTAACATGGGCAAAAGAGATATAATCTAGAGTTGATTGGAGGAGAAACGACAGGAGGGTAATGATGAGACAAGAGGACTTGCTGAGTCCTACCTCCTGTCATGGAGCGGAAGACAGCTGCGCTGACCTGGGAGAGGTAGGCAGGATCTGAAGAGAGTGGACGCATCTCATTGAAGGTGTCAGCACTATACACGTGATCTGTACCAAACTCCTTGATTAGTTCCTTCAAAAAGAGGGTTCCAATGACCTGGAACATGGGATCTTCAGGTGATAAGAGGTAGGCACATGAGAAGGTGCAGTCAAAGTGACTCCAACTCCCTAGCCGTGTGACGTTGACCCGAGGGAAAACTCTACGACATGAAAAAAAATCAGAAAAGCGCTGCATTATCAATTGATAATTCAATGTATCGTGTGCAAGTTGCATTGTAAGGTTTTGGTCAAAGAACTCAGGAAACCCAAGTTGCAGAAGATAAGAAGAAATAAGAGTGACTAGTCTTCTAATTTGGAGAATGCCAGAATCAAACCTGCAGTTAACCTTCTCCTCTTCATAACCTCATTCCAGCTGTGTTTCCTCGTTTTTTAATTATTATTTTTAATTTTAGGACATAAACATACACAACATTTACAATTCCCAACACCACCACAAGGATTGTTTTACATATTAATCCTTTTTTAGATAATCCTTATAGATTTACATACTATATTATTATTATTATTATTATTATTATTCTATTTCTTATGGCCTGATGTCTAGACTTATTCATAATATAATTCTTGACCCAGTTCCATCAGCCTTCAACTTCTTGCATTCTATTTTCATTACATTTTGAATCATTTAATTTTACATCCATAATTTCAAATTCCATTTGATCCACCATATATTGATACCAATTTTTTTCCCTGGGATTCTGGGAGGGTGTCTTTTGAGAGGGAAAGAAGACGGTTTGCAAGGATTCATGCGAGAATTTTCCCAGCGGAGGTTAGAAGGGAGATACCTCGATAGTTTTCGCAGTCTGTTCTTTCCCCTTTTTTGAAGAGAGTAATGATGGTGGCATTCTCGAAATCTGCTGGGATTTTTTTTTAGTCACCCACACTTTTTCTATGAGCTGGTGGAGTTGTTGTGTCAGCTCAGGTCCTCCCTCTTTAAAGATTTCAGCAGGGATCCCATCAAGTCCACTGACTTTGTTATTTACTGTCCACTTTGATTCGTATTTCCATCCCAATACTATCACTGCTTGTGTGCATTCAATTATTGATTCCTTTATTTCCCTATGATTTTCCATGCCCTCTCTTTGTACTAAGACCGCCATTTCTTTTGTTTTAACCCAATCAGTTCCTAATATTTGGTTTGACACATTTTGTATAGTCTACTAGAAGTATTGTACCTGTTCGCATTCACACATCAGGTGAATAAATCACACTTCCTGTTGACATCCATGCCAGCACTGACTGCTCCCTTTTTTATAATACTATATTAATTGGCCAGGTTTATGATACAACTTATGTAATATTTTCCTCTTCATTTCTCTTACTTTTGTATTCCTTATCGTCCCTATTGTCTCTGTTCAAATTACAGAACATATCATATTCTGTAATATGTAACTCCATTCCCCACAAACTTTTCAAGTCCTGTATTGCTGTGTTTCCTCCTTCATCACTCTTTTACACTAGGTGCCCACCTGATCTTGGAAGCTAAGCAAACCCATATTTGGATGGGAGACCGATAACAAATAATAAGGGTTGTAGGAGAGCACGTGGGGACAATTTATTTTATACCCACAGACCACAAAGGAACCGCTGGAGTATACTACTGACAACCTGGTTTAGATGGGCCAATAACCTGACCTAATATCAACCCCAATGATCTGTTCTTGTTATCCCAATCCCACTGCTTACCCTCACATGAAGCATGGGCAGCATTTACCTTAAAATACCACGAGGGATGTGTCCAGAGAAGGCTGGCAGTACTGTCAACATTCCCAAGGTTCGCATTCTCTCCAGGATCCTGTACTGGGAAGACAAAGAGAGCAGGATGGAGAAGGAAAATGAGGCTCACAGAAGAACCTATTTTGTATCCTGATCAGTAACCTCCAGGAAAAGGCCCATGTTTTAGGAAGAATATTGTGAATTCTACAACACAAAACTGGGCTTTTATTTAAGTTAGGTTATTGGGAAGAAAATGTGGTTTGGACACCTTTTGGATTGGGTGATGTGTATACATTGTTAAATCTCCCTCTTACTAAGTCTTCTGAGATTCCAGTGTTATAGGAGATTATACCATCTTGAGGAAAAAAGCAGTGGGTACGCTACTCAGGAAATAAGAAGGAGATTAAAGTTTAGAAGGGGAGCAATGGTGGAATGAGATCCTCAAGTGTCAAGATATAAATCTGAACACCAAAGTCAGGTGATCCATGCCACAGAATTATTTTATGTCTAGGTATGGATGTGAAGTCGTACCTGTTGATCTACTCACATTTGCATGTTTTAGAACTGCTAGGTTGGCAGAAGCTGGGGCTAACAGCAGGAGCTCACCCCACTCCCTGGATTCAAACCACCAACCTTTTGGTCAGCAAATTCAGCAGCTCATCAGTTTAACCCGCTGCACCACCAAGGGGAAGGTAATGGCGCTTCATGCAGTCATGCTGGCCACATAACCTTGGAAATGTCTATGGACAATGCCGGCTCTTCAGCTTAGAAATGGAGATGTGCACCACCCCCCAGAGTTGGACACAACTAGACTTAATTTCAGGGGAAACCTTTACCTTTACTATGGATGTGAAAGATGGACCATTAAGAAAGCTAATTTTGCAGGGAAATTGCTCAAATGAAAGATGGCACTGCAGTTGAATTTTACAGACTATTTTACATGGTCTGACAAAAGAAAAAAAAATCTGAGATACAATCTAACATTTATCTCCCAAGAGCATTTTCTACATTTATTTTAAAGGATGTCTGATGTTTACATTAAAAATAAGCTGGAATGTATCATATTTTTATTTTTGATAATTCAGGCCATCTCATATGTCCAAAATATTACTACCTCATTTTTATCATTCTTTTCCCAGTGAAAATTCAAGTTATTTACTTGCTTCTTGCAAATGTTCTCCTACTGTACCAAATGTAAGCTTCAGCCCCTACCACAGTCCTGGAGGAGTTGGGAGCATGATATAATAGGATTTAAATCTCATTACTTTGTAAAGGATATGTGACAAAGCAAACATGGTTTACCTGTGTCAGCTGGGGTCTTTTACTAGCATGATGCATCGGTTTTTGCCATTTCGAAGTGATAAGATTTTCCATACTAACTGATCAGGGATAGCCCTGACACTAGGCAGAATAGGGCCACTGTTTTAGTGCATAGCTGCTGGGTAGAAAATTATGTCCAAGTCTCAGACTTTCCTGCACCTCGTAAACTGGCCTGCTATGTTTTGGTAGGGTGAAGACCCTGTCCCATTGCCAGCAATGAAAGGATATTCTATTGCCAAATCCAGTTAGCTTCTGTATAAAGCAGTGGTTCCATACCTGTGAACTATGAATCACCAGTGGTCCACAAAAACGAAAATATGGTCCGTGGCCTCACTATCACTACACCATAGCCTTGAAACCATGCGGCAAAGAGAGCGAAGGTTTTGTGAAACCCTCTTATAGGGCCAAGGCAATGGGGATGTAGAGAGGGGAGAGGCTGACTACCCACGAAAGATTACTACTACCACATCAGCTTTATTCAGCACCCTAAATAACCTGACTGAATCTAAAGTTGACCAAAAACTGATTTGTAACCCTTTTGGTACTAATGTTGGAGAGTAATCCCTGGTCAAAATGGTCCCTGGTCAAAAAAAGGTTGGGAACCACTGGTATAGAGGGAATGCCAATTTGTTCTTTGCCTCAGAAATCAAAACACTGTGAAAAAACAACTGAACAGTATAGGGAAGCACTGACAGAGTGCTGTGTTGACTAAGAGAACCACTACCAAGTTCAGGACCAGGTACCTGCAGGTAGAGTTGTTTCAGATGCCATGACAGGGGCAGAGGTCCTGCCCAGGTGTGCAGGTTTCCCATCCGGTTCCATGCCAGGAAAGCTGGGCCAGTAAAATATTCATCAATTTCTGATTGGTTCAGACCCAGAGACAAATATACCTGGAAAGAAAGAATGGAAGTAATGAAGCTTAGTTACCATGAACTGCTTTGAGGAAAACTACAGAATAAATCACAATGATAACAAAGTAAATATCATATTGGGTACCCTACCCGCTGCCAGATGGCTTCCTGGCCAGTGAATGCCAATGCCATATTGATGCCATGGAGGGCCATCCAGTCGATCTCCCGTTCCCAGCGGTCCCAGTTCCACCACACGTATGAATAACTCTGGGTGCAGACATTCTGATAGAAGCGGAACCTTGGAGAAAGATTAACAGAACTTTAAAATACTGATTTGTTGCCACCTTCTACAATTGATGCCTCAGTCACTTAGTCTTGAATCATTTGCTGTAAGCCTTCCTCTAGAACAGGTATGGGCAAACTTTGGCCCTGCAGGTTTTTTGGACTTCAACTCCCACAATTCCTAACAGCCTATCAGCTGTTAGGAATTGTGGGAGTTAAAGTCCAAAACACCTGCAGGGCCAAAGTTTGTCCATGCATGCCATAGAATCACAGAGTTGGAACAGACCACCTGGGTCATCCAGTCCTACCCCTGCATGCTGTAGCACACAACCAAAACACTCCTGACAGATTACCATCCAGGCTCTACTCAAAAACTTCCAGAGAAGGACACTCTGCCATAATCTGAAGCAGAATATTCTACCACTGAACTGCTCTTACCATTAGGGAGTTCTTCCTAATGTTGAGGTGGACTCTTCTTTCCTGCCATTTGAATCCAGTGCTTTGTGTCTTACACTTTAGAGCAGCAGAAAACAAGCTTAGCAACTCCTCAAGGAGAAATCCTTTCAAATATTTCAACATAATTATCAGGTCCCCTCTCAGGCTTCTCTTCTCTTAGCTGAACATACACAGCTCTTGAAGCCACACTCTCAACCCCAGAAAAAGCTATGATAAGATCACCATAAATCAGAAATGAGTTGAACAGATACAATGTCAACAATACATACACCAATCTATGGAGATATGCCAAGCAGATTTTGTCCATGTGTGTGTGGGGCCCTTCCAGACAAGCCCTATATCCCAGGATCTTGTCCCAAGGTTTTTGCATTAAACTGGATTATATGAGTCCCCACTGCCAGATAATCTGAGATAAACAGAAAGTTTGGGCTCAGATCCTGGGATATAGGGCCTGTCTGGAAGGGCCCTATGAGGGAAGGTTTTGTGTCCCTCATTCCTTCCTACTCAAGCTAGTCCACCAGCCTCTGGGACGATCTACAGATGGGCTCCGATCTGTGCATTTGGACTCCTTGCATGTAGAACATCATGTCAGTCTCTCTCTTTCAAAGATCAGCTCAATTAGCCAACCTCGTTAGAAGAGCCGTCCCTGGGCTTGTAAGCAGACAAAGGTCTTGGCAAAAACACGGAGGTTGGCAGGGTGAAGGGAGTCTTGCGTGACTTGAGTATTTGTGCCACATGAAAAAGAAGAGGTCGGCGATGGTATCATGGACGGGGCCTTGGAAATAGGACTGTCCTATAAAAGGGCCAAGGAGTTCTAGAATAGATTCAACCCCAGGCCTTGTCCAGCAAGCTGACGCGGCTAATCTGCATTTCTTGTGATGGCCACAACAACTCTTGTTTACACAACATGCTCACACCACTTACTATTACTACTAAATCTGTTATGGCTGCCTTTTGACCGTTTCTCTAGCACCGTGATGGTACTGCTGTTTTGCACATTAGAGTATGCAGTTTGGATTGTTGTTCTGTGCTTTCAAGTCATTTCAGAGTTAGGTTGACCCTGAGCGAGGGCTGGGTAAATGACCTTGGAGGGCCGTGTCCGGCCCCCGGGCCTTAGTTTGAGGACCCCTGTTATAGACAAACTCAGTTGAGGAACTTGTTTTCAGTACCAGAACTAGATGTAAATCTATTCAATTTCCACCCTACCATCCATCCCAACAACTTAATTTAGGAGGAATGTTCATAATCTAAAATATCTGTGAGCCTGTCACAGAAGTGGATTTTAACTATTTGTAAGCATCACTCTGGGGAACTACAAAATTAAATAGAAACCGAAGTTCTCTGTCTGAGCAATTTTTCCTTCAATCAGTATCATTCATATATATATATATATATATATATATATGTATGTATGTATGTATGTATATATATGAATGATACTGATTGAATATATATATATTCTACTAAGGCAAGTTACAGGAGAGAAAACTGAGAAGTGGGGAAGGAAACATGGGGCAATAAGGGGTGAGTACTATATGAGAACACTTATTTCAGCTTCTGCTTTTACTATGGATGAGACCTATAAGCCAAGAGTTTACTAGAGAAAGACTTTAAGATAAGATTTGCAAAAAGAGAGCACCTGCTTTGAGAAGACTGGATAAGAGCATTCAAATGCACAGTCTCCATGTATGCCCAAAGTGTATACAAACCTCCCACATATCATTCACACAAAACACAAAGAGGTCAAGAGGTTGGACCAAAGAGATGTTTCTCCCCAATCTCTGTGTTATTTCGCATCATAATATACAGCATTGTAGATCAATGACAAAGAATGCTGCATCAGGACATTGACTGAAGATACACTGAGGTGTGATGACCAAAAATCATTATAAAATCTGGTGATGAAAAGCAGGAATTTTCAGGTCCCATTGTATTTTGGAGTCAAGGTGGAAAAAATGCTGAATCCAGATGAAAATATAATTAGATCCACAATCCTCCTTGATCATATTTGGAGCTGTTTCAGGCTATTCTGTTGATATAAATTCATCAGGAAAAAAACAAAGGATTTTTAAAATTTTCTACTTCCTTATTTTGGTCTCACTTATTTAAGAAAACAACCCCTTTCCCTGTTTTAAGATCATACTGCGTTTGTACAGTACAAAAAGCAACAGCACGATGACCTGTTGCATTAAATGCATCCGGCTGCATATCAGCATAATCTCTGCTACTTCCTGAATTGACATGATCTTTCATTTGCTTGTTTTCCCTCAGTGTTTTTCATATTTTTTTTTGCAGTGATTCAGTTGCCAGTAACAGGAATAGGGGAACATTTGATTTGTTGGTATATTTGTTCCCAAATATTTTAGTTCGACATTTGAAGAAGGAGCAAAATAAGCACCCAGCATTAAGCAGCCAGTATTAAGTGAAAGCACACACATTTCCATACAGTAACATTTTAACTCCTATGAAACAGGTTCTTCAAAAGTACCTGCAAATCAGTAATAGCTCTCCATTCTGGAGATATACGTATTCTATCTCCAAAATAAAAAGGTTCTGGGCTGAAGCCTCCAGATTAGATACTATGCCCTCTTAACCTGAAATCCTTTCTAGCTGGTTATAATTTTCCAATGCGGTATAGAGATTTACCCATGACTCTGTTAGACTCTGGAAAGTGCTCTGACTTATAAGAAGCACTGCTTGACTATCAAGCAAAAAGTGGGTGCTGGAAACAATATCATACGAAAGCTGACTGGCACAACCTAGGGATCACAACCAGACATAGTGAAGACATTTGACCTTGCGCTTTGCTACTCTGCTGCTGAATACGCATGCCCAGTGTGGAACACATCTCATCATGCTAAAACAGTGGATGTGGCTCTTAATGAGACATGCCGCATGATCACAGGATGTCTACACCCTACACCACTGGAGAAATTATACTGTTTAGCCAGTATTGCATCACCTGATATCCACCGGGAAGTAGCAGCCAATAGTGAAAGGACTAAATCAGTGACATCTACGACCCATCCCCTATTCGGATATCAGGCAGACCGCCAATGCCTTAAATCAAGAAATAGCTTTCTAAGATCTACAGGAACACCTCAGCAAGTGAGAGTCCAAAAGTGGCAGGGTAAACCCCAGAACCTCATTCAGTGGCCGATATCAGATGAGAGACTCCCCCCTGGGCACACAGAAGACTGGGCGACTTGGAAGGCGCTGAACAGACTGCGCTCTGGCACCCGAGATGCAGAGCCAACCTTAAGAAATATAGGTTGCTTACCTGTAAACGTATTTCTTCCAGTGATAGTCTGTGAAATGCGCACAGAAACCCATTAGTGCGCATTTCACAGACTACACGAGGAAGAAATGGGGCTACAAAGTGGAACCCACGACATGCGAGTGTGGAGAAGAGCAAACCACAGACGACCTACTGCAATGCAACCTGAGCCCTGCTACATGCACAATGGAGGACCTTCTTGCAGCAACACCAGAGGCACTCCAAGTGGCCAGATACTGGTCAAAGGACATTTAATAGAACAACAAGTCTGCAAACTTTGTGTTTTCTTTGTTTGTTTGTTTGTAATGCAATACAACTGTTTTGGTTCACTCCTGACACGATAAATAAATAAATATGACCCGACCTGAACTGCCGTAGCATCATGGGAGTTGTAGTTTTACAAGGCTTTTAGCCTTCTCTAGAAGGCCTACCCAGCCGGTTTGAAGCATGAATTTTAAACCTGTGTTTGTGTGTTGAATATACATTGCATAGAAACACATTTTAATATGTATCTTTTATAGAAGTATGTTTTAACATGTGTGTTTATAGATTTTTTGCAATTTTTATGTGTGTTTGATGGTACCGTGGCCTTCCTCAAGGCACTAAGAGAGGCATGGGCAAACTTGGGCCCTCCGGGGTCTTGGACTTCAACTCCCATCATTCCTAACAGCCTCAGGCCCTTTCCTTTTCCCCCTCAGCCGCTTAAGCGGCTGAGGGGGAAAAGGAAAGGGCCTGAGGCTGTTAGGAATGATGGGAGTTGAAGTCCAAGACCCCTGGAGGGCCCAAGTTTGCCTATGCTTGAACTAGGAGAATTGGATAAGGAATAGCATTACTATTACTATTATTATTCTCTGCCAAACTACAAATCCATGGATTCCACCCCATTGAACCATGGCAAACTGCATTATAATTACAGTGTATGCAACTGGAAGGGACAAGCGGTATCAGACTGATTGATCCTACAGTGCAGACGCATCCCAAGTGGCCGACTGATGGGTCACCTGTTGGGGCTGGTGACGAAGATCTCTGTTGGGACCGGAGGGAGGCGATCCGGCAGTCGGAGCTGCAAACCTGACCAGGAAACGTGGCATCCACAGAAATCCTTCAAATAGCGGTAGATCCCCGAAGCCGCGGCCACTCCGCTGGAGCCGGCGACCTCAACGACCCCCGGCTCCTTGGAGCTCAGCTTGTAAGTGTCCAGCCCGCTGGGCCCGGCTAAGGACCGGTTGACGGACACCGCGAAGGCGGAGGCAGCCCGAGGGCCCAGCAGCCGCTCCAGCAGCTCCCTCACCGCCTCCGCCTGCTGCTTGTCCTCCATCTTCGGCTGCAAAGGAGGCAAAGACCCGGCAGCCACGGCGGCGACCGCCGAAAGGAGAAGCCACCGACGGAGCGCCATCACAAAACCCCCACCGGGAAGCGAGCGCGGAGCCAACGTTCTAAAGAGCCGTCCTCTCCCGCGCGCCTTAGCCAATCGTCGGGCGAGGAGCTGCCGGGTGTCTCCCTCGTCAGCCTATCGGGATCCAGGCCACGCCCCCAGAAATGTAGCCAAAGCCCTTCCCCAGAACCAACGCTGCCCTCGTTCAAACCACACAGAGTTCTTGAGTCTTCAGTGGAAAGCATGGGCAGAGCAAAGTTATCTTGCACTGCCAGGTACTGCAGTTTGAAACAGCATTATATCGTCAGTGTAGACTCATATAATGCAGTCTAATGAGTTTAAACTGCAATATATGAGTCTACACTGGGCATGTGCAAACTTAGGCCCTCCAGGTGTTTTGGACTCCAATTCCCACAATTCCTAACAGCCTATCGTGAAGTCTGACCTGACCATGGTGGTCAATGCCTTAGTTACCTCTAGACTGGACTACTGTAATGCACTCTATGTGGGGCTACCCTTGAAGACAGCCTGGAAACTACAACTTGTCCAACGTTCAGCAGCCAGATTAATAACTGGGGCGACTTACAGGGAGCGGTCAACCCCCCTGTTTAAGGAGCTCTGCTGGCTGCCGTTTATTTTCCGGTCCCAATTCAAGGTGCAGGTTATCACCTATAGAGCCCTAAATGGTTTGGGACCCGCCTATCTTTGTGACCGTATCTCCCTCCATGAACCAACTCAGGTTCTTCTGGGGAGGCCCTTCTTTTGCCCCTGCCAATTTCACAAGCTCATCTGGTAAGTACAAGAGAGAGAGCTTTTTCCTCTGTGGCCCCCCAACTCTGGAACTCACTACCCGGAGAAATTAGGAAAGCCCCTACCCTAGAAACGTTTAAAAAGAACCTTAAAACCTGGCTCCTCCGCTGTGCCTTTCTCATACTACTGCTTAGCCTCAAAGTTTTGTCATTGGAGTATATGTGTTCCCCCCCCCCCCCCGATGGGAAAGCCTGATTCCACAACCCCCCTTTTAATGAGTCCTCCTCCGCAAATAATTTGTCTCTCTTTTATTTCGCCTGAGTTTTTAATTGCTTTTAATCAGTTTTGCTTTTAATCATTACATGTAGCCTGCCCATTGTCATTGTGATTGTGTCTATTGTAATTTTATATTGCTATATATTCACATGTTTTATGTAATTATGTTGTTGTTTATTGTTTGCGTTTTCAGTTTGTGTTTTCAGTTTTACTTTATTGTAAATTGTTGTGTGGGCTTGGTCTCATGTAAGCCGCTCCGAGTCCCCATCGGGGAGATGGTGGTGGGGTATAAATAAAGTTTATTATTATTTTTTATTATTACATCTAATTCAAAATACAGTAGACTCTTAGGGCCCTTCCACACAACCCTATATCTCAGTATATCAAGACAGAAAATCCCACAGTACCTGCTTTGAACTGGATTATCTGAATCCACAGACATCGGCCCTTCTGCTTTGCTACTCTGCTGCTGAATACGCATGCCCAGTGTGGAATACATCTCACCACTTTAAAACAGTGGATGTGGCTCTTAATGAGACATGCCGCATTATCACAGAAAGTCTATGCCCTACACTACTGGAGAAATTATACTGTTTAGTTGGTATATTGCAACACCTGACATCTGTAAGGAAGTCGAAGAAACACAGATATCTATCTATATAAATAAAAATGTAATGTTCGTTTGTGGGGTTAACATAACTCATAAACCACTAGACAAATTGGCACCAAATTTGGACAGCGTATACTGAAAAACCCAATGTATGTCCTTCACTCAAAAAAAATTGATTTTGTCTTTTGGGAGTTGTAGTTGCTGGGATTTATAGTTCACCTACAATCAAATAGCATGATAGAATTGAACCAACATACAGGACTTCCATGGCCAACAGAAAACACTGGTTTGGTGAGCATTGACCTTGAGTTCGGGAGTTGTAGTTCACCTACATCCAGAGACTACATGGACTCAAACAATGATGGATCTGGACCAAACTTGGCATGAATATTCCATATGCCCAAATATGAACACAGATGGAGTTTGGGGAAAATAGATCTTGACATTTGGGAGTTGTAGTTACTGGGATTTATAGTTCACCTACAATCAAAGAGCATTTTGAACCCCACCAATGACAGAATTGGGGCAAACTTCCCACACAGAACCCCCATGACCAACAGAAAATACTTAAGACCATCCAGTCCAACTCCCTTCACCAGGGCAAGAAAACGTAATCAAAGCCCTCCTGACAAAGAGCCATCCAGCCATAGATATAGATCAGTGTTTCTCAACCTGGGGATCGGGACCCCTGAGGGGGTCGTGAGGGGGTGTCAGAGGGGTCACCAAAGATCATCTGAAAACACAGTATTTTCTGTTGGTCATGGGGATTCCATGTGGGAAGTTTGACCCAATTCTATCATTGGTGGAGTTGAGAATGTTCTTTGATTGTAGTGAATTATAAATCCCAACAACTACAACTCCCAAATGTCAAGGTCTATTTTCCCCAAACTCCACCAGTTTTCACATTTGGGCATATTGAGTATTTGTGCCAAGTTTGGTCCAGATCCATCCTTGCATGAGTCCACAGTGCTCTCTGAATATAGCTGAACTACAACTCCCAAACTCAAGGTCAATGCCCACCAAACCCTTCCAGTGTTTTCTGTTGGCATGGGAGTCGTGTGTGCCCAATTTGATTCAATTCAATCGCTGGTGGAGTTCAGAATGCTCTTTGATTATAGGAGAACTATAAATCCCAGCAACTACAACTCCCAAATGACAAACTCAACCTCACCAGTATTCATATTTGGGCGTATTGAGTATTTGTGCCAAATTTGTTCCAGTGTATGAAAATACATCCTGCATATCGGATATTTATGTTATGATTTATAACAGTAGTAAAATGACAGTTATGAAGTAGCAACGAAACCAATGTTATGGTTGGGGGTCACCACAACATGAGGAACTGTATTAAGGGGTCACGGCATTAGGGAGGTTGAGAACTGCTGATATAGATAGATATGATTCATACACACACAAATATAGTATCATAGATTTGAAATGGACTCCTAAAGAAGGACAAATATATTTTGCATGTTCCAGAGTAGGCAAACCAGACAATCTCCACATCAACACTGACAAAGAAACAACAAGAAATACTGTTTATCCACAAGCATAAAAAAATTACAAATATTAGAAACCAATGCTTTCTCATTACTTTATTTTCTAGATCACCACACTGGACCACAGCAACGTGTGACAGGGGACGGCTAGTAACCAATAGTAAACAAAAGTTGCAGATTGTTATCCACACCTTGTTGTGTTATCTATGTTAATCTGTTTACAGTCGCAAATAAGTCACAAGAAAATACATAGCTAATGATAACACAACAGGGTGTGGATAATAGTCTGGAACTTTCGTTTTGTTATCTGTCAGGAAGTAGCAGCCAGTAATGAAAGGACCAAGGCATTGATATCTCTGGCCCATCTTCTGTTAGGCTATCAGACAGCATGCCAATGCCTTAAGTCAGGAAACAGCTTCTTAAGATCTACAGAGATACACACAGGTACACCTCAGCAAGCAAGAGTCCAAAAGTGGCAGGTTAAAACCCAGAGCCTCAATCAGTAGCTGGTACTGGATGAGAAACTCCTTCCTGGGCACACAGACGCCTGGGCAACTTGAAAAGCACTGAACAGACTGTGCTCTGGCACCACGAGATGCAGAGCCAATCTTGAGAAATTGGGCTACAAAGTGGAGTCCACGGCATGTGAGTGTGGAGAAAAGGAAACCACAAACCAAATACTACAATGCAATCTGAGCCCTGCCACATGCACAATAGAGGACCTTCTTACATTAACACCAGAGGCACTTGAAGTGGCCAGCTTCAGTTCAAAGAAAATTTAGTATAATGCCAAGTTTTAACTTTTTAAATAATTTTTCTATACATTGAAAATACATGAAGTTTGTATTCTCAATTCATTTCTGACACAATAAATAAATAGTCCTGAGCTTAAATCAAGCACCTTTTATGGGAAACTACAGGGCTCCAACTATTCTTGACCTATATAAGCCCAAGGAACCCCCATATAGATAAGTCTATATGGGGTTTTCTTTGCAAAGGTGATGGCTTGAATATTTACAATTCAAGATGTAAATTGAAAGGGTGAAGTTCAGAGTCGAGCCAACAATTTTGTTGTGTCTTGTCTTGCATACCCCAATATAATCATTCTCAAAGCAGCTTTTCATCATGAGATCTGTGAGCAAATAATGCCCTTGGAATGTAATCACTGGCAGCTGACCATTGAGGAAATGGGAAACATTGCTCAAGAGAAACATATGATGGGAGTGACCAGTATGAGCAGCCGCTTGACTTTTTCCTCTGCTCATAGGAGGGTATGGCCACAAAATTGTAATATGCAGCAAGCCACGGTGGATTTGATTTCCTTTTGTTTTTATTTCACTGTAAGCAGATTCCGGGTTTTCTTCCCTTTCATTGCTTATACACTACTCTTCTGCTTGGTGATAGCTGAGAAACCAGACATAACTAGTAACTTTCCTTAAAAGGCCGTGGTGGCTTCTGAAGGCTTGAAGGAGCAAAAGTGGAAAACTGTCATCCTGACAGATCCGATGTTGTGGGAAATCAAAAAATCATCAAATCTTTGATATCCAGATGTTTTGAACTGCAAATCCCATTGTCCCTTATGATTGGCCATGCTTGCTAAGCTCCTAAATCACACTTGATTCCAGTTGGTTTTCAGAATCTGTTGGAAATAGCAACCTTCTATAAGCCTCCTACACTAGTTGTTATGTATATAATTGTGATTGCTTATATTGATATGTAGTTTTCCCTTAACTCTATGTTGTTTGAGGTTGTGGGTGAGACTACAGAACATGTGACCAGATCTGGAACTATTCAGACTGAGACTCCATTTTAGAAGTCAGTCACTACAGTATGGATTTGGTAGTGTCAGTATACTGCAGTGAGTCGTCATTCTGTATTGAGTCAATGTTCAGTAATGCATTAGACTGAAGAGAGTGTTAGTCTGTATGCAACAAAGAAGAGACAAAAACAGAATGCTTTAGACAACTTACTGTTTAAACCAGAGGTCCTCAAACTTTTTAAACAGAGGGCTGGGTCACAATTGCTCAAACTGTTGGAGGGCCGGATTATAATTTGGAAAAAACATGAACGAATTCCTATGCGCACTGCACATATCTTATTTGTAGTGCAAAAAAACAATACAATAATTAAAATGAAGAACATTTTTAACAAATATAAACTTATTAGTATTTCAATGGGAAGTGTGGGCCTGCTTTTGGCTGATGAGAAAGAATTGTTGTTGTTGTGTGCTTTCAAGTAGTTTCAGACTTAGCAAGGGCCATATCCAGTCCCTGGGCCTTAGTTTGAGGACCCCTGGTTTAAACTGTCAACTGATAAGAAATGTACCTGTATGCTGAATACATGAAGTTTGTAAGTAAATCAACTATGTTAGTTTTAATGAAAACTGCTTATTGTTGGTCTCTTGAGAGCATAATTTAAAAACCAATATATTTTATTTTATTTTTTGGTTAACTGAAATATCACTTCTGAATATCTGCTATATATTTTGTGCATTGGCATATCTTTCTTCCTAACAGTTCAAAGATATAACTGGGTAAATCAGTCTAACAACTGAGAAACCTAATTTGCCTTGCATGAATACTAGTGGATATTTACCACTAAGGAAAACATTCACTCAAACGAGAATTTAACCCTTCTTAGAAAGATCGTACTTTCCAAAAGGTTATGATTATTCCAAATCGTGTGAATGCCAATTAATCTCCAAAAGGGTCACGCTTCCAAAAGGTTATGGAGATCCCTGGTTTTTCAAAAGAATCTAATAAAACAAACAAGAGCACATCTTGCAATCTGAAGCTTTTCCACACCTAGTATAGATGAGCAATAAACAGAGAAGCTGTTGTCATATTCCTGTCTAAAAAGGGCATCCATACATGTATGTGTGTTGCCAAAAAAACTTATATGTAAAGCAGGTAGAGGAAATTGTGATCTTCCAGATATTGTTGGACAACTGCTCTTTTCCATTGTCTCTGCTGGCTGAAGGGGATGGGAGTTGTAGTCGAACAATAAAAACGACGAGTTAAATCATTTATGCAATTAAAAATTGCTGTTACCCAAGAGTCAGAACTATGAGAGTTATCCGGAAAGTAAGTTTACAAGGCATGTAGCTCTCGCAGGGAATTTTCTCAGGGGACGTTGGTATCACTGACGTGTAGCGGGAAGCCAGTGGAAGCGAACGAGCAGTGCCAATCATCAGTAGCTCATTGACTGGCATTGTGGTGAAGGTTAGAGATGAGTGTCCTCATTCGTTTTCCTTCAATTGGGAAGTTTGTGCTGTAATACACTACCTAAATGCTAAGGGCATGAGCACTGCTGTGATTCATCGCAGTTTATGGAGAGGACGTAATGTCAAGACAGCATGTGACAAAATGGGTATGGGATATATTGTGAGACCATGATGAAACTTCACAGAGCCATCCAAAACAAATGTTGTGGGATGCTGACAGTGGGAGTATGTCTCCTTTATGACAATGCGCGTCTGCAAACCGCTCATGCAACACGGGTTGTTGACTTCATTTGTTTGGGATATTTTAAGCCACCCCTCTCACAGCTCCGAATTTGCACCCAGTAACTATCATCTGTTCACTAAATTGAAGGAACACCTTGGTGGAAAACACTTTTCTGATGACAAGGAGGTGAAACTGAAGTGACGAACTGGCTGAAAAACGCGGAGGGAAACTTCTATGCCACAGGCATCAAAACCTGTCTCACGGATGACAAATGTATTGAACTGAATGGTGATGATGTGGAAAAATAATGTAGTATCTATGCTAAAGTCCATGTAAGTTGAATTAAAATATACTCTTTATCTGTATTTTTTTTAAAAAATCTTATAATCTTATTGTCTGGACAATCCTCGTATGTACCAAACCACAATTTAATATAATTTTACAAAATTGACAAATGAGAAGCGCTTTTTTTTTCTGACATACTCTTTATTTTTTTCTCTCTGACGTATTTAAAAAAATGGAATGACAACAATACAGAAAGGCCCAGAATGGTAGATTTTATGCTCTGTAACTGTACAAGTTAAACATACAAATGTAGTGGACAGAAGGCAACGATCGCTTCAGAGAAGGCAGATGGATCATCATTCAAATGTTTCCCTCCCTCTCTCTACTCCCATAAGGTTCTATAGGACAAAAAGGGCAAACAACTCTCCTATGGTAAGAGGAAGGGAAAGCAAGTGTGCACAAAAAGTTGGGGAAAGAAAATGGAATGAGTTAACAGCAAATGTTTGAACTGGTTCCCACAATACACCTTCCTTACTCTGTAACTCAGGAAAATGTATTAATAGGATGCTGACAGGTGGCTGTTATGTTTTATGTTGTATCTCTAATGTGAGGTTAATCAAATAGATGTAGTTCTGTATATGGGTAAATCTACACTGTATAATTAATAGTTTAATAATTGACACCACTTTAACTGCCGCCGCGCAATGCTAAACAACCCTGGGGTTGTAGGTTGGCTTGGCACCAGCACTCTTTGGCAGAGAAGGCTAAAGAGCTTGTAAAACTACAACTCCCATGTTTCCATAGAATTGAATCATGGCAGCTAAAGTGGTGGCAAACTGCATGAATTGTACAATGTGGATGCATCCTACATTGTCAATCTTACAGCAACTAGTAAAACCCCAACAAAATCCCTGCAGGGAGCCAAATGGTTGGCAACGGAATAAGTGCCACTTGTCTTCGTGACTTACCAACCACTTTTTCCCATTCCTCCCTTCCACAAATACTGAATGGCTCTGTTGCTTTTTTCAACGCAATGACAACTGGTGTTTTAACCTCTTGTTTCACCGTGTTTTTTAAAACTCGTTTCACATTTATGAGGGTGGGTCAAAAAGTTTTGCCCCCTGTGCCATAAAACCATTATGAATGAACATATAACAGCAGAAGTTGCTACAGATCATAGCCTGAGCTATCTTCTACACAAAACTACCGTTCAACACAGTCACCATCAATTTGGACACATTTGCGCCATCATTTAACCCAGGCATCAAAACCATTTTGGAAAAAATCAGGATTTTGTTTCATGACCCATGATTTTAAAGCTGTTTTAACATCATTCAAGTCATTGAATCTGAAACCATATAGGTTGTTGTTCAGAGGTCCAAACAGTTAAAAGTCAGAAGGGAGCAAATTATAAACATTCTTCAAGCGATTATGGATTTCCTTGGGTGCACAACCTTCTTTGCTAGAAATTCAAAGACAACTTTTTCTTGTAAATTCAGATTCATGGTTCTAATTAGTTAATTGGGAAAAGAAACTACTATATCAGTAGAGTAAGGTTACCTCTGTCATACCATGCACAGATACTCCAGTAGCTGTGAAAGAAATATTACTTTTTGACCCACCCTCGTATTAGCCACCCCCGATGTGACAGGCATTTCAGGAAAAGTGATTGTTATGTTCATGCATAACAGCAGAGCAATAATATTTCAAGAACTTTCACTGAAGTAATTTAAAATTACCTGGTGAGCAGTGAAGATGACTGCCGATACAGGCATTAAAACCCTCTCAACTCCCCAAAACACATACAACTGAAACAAGGATGAGAGAGGTCCAATATGGGAGACGCCATGTTTAGCAAAGTGCATGTCAGGAACGAAAAGGGCTGGTGCAAAAAGACTAACACCAATGCAACTTACACAATCACCAATTCCAAGAGTCCAGACAGTTTTGGTACAAATGGACTAGAATCCCGGGATGGAGACCATTGCACCATGCTAGAGTTGACAAAGGAAGAACGTGGTGCCAGATAATTGCTGGTGAAAAAGTAACCAGGAATGGTTCAAAAATGATGTGGTCAAGGACAAGAGAAAAGGACAGTAAAGCAGGAGTGTTCTGAGCAGGAAGATGGAGGAAGATCTAACGCTCAGATCTGAAATGGTGTGAGTAAATGTCTATTTATTACCACTACTTTCAGATGTTTTTGCTCAAAACTCACCCCAGACACCACCAGCATGGCAAATGGAATGAGACTGTGAGAGCCGCAGTCAAAATCATCTGGAGAACCAAATTTCTCAGGCCTGCTCCAGGAAAAAGTGATGCTTCAATGTAACAGCAGGCTTTGGGTGGATTTTCTGACAGCTTAAGCCAGTGACTGGAAACAAGTCCCTATGAATAGGGCAATACTGCTAAAAAGGGGAAGGAAACTATTTTCTTTTCCTTCCTTCCATCCATTCATCCACCCCGTGGCTTGTCCATCAGCCTTTTGTAGCCAGATACACTTTAACCAAAGGTCCATTTTCTTCTCAGGAGTAGAAACATCGCACAAGTGACGGACTAAGCAGACAGTCATATGCTGGCTTAAAAATAAAGGCAAGGTTGTGGAGAAGGTCTCCTCAAAGGCTCTTGATGGAAAAGAGAATGAGGTAAAACTCCATGTCACTTATATCAGTTTATGTCACCATTCTCCTGCTCCTTTCCTTCACTGCTCCCCTTTTCTACATTCATATGTCAAGAAATGGCTGAGCCCTTAAGCAACGATGGGAGTGCAAGCAAGCAAAACTCCCAGAGCCCGGCAAGCATGGACCTACACAAAAGACCCACAGACAAAAATGGGAAAGAATGGGAGAGGAGCGGAGAAGCTATTGTACAGTCCCTTATCAGAAAATCCCTCAAGCTGTAGGATCTCTGATGCTTTTGCGATCTTTCAGAATCTCTTCTGGAAAGAAAGAGAACAACAGTCTTTTAGAGGACTCCCTGTTACTTTCCTCTGGAAAGGAAGACACAATGGACGGAGGGAGAAGGCTCAGAAACCAAGAGAGCGGATTGCAGATCCCGGTCTGTTGGAGAGAGACGTGTCAAGCACAGACAAAACTCCCCACGTCTTCTTGCCCCTGCTTCCATCACCTAAGAGGAGGCCAAGTGCATCTGATTTGTGCGTGAGATGCGGCAAAAGGCAGCCAGTGGGATGTCCAGCTGGAAGAGATGGAAGTGAAAAGTCACTGTTGGCTGCTACATCCTACTTGTCGATGAGTCCCCCTTCCTTGAGCTTGAAGTAGAAGAACTTCTCAAGGGTATTGGCACACTTGCAGTAATCGCTCTCGGGCGGATTGTATTCACGGCAGTTGGTGATGATGCGCTGCAAGTCAGCAATGAACAGCTTCTTGGTGACGTAGTAGCGGTTCTTAAGCCGCTCGGTCATTGTCTTGAGGTCTGCAGGAAGATGGAGGAAAGACCAAAGTTCAGTTAAATAGAGTGGTTTGAAAAGTGGAACACACCCTTTTGGCTGTTTGTGCATCATTATAACCTTTTCAACAGTGTGTTCTCCCAACTTAATGCCTTTGGAATCTGTTGGACTACAACTCACATGAACAAAAGCCAGCATATAGGTCATGTAGTCTGACGTACCCAAGAAACTGCAGATCAGGAATGGCTGGTGCTCATTATTGGGATTCAATCCCACACTGCCCAAGTCTCAAGTCCTCAATGAGGAACAGTTAGTTAGTTTTGAACAGACAAAGGGTTTTCTCCCCCCCCCCCCCCCCGTGTCTCCTGCATGACAGTTGGGAATGTATCTATTTTGGTCTCTCTTTCTGTTTCTGCTCTCATTCTGACTGATTGTTTAAAATAGGATGCTTTTCTACTGCAAGCTCTTGAATCTGACTTCCGCCTTCTTATTCTTTAGTAAGGAGAGTATGTGCTATGTGCTTTGAGATCTCTCTCTGCGTGTGTGTGAGAGATGTTGTGGTTGCTGTTTTTCCCCTCTCTTTGAAACCTTAGAAGAAATGGGTGTTAGAGTAGCTCAGACCCAGTTCTTGATTATTCAGAAATGCAGTTATTTCTTATTACTGTAAACAAACCTTTTATGGTTTTTAAAGATTGGACTCTGCATGTTAAAACTTTATTAAACTTTATTAAATTTTGCCTCCTAAGCTCTTAATTCTTTACAGCCACATCGCACAGCACTTCACGGTCTGCTCACAAATGAGCTGATATTCAACTTTGGTATCCTGTTTGTTTTTGGATGCTCTGCTATATTTAGGGTAGTTTTACCTAGCACTCATGAGCAACAGCTTTTATTTAAAAAGGGAGAAAAGTGGGGGGGGGGGGGAAGAGGGAGAGAGAGAGAAGCATAGGGCAGAGGAGACATTCTGGGTAACAAGAATGGCTGTTTAATACAAGGAAATTAAATATTCACAGAAATGTGGATAATAGCACTGCTTTGACTTTCCTAATCTATTTTTGCTCCCAAGAAAGCTCAGAATTGCCTCTCGACAGGGAATACTCTTCAGTAATAGTATAATAGCTGGGTCCAGAAACTCCAAACGTTACAGAGATGCTGCATCGCTCCTTTGGGAGCGCTCTTTGCGCAAGAGAAACTTAGATAATGTAAGCCAGGCTGGAGACAAATAATATAGAAGGAATGTAAGAGTTCTTTAATGATGAAACCCTAGCCCTAGCCCTGAACCATACCGTAAGCCTAAGCCTAACCCCTTACCCATACCCTTACCCTAACCTTTACGCTAACCCAAACCCAAAATCTTACCCTAACCCTTACCCTAAACCGTACCCTAACCGTTAACTCTAACCCTTACCGTAACCCTAACCCAACCCAACCCCTAAACCTTGCCCTAACCCTTACCTTAAGCATCCCCTCCTTTCCATCCTTCCTTCGCTCTCCTCACTCTAACTCCGCCCCCTCTCTTCCCTTATTCACAGCCGCCTTTGCAGCATCTACGTAACGCTCGGAGCTTTCGGACTCAGCTATCATACTATCACCCGCTCCTCTCCCACATCATCCATTACTTGCAAGAAGCTAATGGAAATGTTGGTTATTGCAATGTAAATGTTACTTGCAGGAAGCTAGTGGAAGTGGTGGCTTATCATAATGCAAATCATATTCCTCACTTCCCTGGCACAAATGCGACCTTAAAGCAGGGATTTGGAAACATATGACCCTTCAGGTGTTGTTACGCTGCCATTCTTATCACCCCTTATCACTGCCGTGTTGGCAGAAGTTTATGGGACCACATATTGAAAGCAGCTGCTCTGTGCTTTCTAGAGCTGAACTCCTGTTTGAACAAAATTCAAGAAAATTTACTTGCATCTTACTTTTTTCCTCACTCAGAAAAGTAATGGCCAAATCTAGCTACATACCAATTGGAAAACGGATGATCTCATAGTAGTCTGGAGCCTCAGATTTCTTCACTGGTTCCATGAACGGCCAGGCGCTGGGGTGGGTCTGTGAGGTGAGAGAAAGAGAACACATCAGCACAGAAAAAAGCAAAGAAAAAAAGTGCCACTCTCCAGAAGTTGCTGAAATGCAGCTGCCAAAATGCCATGCTGGCTGTGGCTCAGGGGATCTGCAGTTCTGGCCAGATTGTTTACATACATCAACCAGACAGGAATGGTCCCAAATGGGTGGAAAACTAGTGTGATTGTTCCTCTATACAAAAAAGGCAATAGGACAGACCCACATAATTATAGACCCATTAGCCTGTTGAATGTAGTGTCAAAAATTTATGGTAGGTTCCTGCTAAATAAACTACATCGTTGGGCTGAGGAGAATAATATTATTGCAGAAGAACAGGCTGGATTTCGGCATGGCAGAAGCACAATAGACCAGTGTTTTGTGCTTTCACACCTAATCCAAAATAGTCTGAAGAAACCAAAGGGATGCCTATATACAGCATTTGTGGATTTTACCTCAGCCTTTGACTTAATTTATAGACAGCGTTTTTGGGCAAAGTTGGCAAAGACTAATGTGGATAGACGACTATTGTTATTACTGCAACAGCTATACTCGGGGACAGACCTAAGAGTGAGGTTAGGCCTGTCAGGCAAGGTATCAAACATCATTGAAACAAAAAGAGGAGTTAGACAAGGCTGTCTGCTAGCACCCTTTCTGTTTAATTTTTACGTGAATAATTTAGTTGCTGAGCTAAGCTCCCCCAACCACTTCCCTCCCTTAGCAGGTAGTAGGAAAATCCAAGTCTTGTTGTATGCGGATGATATGGTCCTCCTGTCAACTACACAAATAGGTCTCAGGAGACTTCTGAGGTCACTAAGCAGAATTTGCGAACAAGAGAAGTTGAGGATCAATCACTCTAAAACCAAAGTAATGGTATTCTCCAAAAGGAAACAAATACACAATTGGAAATTGGATGGCCATTCAATAGAGCAGTGTCATAGCTTTAAATATCTGGGCATACACTTCTCATATAATGGAAATTGGAAGAGCCATATTGAGGCAGCCAGACTAGCTGCATGGAGGTCAGTGCACTCAATCCTAGCCTTCGGGAAAACAAAGGGAGGGGCCTTGGTATGTCCCATAGCAAATATTTTCGCTGCTAAAATTTTACCCCAACTATTATATGGAGCCGAAATTTGGGGACAGGGCAATACAAAACAGGTTGAATGTATTCAGAATAAGTTTGCAAGAGCTCTGTTAGCCCTTCCCCCTGGGACTCCAGCTGCCTTGTTAAGGCTGGAATTGGATCTTCCCTCACTTAAGGCCAGAATGCATAAGCTTAACATCTTATATGGGAAGAGGCTCCTGGAAATGGAGGACGAGAGTATAACAAAGCAATGCATGATGGAGCAGTATAAGCAGGGAGGATGGGCACAATACTGGCAAGCCTTGCTCCTTCAGTACTTTGATGGGTCAACAAATACTCTAATGCATCTGGACAAGAAGGCGATTAGAGACAAAATCTTTGAGAGGATGCAGCTGACAACTTACAGATTAGCAAACTGCAAGGTTTCTTTACCTGGTATCCTCGGCTAAAAAGTGACCAATATCGTCAACAATATCTTCAGACCTAACGTCAGCGGTCCTGAGGAAAGCATTTACAGCCCTGCGATTCCAAACAATGCCATCAAACTGGCTAGAGGGAAGATTCAGAGGGATCCCCCATGCCCAACGACTTTGCATTTGTGGCACAGGGGAAATAGAAGACCTAACACACTATTTGCTACACTGCCCCTTGTACAATGACCCTAGGAAAACTCTCCTAGGATTACTCTTGGAAGAAAGGGCATCATGGCAACAATCTGCGGTGATCTGCGACTTGCTAGCAGATCATTCTAAAAATATAACACTAAAGGTTGCCACATTTGCAATCGCAGCCCAAAAGATCAGAGCCAAAGTAGCAAAATCCATACTGGGGGTCAGAAATGGAAACGGTTTGGAATGACACAAAGCAGACACTGTTATTGTCATGTTTCTGCTTTCATAATTTTAAAGAACTTGTTTTAGTTTTAATCCTTGTTACATTTTAAGGTTTATATTGGAAAGTGTTTATAAAGTTAGTGTATAACTGATGTCATGGCCTATGGCTAGTACAATAAACAATTCATTCCATCACCTGGAGGCAGGCTTCTTCTGACTGGATATGTGTGCAGGGAACAGGTTCCCAACCAGATTTTTTAAACCCCTTTTGTTTTAGCTTCCAATTTGCTGAAGTATTCTGTATAATGAATAGCCTGTTTAAACATTATCAATCTCACTTGGTTCTCATGAAGCTATTTATTTTATTTCAAACACTTTTACCCTGCCCTTCTCAATCCCTGGGGGGGACTCAGGGCGGCTTCCAATTGGCAACAATTCGATGCCGCGTAATAAAATACAAAACACTAATAATTACAATAGTTAAAAGCATAAAAACAATATACTCACAGTCTACCGAACTATTACCAGTCTGGTGGCCATTATCTAGCCGTATGCTATGACTGAGTACTCCATTTAACTTATCCATAATCCATTGCCAAGCCATTGTCAATTGTCATTTCCGCCTAATACCTGAAGGCCTGGTCGCACATCTATGTTTTTACCTTCTTTCTAAAGGTGAGGAGGGATGACAAGAAGGTCCTGTCCCTCTTCCCTGCCAAGCGTGTTTGAGACAGAGGCAGGGCCGAGAGCAAGGCCTCCCCAGGAGATCTTAAACTCCGAGGTGGGACGTAGAAGGAGATACGTTCGGAAAGAAAGCTACTTCTTCCTTTTCTTTTAAGAATTTCACCTCAGTGCCTATCTATTAAGTGTCACTGCTCTAAAAAGGATAGCTGTGTTGCCAAAAAAGCTTATATGTAAAGCAAGCAGAGGAACTTGTGATCTTCCAGAAAATTTGGACAACTACTCTTTTCCATTGTCTCTACTTGCCGAAGGGGATGGGAGTTGCAGTCTGTCAGGAATATTAAAAATAAACTGGGTATTTTTGGTGACAAAAGTGTGAGTCAAGTACTGAAAGAGTTAGTAGGCTGAAGCCTGTTAGTCAGTGGGCCAAAGCTAGTATCACCCTGAGGAGAGTGAGTAGGCCGAAGCCTGTTATTGCGGGCCAAAGCAAGTGTCACCCTGAGGAGAGTGAGTAGGTCGAAGTCTCTTATTGTAGGTTGAAGTCTCTTATTGTAGGTCGAAGTCTCTTAGTGCTAGTAGGTCTCAGTCTGAGAGAAGCCTCATGTGAGAAAGCTCCGGTGTGAAGGCTGCTGTGTGTATAGCTACTGTGTATTTGTTTATTCATGTTATGGAAACCTTGCTGTTGTAAATAGAGCAACCATATTATTTTACTACTAAGAAAAGCCTCTGTAACAAATTACTTAATTTATTGCAGTTTTTAAGAAAACAGGTTTTATTGAGTGATATATAGTGCAGGCAGGTTGGTTTGAAATGTAGCCATTGGTTTGGCTGCATTGCCATAGCGACATAGGCCTCCAGGCAAAAGCAAAAGGGGCAGAGCAAACTGCCACTGGAGGAGAGCACAATTAGAAAAGTCAGTCTTTGGTGAGCTAGCCAAAGAGGAAAGTTGGTTCCTCTTTGTTCATAAATCAGGATACACTTGACAGGATGGACAAAATATATCATTCTGAAGATGGGTTGGAATGAGTCTCCCTTGTTTACTGGATCAAGTCTGGGCAGTCCCTATTGTGACCTGCAGTCTACCCTTCCACCTGGCAAAATCACACTGCTTATCCCTGGGGGAGGAAAATATTAATGGGCCGGGCTTTAGCACTATGGGTTAAACTGCCAGCTGCAGAGTATCTTGCAGATCGAAAGGTCGACAGTTCAAGCCCAGGTTGGGGTGAGCTCCCAACTACCCCCCGCCCTCAGTATATTATTATTATTATTATTATTATTATCATTATTATTATTATTAATCAAATCACCTTGATTTGTGCAAGGAGGTTTTTTAAGGTGGTATACAACTGATCTGGATCCTTGAGCTCTTTCCTGAAAAATAAAAATCAAAGTTTGAATTATCAATACCCTATGAAACATTTGGGCTCCACATGTTCAATTAAAACATAATTTTTATCTACAGCATAGCTCGGGAATTGAGAATATGTGACATTCTAGACATTGTTAGACTGAAAATAACAGAAATCCCGGACTATTGATTATTCTGGCCAAAGTGAACTCCATCAAACATCTGTAGTCTACCATCCCTGGTGCAGCTTATTGGCACAGATGGCTCCAAAACTATTGCATCCCTTTGGGTAAAAGCAAGAAGGGGAACATTAGGAAAAATATCCTGATGGTAAGAGTTGTTTAACAGTGGAATAGGTTGCATAGGAATCCCGTGGTGTCTCTGGATGGCCATCTGTCACGAGTGTTTTGATGGTGTATTCCTCCATGGCAGAATATAGTTAAGAGTGGGAGGCCCTTGTAGTCTCTTCCAACTATGATTCTATGACTGAAAGAAATCTGAAACCTTCTGAAAAGCAGTAGGCCTACAGCTGGACCTTTGAGGTCAACACAGAAGGATAGAAAGGTATATGATTGCCAGCCAACAAGCAAGGTTTCAAAAATAGTTTTCTCTACATACATTAAATCTGTAATTCTCAGAACAACACAACAAAGAAGATCAGAAGCTTTCTGCAAGTAGAGAAAAGGGTTTTCAAGGAAGGGGGCAGAAGTAGCTAAGATGTCATGCTGCTTACCCTTTCTCCTTTCCCAGGGGCTTCCATCCTGTTTCCCCTGCAAAAAAGAGAAAGAGAGCATATAATTTCAAAATAAACCAGTGGTCAATAAGAGAAGAGATGGTCGCATAATGCTGATTCTATCTGGTAGTAGGGACAGAGATATTGGAGTTTATACCTGCTTTTGTATTATTATTTTTTGTAGACACCAGGGAACAGTGAAGGACCTAGATCAGGACAGTGAAAAAAGAAGAAGGAGATGGACTGTTTCCTCTTGTAATACACTTGGTATCAGAGACAATATGATTAGGTATTTCAGTTGTGGGGAATGTGTGTTTTGTTGTGTTCATGCTCTATTGGTCACTGATGCATCGGGTGAGAAGAAAACACTGGGCCAAACAGGACACTTCTGTGATCTCACAAAACATTTATATTAAAAGATCAGCCTCGTCTTGTGAATGTGCAGCTATGGCCATCCCTGATCTCTAAGAAAAATGAAGGGGGTGGAGGGTAAAAAAGAGAAGACTCAGCATTACACGAAATATGATTCCCTCTATGCTAAACATACCCCCCAAAGGCTAACCAGTAACAAGCTCTGCTAGACTCACGGATGCCTGGAATGCTTTCGATGGGGATATGGCGTACACCTTCTTTGAAGCAAGTGAGGCCCGGGTAGACTTTGCGGATCTGAGCCTGCTTCCTCTCAATCAGCTTCTTGATGATCTGTGGAAAGAAAGGAATAAGTGTCACACTTTGGATTGCCAGGAAACCTCAGAGCACCCATCAAGCCCTGCGGAAGAAGAGGGAGCAAGGCAAAGATAATTGAGGGATGATATAGATGCATAGTTAGGTTACTAAATAAGGGGTCCTTTCACATTATACAATCATCACACTTTGATTCTCGTTTAACTGCCATGGCAACATCCTCTGGAATCCTGAGATTTATAATTGAGGGAGGGGCAGGTAATTAGGATTCTCAGCCAGAGAGCTCCAGTATCTTACTAAAATACAAAGCCCAGGATTCCACAGGATGCAGCCATGACAGTGAAAGTGGGAATACAGTGCTATACAGGCAGTCACCAAGTTAAAAACATCTGACCTACAGATGATTCATAGTTAAGAACGGGGATGAGGCATCAGAAAGTGAGAGAAACCTGACCCTCAGAAGGGAAATTCACTCCTGAAAGAGTTGTCATAGGGAAACAGTGTCTCCACTGAGGCTTTCTCACCAACCCTTGTTTCTAAAACAAGCCAAATTATTAAAAATCAAATTATCATAGGGATAGAAAGTGAGGTGAAATCTTCTAAATAGGGGCACAGAGAGCAGAACAAACACCTCAGGAGTGTTGACTCTTTCCTATGCTATCCAAAGCTAATATATAGAAATTATTGACTAGTTACACTTAAAAATGTATGTGTTCCGATTTACAAACAAATTCAACTTACAGACACACCTACAGAACCTCTCTTGTTCATAACTTGAGGACTGCCTGTAATTGTGTCGCGGCCCCAAGATTAGTATCAAAGCCATTTAACAAAGCACAGCCAAAGAAAGGGCAAAAGGCTGGCACACACAAGGGATGAGGCTAGCATACGGGATCATAAGTGCTTCACTGCTTATAGCAAGGGTGGAGCATCTGTGACTGTTTAGAATCTGCTCCCATGACTGACAGCTGGACAAAACTGGCTGTGCTGACAGAAAGTAGAGTCTAGTCATAACTGCAAAGATGAGCTTTTTGTCAGAAATACTAAAAATCAACTAGGTATTTTTAATTACAGAAATGTACTGTAAGTGAAGCACTGAAAAGGTTAAATGGATGCAATGACTCAGCAAAAGCTGCAGTTCAATATAGTAGTTCACAGTCTGTGACTGGTCTCTGTGGGAGAAAGGCCTCTGTAAGAGAAAAGCCTCAGTGTGAGTAAGCCTGGTGTGTGAGAAGCTTTGATGAGAGAAGGCCCAGGTTGAAGGCCCTTGTGTGTGAAGGCTGCTGTATATAAAAAGTTAGGATGTGAAGCTACTGTGCAAGTTCAGTGTGAGAGCGAAGCTGTTTATCTCCATGAGCAAGAAGCCCAGCGTGGAAGCAAATAAGGAAGTATAAAGAACTTTGTTCATCTTATAGAAACCTTGTTCTTGTAAATAGTGCAACCATATTATTTTGCTATAAAGAAAAGTCTCCTATGGAAGATATGGCATTGCTCTGTGTGTTTTTGATCTTTTTATCACTTCTGACTACTGGTGCTGGGTCATGCTGCTGCTAATAAGTTACTCTGCTATACATTCATGGGGAGGATCTTTTTTTAATAAACCCACTTGCCCAACACTGTTTCCATAAATGTGGCACAAATGCGGGCAAAATTTAAGGATTCCACCACCCACTGAACCAGAGTAAAAAAAGACTAAAACACACCATTTCCCATTTCAGAGTTCTCCAGATGTATTTAACTACAGCTCTCATCATTTACCAACTCAGAGGTCTCTAGACATGTTTAACTACACCTATCATCACTTACAGCCAGTAGGGATAAAATGGTGAAAGTTGTGGTATAAAAAATAAAAACTGGGGGGCATCCTTGCTTGCAATATGGTCTATTTGTTGCTATCAACAGTTTCTCTACCAATAAAAGAGACCATCTTTTCAGCATTTATTCTAAGAGGCTGCAGCAGGACACATCTAGAGAGTGCTGGGTTGGAGTCTGCATGCTAAACCTATAATTTTAACTTCTCTATTTTCTACTGTTTGAGTCTGACCCCTTCACATAAATGGTAACTGTATATTATTAAGTACTATGCTATGGCACATGTAACTGACTAAAGAGACAGTAAGAGGCAAGGACAATTCCATCTTCCTTCCTCTTCAAGCCTAATGCCTCACCTCCTTCTGTTTCTTTATGATATGTGAGAGCTCTGTATAAGGAATCCGGGGATTCAGTTCACACTCCATCAAAGTTGCTCCCTCATAGTCCTTGATATAGCCAACGTAGCGGGTCTTGGGGACCTTGATGTCTTTGGAGAAGCCCTGGAGGTCAGAGAAGAAACATCTTGTTCACCTTCCAGCATGAACAAGTCATATATACTAAGCATTCCTATCTGGAAATCTGAAATTTGAGAGGTGTCAAAATGAAACCAAAATTACTCCAAAAATATTTAGAGGGTCACAGTTCCCAATTTTTGCTTTACTCTAAGACATAGAACAGTAGTTTATATTCTCTAGCTCTCTTCCTGCCACCCATTTCTTCCTTGAATGAGTTGATAGAGTTCAAAAGTATAATCTCTCCTTCACCATAGTTGATGGTTCATTTGGGCCTAGAAATGTTTTTCACCTTGACTGATTGATCTGAACCAACCAGCTTCATAATGCATGGTATAAGGTTGGCTTGCCTTAAACCAACCCTATTTAACATTAGCCACCAAAGATGAAAGCAAAAAGCTCTTCTTCCAAGTTATACAGGAGAAGATGGGAATAATAAATAACAACAGCAATGACACCTGCACCTTTCTATGTATTAGGAACATGTGAACCAAAGGATTAATGAAGTTTGCTTTGGCATGGCCCACTAAATTCTGTTTTGGTATGAATGTTTGAATGTGTCCATAGAGAACATCCATTTCCAAGCTCTGGGAGGAGAGCCAATCCCTCTTGTATTTTGATACTAATTTATTTATTATTTGGCCTTTCTTCCTACAAGTTCAGGATAGTGTACATGGCTCTCCATCCCACTATTATCCTTGTAAAGTTATAAAAATTCATACATATATACATACATACATACATACACATACTCATAACAAACAACACTGTGAAATCAGCCAAAGTAGGAGAGTGAATGGAACCAAGTTCTTCCTGAATCCCAGGCAAAGAATTTAGAAATCTCATTTTGTCTCTCCTCGTTCATAGAATGACATATACCTAAACACAAAGCTGTTTCTAAACAATCTCCAGAGGAACTACTACAGTACCTGCTTCTTGAAGTAGCCAATGGCATACTCATCCGCATAGGTGAGGAAGTAGAGAATGCTGTGCTTGATGTGGTACTCTTTTAGGTGATTCATCAGGTGGGTCCCATAACCCTTCAAGAGGAAAAGGAAGTTGCATGTGGTAAAAGCCAAAGCTTGGAGATAACACATTTACAACTATACAGATGTAAACTATGATGCATTTTAAGGTATTTTAGTTGTGTAGATTTTATTATGTTCTAAATGTGTTGGAGAGATAATTCTAAGTTTATTTAGATACTTATTTTGGGTTAGTCGTTATATGTTCATTTGACGTTGGTTTACCCATTGCTTTTGATTTGGTTTGTTTGTTTGTTGTTATTATATTATGGCATTGAATGTTTGCTATTTTTTCCCCTCGGAGAGATTGGGCAGGTTATAAATAAGGTATTATTATTTTTATTAGTAGTAGTAGTATTATTATTACAAAGATAACATAATTACTTGTTACTTTCCTGTAGAATCAGAGGCTAACAACATTATTTCTTAATAAGCAAATGAATAAAGCACAAAGTTTTACTTTTTAAATACAATTCCATTATTGTTATTGCTAATCATTATGGAAGTAAGGCGGCTAGGAGATGAATGAATGATGGGAAATGGAGCTCAGCAGCTCCGAGTGGGAACAGTTTCTCTACATCTGTCTTTTAGAGTTATTTCCTCTTTCAAGCCAAATGAACATATTCTCTGTGTATACAGGGAATTTGGTATCCTCCAAATTTTAGTTCGGCTGCAGCTTCCATCAGTCCTAGCCTGCATAATCACTGGTAAGAGATAACAGGATTTACAGTCCAACATCATCTGAAGAATCACACACTTGGTGTAACAGAACTTCTAATATAATCAACTCCTGGCCGTTCCCTACATTCTTTGCTTTTTCATCTACATTAGTGGTTCTCAACCTGTGGGTCCCCAGATGTTCTGGCCTTTAACTCCCAGAAATCCTAACAGTTGGTAAACTGGCTGGGATTTCTGTAAGCTGTAGGCCACAATACCTGGGGACCCACAGGTTGAGAACCACTGTTCTACATGCATGATACCTGCATTGCTAGGAGGGACAACATGACCCCCACCAAAACAATGTGTGATTCTTAAATCTATTCAGATGTGTAGGTGAATTCTACTTGTTAATTATTTATTTATTTTATTTATATCCCATTTTTTTCCCCAACAAGTGTTCCACAACAGTTTAGAAGGCTGGTAATGACCTTTCAAAAAGCACAACTTCAAATGTTAGTTCACAACCAATGGATCCTAATAGAAATAAGGAAACAAATACCCCTCTTAAACCCTACCTTGACTTGCTCATTGGATGTCACTGCACAGAAGACAATTTCTGTGAACCCCTGTGTAGGAAACATCCGGAAGCAGATGCCGCCAATCACTCGGCCATCCTTGATCAGAGCCAAAGTCTTGTGCTTACTGTCAAGAAACAAAAAAAAAAGTGTATAGGCTTGGACTGGGCAGCCAGGAAAGGAAAGCTGAGCATAATATTGCTTGTTTCATTTTTTCACCTTTATTGAATTAAGTAAATGTGAGATTCTAGGATTACGGAGATGTCTTCTGCATCTGTATTACAAATAAAAACTGCTCTATAGCTCTTTTCGTTTTCATAGCTTCGTACTTATAATGCTGGGAACAGCAAGGTATTTTTGTGGTGCTCAGGAAGTCCTTGCTCTACCTCATTTTTAAAATTCAAGTCATAATGAAATTATAATTAAATTAGCTAAGATGCTGCTGTGGATATACCCTATCTGCCTTGATTAGAACAAACGGGAGATGTTGTAGGCAGAAAGACATCACAAAATGACATGCTGCTTCCACTAATAGCTATTAACTCAGTTATGTAATGCCAAAAACATTCTCAAATGGTCAACACAGTTACAAAAGATATCACATAATAATTGTAAGACAGGAGAACCTTTGTCAGCTCAAAAGCTACATTCAATTGCAGAGATGTTCTTTGGGAAGGAAGGAAAAGAATAGAGGTTGAATGCAAAAATTGCAGCACAATTTAAGTTAAGCTCTCGCTGCTATAAACTAAGTTTTTGGAATGGCATTTGAACCTTTCTGAAGAGAAGAAAAGACAAACAAATGCTGGGAAGGCATCAAATGGGGGAATCATTGGAAACCCCAAAGGAAAGCATTTCGCCTCAGGGCCTCAGCTTCTCAGCCCTTGATTTCAAAGGGAAATAGAAGTTGTATTCATTTGGCAAGATGCTGAAGTTCAGTTTCACAAACTGATTTGTCTGTGAGTCTCCTGTTATTTTGTTGGCAAATCAGATTCTTTCATTCATATCCATGCATCATTAGTTTTGAGGACTACAGTTCTCAGAATTCTCTAATGAATATAGCTAATTCAGCTGTTCAGTTGATGTACTTTGTTGTTATGCTAGTGCTATGTACATGATTAAAGCCCAGTCTTCCTGCAAAATATGCATCACTTTAACATTCCACATCCCAAGGACTGGTTTGTGTCATATACATAGCACTAGGTAAAGTTAAAGATTTCCCCTGACATTAAGTCTAGTTGTGTCCGACTCCGGGGGTGATGCTCATCTCCATTTCTAAGCCGAAGAGCTGGTGTTGCCCGTAGACATCTCATGTGGTTGGCATGACTGCATGGAGTGTTGTCACCTTCCCGCAGAAGCAGTACCTATTGATCTACTCAAATTTGCATATTTTCGAGTAGAAACAAGAACTCTTGACTTTGGGTTTGATATTTAACATGTTTTCTTTTTTCTATCATGGAAAACCAGAATTGAAAACACATTTAAGAAAAAAAATGATGTATTTCCATAAAATGAAAAGGTTCTGCTAGGTTGGCAGAACTTGGGCATAGCAGCGGGAGCTCATCTTGTCCTCTGGATTTGAACCGCCAGCCTTTCAAGTTCAGCAGCTCAGCAGTTTAACCCACTGCGCCACCAGGGGGCCTAGATAGCAATAACACAGCCACAATTTTATAGTAACACCTAGAGAGCTGAGACTGATACATTAACTAGAGAATTCTGGGAACTGTAGTCTTCATTCATGTTTCCAATCTCTGAACTGTTACAACAGACACCCCTTATCATTCAAGAAAGACTACAGAATCACTCCCAAACGTACGGGTCAAAAACCAGGCGGGTGATGTATTCCTTGGGCATTCGAGGCAGCTGGTGTGAAAAAACATTCTGCAAGCCAACCAGCCACATGAGAATCTTCTTGTTTGATTTCTGAGAGAGCGAGTTGCCGATGACATGGAATTCAATTATGCCACGACGCTCCTCAAGCCGGGCTGTCTCATCCCGGGCTGCGTTTGCTGACAGCAGACTCGTCTAAAGAAAAAATACAAGCAGGAAGTTCAAACATATTTGTACAAATGGATTTGAAATGTGGTGTAGATGGGAGTAGTGATTTGTTTTTCTGAAACACAGCTCAATCAGGGTTGAGGGATGTGAGATGCTCCAGATTATTTTTTATTCTTTTAGTATGCCACTCATATAATGTCTCACCATTGGCTATTGTGATTAGAATTGATGGGAGCTGCAGGACAAAAACATCTGGGGGCCACAGTGACTCACTCCTGAGTTAATCTCACTTGACTCCCAGAATCCTTTGCTTCTAATTCCTCCTTTCAAGCTCCATATCCAGAAAAAAGGAACAGACAAAGGTTTTCAACCTTATAACCAACATAATCATACAGTGTTGCTTAATGAAATAACTTGACTGAGAAAAATATGCAAAACATCAGAAATTTGTCAGGAAGGGTATCTTTTTGATAATAAACTACAAAGTAAGGGTAGGGAACCAATCTTTCTTTCATGGCCACATACCCTAATCAGGGACTACAAAATAACAAGAAGGAAGGTCATTATGACATTAGTGAGGGCCAAAACTGAAAGTGGACAGGGCCTCACACGTACTTATATTTTGAGATATTTAACCAGGACATCTCAGCAAGCTTTCATTTGATACAAGAAAGGGCCATTTATTTGCCAAAGCCTCTTCTCCATCCACCTCCATTTCTTAATTCAATGAAAAGAGGTGGGACACAGATACACTCTTTTGAGAGCCACCACCCAAAAATCATATTTGGCAATGAGAAGTATTTTATTACTGATTGCACTGCTTGTCAGACCTCCAAAAGCAACATATATTTTGTAAAATATATGCAGACAGTAATTAAGGCAAACATAGCCACTTTGAGTCCCCTTTGGAGAGATAAAGTGGGGTAATAATAATAATAATAATACTTGGGAAGTGTCCAATATGTGATCCAATACAACAGCCAGCACAGTGATCTTGTTTGCTGTTTACTAATCTTGTTATGTTTCAAATAATAATATTTTTGCTGTTTTCTGCACAACTAAATATGGTAAAGGCCCACTCCTTTATACTCAACATCAAGTTTAATGTACCTCAGGCCCTAACATGGCGGCTGGATCTGTGATCGTCAACATCACTTCGTTGACAAGTTCCATTGGGATGTCACCTAACACACGGATCCGTTTGGCATCCTCCAAAGTCAAGCTCTCAGGAAGTTTTCTCTTTTCACCTACAAGGACAGCAAAAAAGAAATGAGAAATAAGGATTAAATGTATGGATCTGAACATGATTCATGTCACAGCCAAAAGTCGTGTTCCACAGTAATGGTATTTACAATGCATTTCCTATGATTCTGGACTAGACTTCTAGGCAATAGATTGTTTTGTTTTGGTTACATTTTGTTCTGGCTGCAAATCAACTCTATAGAGACTCCATCCTAGGGTTCTCTTAGCAAGATTTATTCAGAGGTTTGCTATTGTTTTAGTCTAAGACTGGGAGGGCATGACTTGCCGAAGGTCACCAATGGATCTCCAAAGAGGAGTGGAGATGCATTATCGGTCTCCTGGAATATTAGCCACAATTGAAACAACTTCACCACATTGGCTCTTATTAAATACGCAGATAAGCACTCTTTATGATTTAAGAGTGGAAATTATGAAACAAATTTGAGTTTACTCATTATGAGAGAAAACCTCATGAAAGCAATGGGACTAACTTGAACCGTACTGACTGCAATAGGTCACTCAGTACCTTTCCCAATCTGGATTCCTCCTACTGTTGTGACTAAAATACTCGGCAAGTAAAACCAGGGCTTTTTAGTAAGGACAGATGCTGCAGGCCAAAACATCTGGAGGTTCTCAGATTATGGAAGACTAAACAAACCTTTACAGTTCATTGGACAAGCTTCCAAGTATCACTAAACCCATTATTAACTCTGGAAGTCAAACATTTTAAATGGATACAAAACAGACAACTCGCTCTGAAGGTTTCCTTCTTGGTCACTCACTTCTTTTAACATTTTCAACCTACCTGGCACAGAATCCAATGAGCTGCCATCAAGGTTCATGGATGCCAAAGATGAGCTGCAACTCAAAGATTTGCTAAAAAGTGGTGTGCTGGCTGCAGGCACAGTGCTGATAGCTGCACAGAAAAATGGCAGTAATAAGAGGTTAGAATATGAAGAATTGTCAACAGAGAATGGAGATCAAATTCAGATGCAGGAGATGCTTCCACAGCTTGCAACAGGACAGCACCTCGGTCTGCTTTTCTCTCACTTCTATGCCACCTTTCCTTCAAGAAACTTGGATCAAATCTACACTGTATCATATGGTAATGTAGATGGAGCCTCAGGGAAGTATGCATACACTTCTCCCACTTTAATTCTCACATGAAATAAAGTTGTGAGATCATACTAAGCCCTCCAACTAGTTTTGTTTTGTTTTTTTGCCTGAGGTTTAACACAAAAATTGTCTTGTCTCTTCATTCATCAACCTATTTATTTACTTTATTTGTATACCGCTGTTCTCAGCCCTTAGGCGACTCACAGCAGTTAACAACAAGAACAGGAAAAATTCAATGCTACAATAACACGGTATAAAAAACAGTTAACATCATAACACATTATACAATAATATACAATTAACAACAATAGCCATTCACTAGCGTCTCGTCACTGAAAAACATGATCCAGATCCGTCATCCATTGTTCCATTCCTATGTTCATTACACTCATTGCACTGATTATTCGAACGCCTGCTCAAACAACCAGGTTTTCACTTTTTTGTGGAATACCATTAATGATGGAGCTAGTCTAATGTCCGTGGGAAGGGCGTTCCACAGCCTAAATCCTACAACTGGTTTTGGACGGCCACCCCTCTCATCCACCAACCACAGTTAGAAATAATGTGATTTGTAATTTAAAACCCTTTTTTTTGATGTAACCAGCTTGGAGAAGGCTATTAGCCATTATAATAAAATTGGCATGGTTTTTTAGTTCAAGATGGTTCAACCTAGTTTTGTTTGATTGTGTATGAGTGGGGGAAACATCTTTTCCTGCTGAAAGTGGAGTGGCTCGCTTGCCTGTATATATACCTTTTCAAATACTGTATATAGAGTATAAGCTGTATTTTTCAGCCCTTTTTTAGGCTGACAAAGCCCCCTTTAGCTTATACTCGAATCAAAGTTATTTATTATTTTACTGTTATGATTATTATTTTTATTAAATTTTTACTCTATTATTATTATTATTATTATTATTATTACATTTATTATTTTACTCTATCATCATAATCATCATCATTATTACATTTACTATTTTACTCTATTTATTATTTATTTTACTCTATTATTACATTCATTATTTTACTCTATTATTGCTGTTATTATTACATTGACACTATTTTACTCTATTATTATTATTACACTTATTATTTTACTCTATTATTATTGGAAGGATACATAAGCAAATTTACATTGAAAAAGGTTAGAATAATGGTTTAATCAGGGTTGGACTGTCTTATATTAAATTACCGTTTTATATAAATATTCAAAACATTTAACCTACTGATGCCTCAGTTAAGGTAATTTTATTGGTATCTATTTTCATTTCGAAATTTAGCTGTAGCTGCTGCATTTCCCACCCTCGGCTTATACTCGAGTCAATATGTTTTCCCAGTTTTTTGTGGTAACATTAGTTGCCTCGGCCTATATTCGGGTCGACTTATTCTCAAGTATATAATTAATGTTGTTGTTTTTAATCTACTGTGTATTTATAGTTTTATATTGTTGTTATATTGCGATATGTTAGCTGCTCTGAGTCCCCCCTCAGGGGTTGAGAAGAGCGGGGTAGAAACGTTGCAAACAAACAAACAAATAAATAAATACGGTACATATTTTTTTTCTATTCTTCCACAAGAAGATGTGAAAGCTGGATTCCCGAAATAAATATTTAAGTGTCTTTCAAACACAACTATCTGGCTGCACAGGCAAAATATGCATTTGTTGACAAGTTGCCTTGTTCTTATGCTTCACCCTGACCATTATTCAACACAAGGTAAAGCTGTAATTCACCAAGATTGTGCCCTTTTGGCACGCAAAGAATCTAGATTCGATTATCAGCACTCAAAGTTAAAGGAATTCAGACTGCCAGGCTAGAAAAGTTCTCTACTCAAGATTTGGAAACACAGTAAAACTTTACAAAGCTAGTTCTTGGAACCAGCTGCTTGATTCTATGTAAAACACTCTGATGGAATAATATCCTTGGTAGTTATTTGAACAAGTAGTGAGTACAAACGGATTCAAGTAAGATTCCAAAAGGTACAATGTACCTGGACGGGGAACAAGGGGGGCTCCTTCTGCTGCAGGCATAGTAAAGTCAGCCTCCCAGATTGGTGAACTCTCCCCATAGATTTCTTCCTCCAACATTGACAGAAATCTGAATAAAGAAGAATAGAGAAGAATCAATATGGAAAATATCGGGGTGGAGTGGGGAACAATCCTACAAGTCTGCTTCTTAAATTACAATGAACTACAAATCTTGGAAGCTAGGCAGGGTCAGCGCTAGTTATTACTTTAATGGGAGACTGTCAATTAATACCAGGTGCTATAGGTTTCATTTCAGAGAAAAGAAACTGGAAAATTAATTTTCACTGCTTAAGAAAACCCTATGAAATTCATAGTGTCACCAGAATTCACAGACACAGTTGAAACCCCGTGAGAAGGACCAAGACTCAAAGTCATGGGAAAAGCTACCTGCACTCATTATATTTGCACACGTGTATGTGTACGCACATGCATGTACACTGTTGTATATGATCAATGTTTCATGGAACTGATCTTACTTGGGGAAATGGGTGAGGATGAGAGTCCGTTTCTCTGGCACCAACTTGTCTTTTTCTACTCTGAATTTCTCCAGTAGCTGCCGACGAGTCACTGTGAAGGTGGACTTGAGCAGGTTGCGCCCAAAGACCTGGGTGGTTTCATATCGAGGAAGGCTGTCACAGCTCTGGGGGACATGGCAGTAGCACAGCCACCTGAGGAATGGAGGCATGGAAGGGAAGAGACACATCATTGTTTATAATCTCAAAATGTGGTAGGCTTCAGCTTCCATCCCAATAAGGCATCAATTGCAAAACAAATGCACATTTGAAAAAAGGAGAATAGGTTGGAAGGGGAGAGAGGAGAAAACTGGTGCATTGTGATGCAAATACAAAATTGAATACCAAACAGAAGAAGTTAATGTTTTTGAATAGCAGAGCACAAGAATACACAATCTGAAACCCTACAAGGGCTTTGGATTGGAACTCCCACAAGCCCTGACCAGGAGATACTAAGCAAGGATGGTGGCAGGCCCATAGTGAGGGGGGGGGGGGTTAGGGGTTCAACCCACCCCTGAAATGTTTCAGATTTTTTTAAAAAAACCTGGTTTACTCATGAATTTTAACTGGTTAACCAAATCCCCATGCTAAGTCTATGAGATGCAAAAAATCAAGAGTCCCTTCAGAACTGCAAGCACTATCTCAAGCAAATATTAGCAATTTATTCACACTGTCATTACTTGCAGCAATAGCCAATGTAGTTGTTCTGGTACAGCTGTACCAGGAGCTCCAACTTTATTTGCTTTGTATTAAATGTTTGCTTGCAGTCCTAGGTTTCAGGGACTCTGCAGATAGGTGGCTTCTTTGGTTGCAGTCATAGGGCAAGTCACCTGTCCATCATTGTTAAGTTTTGGTCCCGCCTGCTCAGGGCAATTGGGAAGGGAAGGGAGCCATTTTTAGTTAGTCTCAGCAAGGAAAGCTAATGTACAGGACGTGTGCAAGCTTCCCCTGTACAAAAGCTTCAACCCTTAAGACTTTCCAGGGGAAAACAGTCTTAAGAGCATCCAAGACTTTCTGGAAAAAAGCCCTAAAGACCAAAGAACTCCAGCTGGAGAACATCTACTGCCTTGCTGGTAGGTCCACTCGGCGTTCGAGACAGTTCGACCCGGTAGCGGAGCCCACATCAGTAAGGGTTAGATTACAGTCAGCCTGGGAGAAGTTAAAAAGGGGATTTTCCTTTAAAGAAGAAGTTATTGAAGACAGTTGCCTGTCCTTCGTGGGCAAGATTAGGAATTCATCAGTTGCCTAAAAGCTTGGAATCATTTGCTTAACTTTACTGAAGACAAGAGAAGTTTCTGTTTGATTGTTCATTAATAAAAGACTTTGTTGTACTTCTCAAGCCATCTAAAGACTGTTTGTGGTGGAAACCTCTGAGAACTTCTCTTTAGGCCCCCTGGCTTCCCGCTGGGCAAAGGTTGCACATCCTGTTCTAAAGACAATTATTTACAGGCCCAGCACACGACAGAACAGTAGTGAAGCAACCAAGTTGGTGGGGGGGGGGGATGTTGAATGCTCTCATTAAGGAGGCCAGACTTGGTGGAGGGGGTTGACAAGGGCGGAGCTGCAGGCTATTGAAGGCTGCTCTGCCCCCTGCTGTGCTCTTTGCTTCAGCATGAGCAAGGAGGGAAGCAGGTTTCAACCCCCCCCCCGAACTTTTCAACCCCCCCCCCCCCCGAAAATTTCAACACCTCCCGAAAAAATTTTCTGGCTATGGCCCTGGATGGTGGGACTCCAAAAAACCTGGGATATGGCAGTTATCTGTCACTGGCACGGCAGCTTAACCCTCATTTTTGCAAAGTTAGAAGCAACTCTGTTTCCAACAAGATGAGCCTCCTTTAGAGAACTTTATACAATCCAAGAGGTAGGCTGCCCTGTTAAAATAACTGAGCTTTTCAATAATCAGTGAATATACAGGAGAGTGGGAAATGTACACTCTGCCAGCACAAAGATATATTCAGCCCTGTCAGCACATTCTAGGACAGTGGTTCTCAACCTGTGGGTCCTCAGGTGTTTTGGCCTACAACTCCCAGAAACCTACGGCAGTTTACCAGCCGTTTGGTAAATGCCTGGGGGCTCACAGGTTGAGAACCACTGTTGTAAGGCAAAGCAGATATTGAAAACAGATGTCTTGGTACCATCAATGTCAAAGAAAATAATGTAGTTATACCCAGCCTCTCTCCCAGAACTAGGACTCAAGATGGCTTCCAAAAACTAAAACCATTGCCAACAAAAGAACACGTAAAGCATATTTTGTAAACATGAAAAGAGTAAATATTAAAGTGCAATTAACTTTTCTATAAAGTTAAAACTGGTAATAATAAATCCATTTCAAGAAAAAAATGTAAGTGGGCCAAACAGAACGCTTAAAAGCTCTTGTAGTCAATTTCTAAAAGTCTGATTGAACAAATAAATGTTTATTTTCCAACAAAAAGTCAATAAGGAGAAAGCCATTCTATTTTCCCAAAGGAAAATTTCCAAAAAATAAGAGAGGTACTGAGAAGCTCTGCCCAATGTTCCCAACAAACTTGTTTGGGAAGAAAGTGGGACCAAAAGAAGATCCGCCTCCAAAGCTAAGCTTGGAGGTGGTAAACTTCTTTAGACAACTTGGATCCATCACACAGGGCTTTATAAGTCATAAATCTTGATGGTATTTCCCTTTATCCCATGCCCCTCTGTCCCCAACTCACCGGGTATAATTGACTTTGTAAGTTGCCACATCATCATTTTGTGAGCGCTGGCGGAACTGGGATGGCGTTTCCAGCTTCCAATAATTTAGGCACAAGAGAAACATCTTGGAGAGCTCAAACATGGTCTGCCGCTCCTTGGGAGGCAAGTGGCTGAACTTGTACTGCACAAAGTTTAAAACACCCTAAACAGGAGAGAAGAGAACAGCTGAATGGTATCCAAAGAACCCTCACCATACATGACTCCAAACTTCCAACCAATTGGGTTACTATCCATGAAACTCTCCCAATTGTTGTGGATTATTAAAAACACATCTTAATAAAAATAATCTTGGTGCCTTGGTTTTCAGGACTGGGGTTATTTGGGGTGCAGAGTCAGAAAATGGCATTGGATAGATCTCATCTGCTCTAGTTTCTCAGATATGGTTATCCTGATTTCTTATGAGCAGATTGATGAAGATATATGGCATATGCTCTGTATTTCAAAAACTAGAGTTGACAGGGGAAGACTGGTGCCATTTCTTGGAATCAGCAAATCAAATATACTCAGAAACAGGTCTAACATTTGAGGTACCAAAATGTGTGTTGGCCTCTTCAATCATAAACACAAATGAATGCATTTTGTCAACATTAGCATTGGATGGGTGGGTGGTCAAAAAGTTGGACTAGATTTGAGATCACTACATATCTACAACCATGAACCACTCATGAATGAATCTTTTACCCCTTGAAGGGGTGAGGCATAAAGTTTCAGATGATTACAACTAAATGCCTATCCAAGCACACAAACAACCCCTAACCTTAGTCAACTGCAAGATGGCGACCCCACAACATAAGGCCGAATGAAGTATTCTCCATCTGCATGGTTATTTTTTAGATTTGTTCCTAACTTTAAAACATTAGTAAAACTTTATAACTCATTAAACCATTTCTAACTGTTTGTATAACTGTAACATCGCTATCATGAAATATACTGCTTTGGAATTGGGGCAATTGTTTTGAAATACACCAAGAAAGTCCCTGAATGTCATATTTCAATCTAAGCGACATGTCACAAAGGGAAGGAACACTATAATTTTTGATGTTTCATTACTGTTTTTAAAAAGACAAGCTTGAACAGAAAGAATTCATAAACAGCAGCCCAAAACCATCTGGTTTTTCAGCTCTCTCTATTGGGAGTTCAAATTATAGGCAAGCTGGTGCTCAGATTTCAGCATCTTTATTAATATCCTTTATATAATCCTTCTAAATTGAATGAATTGCTTGTTGCATCTTCAGATGTGACTTGAGGACAGAGGGTCTTTTAAGGTTATGGTGTACCTCCTCTGGCATGTCTTAACTGGAAATTCATCTGCGTTCTTGACCATGTAAAATTCCCATTGATTGTACAGAATGTTTAGTTTATTGATAGATTTATCGAGCTTTTAAATAAGGATTGGGAATATCAGACCTTCCAGAAGCTGACAATTCTAATCAGATAGTTTCACAGAAATTATTCTGGAAAATGGTATTATAACCAGTAGTTATATCAAAAATCTAAACATGGTCAACTGGTCCTGAACTTACATGAAAATGTTCAGCGTGTCAACTTAAATATAAATACCAACTTTTGTCAAAACTAAATCAAAATGTACATCCTAGAAATCTGTGAAGTGTTTGGTGCCCAAAATAGTTCCAAACTCTTACTAAAATCTTGGTTTCCAGCCCATTACATTACATACAAAATTTAGTGATTGTGAGCAAGACAGAGAAACGCTGTAAATCATAATTAACTTTACTATTTTGTAAATTGCTTTTCTGAAAAATGGTAGATAAAAGCGTAAAAGTAAACAAGTTAAATAATATCTACCAGTTCTTACCACTATGCAAGGAAATTAATTTTCTCCTCAGCTGTGGAGTTCATCTGTTAGCGTTAGGCTTGTGTTGTAGTCATACTTGCAATACTAGCTATACAAGCCAACAGATCGGAAAAACTTTATTTACTTCACTGATATCCCTCACTCCAAAGGTTCACACAGTAGTTTACAAAAACTAGCGCTCACTCCCTGCCAAGAGGCTTACACTCTGAAAGACGACGGTAGACACAAGGTATGGGACTGGGAGAGAGAAAAATATGATATTGGAAGTTAATCCAGTTACTCAAATTAATGGGAGCATAATCTATTCTGCCTGCATCCAGATTTGCCTTCTATTCCATCTGTGAGCTGGCATACTCATTGTTGATAATATCCTTGCCTTTCTGCTCTTCAGTTACTCATTTAGCATTCTGTTTATGCATTCTTTTCCCTTGGCATCGGGCAAGGAAGAGAGTTCCTCTGCAAGCCTTCTGATGACAGATGACAAAGGCAGGTGTTACCCCTAAAACCTATTGGATACTTTATGGAAGTAATTTCTCCAATTCCTTTTATTACTGTAAAAAAACTTCTAGAGACTGTTCTATGCAATACTACATATCATACCTTGATTTTAATGTTAATTCGTGGTTTTATCAAGCACCTTTATGTTCTTCTTTTTAGACATGATATCCATCTGATCTTGGAAACCAAGCAGGGTCAGTCCTGGTTAGTACTTAAGAGGGGAGGCTGATAATGAATACTAGGTGTTCTAAACCAGGGCTTCTTAAACTTTTCCCAGTTGTGACACCTTTCTGTCTGAGAATTTTTATGCGACCCCAGATATATAGGTACTGGTATATAAAATAAATACAAAATCAAACATTTACTGATAATAGATCAGCATTTGTGAGGCTTGCTAAACAGACTGATTTTCTTTTTATGAAGTACAGCTGAAGCATTTTGTGCAGAGGCCACTGTAAACACTGTAAACAGATTTGAGTGCTATTCAGAAACCTTTTACTGCTGCTAATTTTTTCAATGCTCCAACACTGAGCTAAGGGCCCCCCGTTTGGGGTCAGGATCAACAGTTTAAGAAGAAGGCTCTTCCTCTGTATTACAGAGGAAGGAGCAGCAAAACTACTTGAGTACTTGCCTAAGAAAATCCTATGAAATTCATGAGTCCACAAAGACAACAGATGACTTGAAGGAACATATACATAAATTCACACCACACACTTTTTTACTGTTTTCTTTTTAATATCACCTTAAGGTCTTTCTTTGAAGGAACAACCCTAAATTTATTTGAATTAAATACATGAAATCACGGCCTCTTACCTGTTCAATATTGGGTTTCTCAAATGGGGGGCTCCCAAGAGATCCCTCAACAACTGGGCGGCTCATCTGCAGAATGCATTTCCTCAGAAGCTGCAGGGAGAAAGAGTGTAATTCTTGTAATATTTGGTTTTAATGTTTTAATTTTATGGTTTTTAATGCACATGTTTATATTTTTACTCTATGTATGTATATGCGGCATTGAATTGTTGCCACTCTGAGTCCCCCTCGGGATGAGATGAGCAGGGTATAAATAAAGTAAACAAATAAACAAATAAATTCTATTTCTCTTGTGCTTGCATTAAATGGATTCAACCAAATCTTTCAAAGGTCTTGTGGAACAGCTTAGAACCAGATTCTGCCCCATTTCCCACAATTACATGAATGTCATTCAGAAAATGTAGGATGTTCTAAGTCAGGACTCAAAAAGCTGTCAGAAGAAAGACAAACCCTCTCTTTCAATAATACAATACACAAAGAAGTCTCCAACTATCTCTTATCTTGGTGTTTCTGAACCAGCTTTTGATTGGTTTAAATAAACGAACTTCCACAAAAAGCAGCAGAAAGAGAATTACAATGGAAAAGGTGGGCTAAAGAACAACTGGAGAAGAGAGCAAGAGAACAGAGGTTGGAAAAGTTTCTTTACTGGACTATTAGAAATTATAGTCCAATAAGGTAAAATCTTTCAAGTTCCAATGTGATACAAAATTTCAAACAAATGCAAAATGTTACTTAAAAGAAAGATCACATAAACATCTTAGGAGCATATCTAAACCCTTTGAAGGGGAAAAACCAGTTAGGGTGATTTAAATGTAGTAAATAAATAAACAAACAAATAAGAGCCATTATGCCCCAGGCCACCTTTTATACTTTCTGCAGAATAATCTGTAACATCCAAGGGCCATATAACCCAGAATATCAAGGCAGAAAATCCCACAATATTTCTTTGAACTGGGGTTATCTGAGTCCACACTGCCATATATTCCAGTTCAAAGCAGGAAGTGTGGGATTTTATTCAGCTGTGTGAAAGGGGCCCAGTTATTGCACCCTGTTCTCTCTTCCTTCTACTCTTCCTTCTATTCTATTCTATTCCATCAGCATGTTTTATTTTTGTGCTGTTTACTGTACTTTGAAATTACTTTTAATTTTTATCACCGCAATCGAGAGACACAGCTCTGGGACAACAATTAATTAATAAAATGGCATTACTCAAAGAAGGTTTGACAAAACTCTGAAGTAAACAAAACATTTTATTGGCTGGGGGGAAGATAGTATTCTCTCCATTCTAACCATAGAAGCCAGCTAGAGGCTTATTTCCATCCTGGTGTTGGGGCAGCATCTTCCATCTCACCTGAGGGATGCAGGACAGAAAACATAACTCTGTCCTCCAAATGTGCCCCCAGTACACTTAACACCCCGCTTTGTTTGATGGATTGTGCAATGTGTTGTTAATAACAGTATTGAAGCTACTTTTTGGACCACAACTCCTAGAACCTCTCAGCCAGCATGGACAATCGCCATACAGATAATAGGACTCTGGGTGTCAGAGTGTAAGAAAGGATATTTCCCAACTCTTCTTAGATACATTGAGTGCCTCCTACTGGCAATCTTGGCACCTATTTCAAAATACCCCATGGACAAGCTGCAGCATTTTCTCCCATTCTCTGAACCCACCTTGAACAGGTAGAAATAAACCTGCTTGGTGTCGGTGTCCTCTTCCTTGTGTACAGACATGAAAAGATTCTCCACATCCACAACCATCCCAAGAAGCCGATTGATCTCATCCTCAGACACGTTCTCCAGGTGAGACACATGGTCAGCTGTGGTGGATAAGAAAAGTTAACATCATGCTTTATAATGTCATGCTTTATATGTGGTTTCACGGTGGTCAGATGTCCCTAACCCCAGTTAATGTAGAGAACTAACTATAATACAATATGACAGGACCACAGGACAGCAGGTTGCGAATGTCATGAAAAGACAGCAAATTGTGACTTGATTTCTTTGTTATTAGTCTATTTTATTTAACAGTGATCAGGAGAGACCTTTCCATTTCCTGGTTGTGGAGTAAAATAAATTGGCTAGATAATATATACTTTGACATGGGTTTGTAAGGAGCAATATTTACTGTTCTGCCCTAGGTAGCAAAATATCTTGGCCCTTCGGGTGATCTTGGCAACTGCCAATTATTCATCCATAATTGATATATTTGCCTAAGTCATTTCTTTGTACAGCAGCACATTCAAGTGTAATACCTAATGCTAAGAGATCCCACAATAAATTTTTAAGTAATGTCACCATTGTATGGGGAAATTAATCTGCTATCACAAATGGTATGCAAAGGATCCGTTTCCAAAACATCGGAGAAGTCCAAGGGGTAGGAAACAAAAGTGAAAAATGATTAAGCAGAGGGGGAAAAAACAACAACTTCATCATTATAACTGGGATTGAGAATGTTTAGTTCTCCACACTGGACTTGTAGTTGTTGTACTACAATGCTCATGATCTCTCCCCAATGATCATGATGGCTAGGGATGATGAGCATTGCAGTCAGCAACATCAGAGGAGCTGTATATTTCCTGACTTGCTTTATTTAAACATTTTTCTCTCCTACCTGCAAACTACTGACAGTGATGATGAGAGGCTTGATTAAGAGCCTTTTGCCACTAAAGACAATTGTATTGCTTCCCCCAGTTAAGGGGGGTGGGGGAGGAAGAATGCAAAATACCTTGTACATTTACCTAAAGCATGCCCACAGCTACGGCATGGCTCACTGAGGTTGGTGACTGTCTGCTGCAGATCCATTCGGGGGGCTGTGGGAGGATTTGGGTTCTTCCAGCCATTGCATTTACAAGAGTCATTAGCCTGGAGAGATGAGGAGAAAAAGAGACTCAGAGACTGGGAGTGCATTGTTCAATATTTTGTAAAGCAGCTGTGGTGAAACAGTAGTCCTTTACATGATAGTGGTCTCCAGCCCACATCATCAACAGCTAATGGGGCAAAGGCTGGAGACTGCTGTCTACCATGTGGAGGCACACAGTTTCCCTATCAGTGAAATGGAGAAACTAGAACAAATATTTCCCTGAGAAACACCAGGGACTACCTTATGAAGGAAAGCTATCCTGAACAATTTACTCCTGAATATTTTTGAAAAGAGTGGCGGAAATGTCTTCAAAGGATGCAAAAAACCCCCCAAAACACCCAGAGGGAAAATCTTCCCATACACAACCATTTATCTACAGCAATTGTTCTTTCAGATTACTTTTTCTACTGTTTTGATTTATTACTCCAATTATCTCACAGTGGGGTGACCCCTAGTCATGATGGTAGTAGGATTCTGAGCATGGTAGCCCAAAAAAGTATTTTTAAATAAATTTTGTTAACCCAAAGCCATGAAGTAGATGTTACATATCATCACTACTACTACCACCTTTCCCACTATCCCTTGCTGCAAAAATAGGCAGCAAAAATCCTTTGACGAGGCACAGCTGCTAAAAGATGAAAGCTGAAAAACCCAGATCCTCAATCAGTGGCTGATACTAGATGAAAAACTCCCTTGAGGGCACACAGAAGACTGGGCGACTTGGAAGGTACTAAACAGAATGCGCTCTGGTACCATAAGATGCAGAGTTAACCTTAAGAAATGGGGCTACAAAGTGGAGTTTACAACATGCCAGTGTGCAGAAGAAAGAACAAACCACAGACCACTTACTATGATGCAGTTTGAGCCCTACCACATGCACATGGAGGACCTTCTTAGAGCAATACCAGAGGCACTTGAAGTGGCCAGCTTCTGGTCAAAGGAAATTTAATAGAATGCCAAGTTTTGTTTGTGGTTTTTTTAAATACATTACAATTCTTGTTGTTAGCCGTTCTGAGTTCCTCCACGGAGGTAGAGAACAACGGGATATAAAAGTTCTAAATAAATAATAAATAAATATCCTCAATTTGCTTCTGACGCAATAAATATATAAACTCGGGGTTTCCATTTGTGTTGTACTCATTCATTTTTTGACAGCTCTAGGTTTAATTCTCTTTCTGTATTTATAGCAGGCATGGGGAAACTTAGGAATTGAAGCCCAAAACACCTGGTGAGCTGAAGCTTGTCCATGCCTAGTTTAAAGTCTTTAGGTTTTAATTGTATATGTTACTGGTTTTAGCATTGTTTGTGGCTCCAAGTCTTGTTAAGAGAGACAAAAAACTGCATATAAATCAATATAATGGTAGTAGTAGTAGTAGTAGTAAATGTGAATGACCAGGCTGTGGTACAAGACCAGGCTGGGAGGCAACTAGTTAGTAGCCAGTTGCATTAAATCACTACTGACTGATAGGTCATGAATTCAAAGCCAGCCCGGGTCGGAGTAAACTCCCAACCATTAATAGTCTACAGAACACTCACTATTTTATTTTTATATCAACGTTTTCTTTTTCCCCTTTTATATTTTCTCCTCTCTTTCTCTTTCTCTCTATATATTTTTTTTCTCTTTCTCTTTTTCAATCCATCTTCCCTTCCCCTCTTTTCTTTCCTTTTTTATTGCATCTATCAAAAAGTCCTTTAATAAAAATTATTCTTTAAAAAATAGTCTAGCTTGCTGTCGACCTATGCAGCCTGAAAGACAGTTGCATCTGTTAAGTAGGAAATTTGGGTACTGCTTTATGTGAGGAGGCTAAATTAACTAATTTATGATGACATAAAACCTTCCAGTAGTGTGCAGAAGAATAACGAAGTACTCCATCAAAGGACTCGGTGTCACAAGTAGACGATGAAGCGGCAGCTTCCCCTGGGGCCGGAATCGAGCATACCCTCATGAAGCTGGAAAAGCTGGAATGTTAAATGTCTCTGTGTCTGTTTATACATGTTGTATGTTGAAATGGCACTGAATGTTTGTCATGTATATGTGCATTGCAATCTGCCCTGTGTCCCCTGTAGGGTGAAAAGGGCGGAATATAAATGCTGTAATTACACAAGTAAACATGACCCAATGTCATGTATCATGTTCTGCAGTTGATGGTGGTTGGTGGTGGTAGGCCTAGCAGTTGGTGATGGAAGGATTAATGTAAGTCTTATTTCTAAAGGGTTGAGTAATCTGCAAGTAAGAGTTCATGGGTGAAAGCAAGTAAGGGTGGAGGTATGCAAGGGATGCGTTGCAGCTGGGTGTTTCTGGATATAAGGCGCTAGCCTTGGGACCGATCTTCGAGAGAAAAGTAATTGTCATATTTTGGTGGTGGATGCTGCTGATTTTCCACCAGGTCTCTGGATTTTCAGTAACCTGACCTGTCTCCTTAACTCTTAGAATCCTGGAACCTTGAATCTTTGGACTGGCTGTTGACTACGGTAGACTTTTGATCCCTGGACTTTGTTTATTGAATTCTCGGCGTTTGACCACTGGACTGGACCTTTGACTACAGAGTTAGCTTGAACCTGCAACAGTTTTTGCTGTTTTTGTTTATTCTGTGGCTGAGTGCTATCTTTATGTTTTATATTTTGGACTATTAAAACAGCCTGAAAGCAAGTGCTGTTTTAATTAAATTGTTTCACACTAGAAACATTTAAAAAGAACCTTAAAACCTGGCTCTTCTGCTGTGCCTTTGGCGAGTAGGTGCACAACATGACACTATTGCTCCCCTCAATGTTTCTGTCACTGGAGTACACCCCCCCCCCCCAAATGGGAAGTTTACTTTTAACAACCCTGTATGTCTTTATGAGCTCCCTGCAAATAACTTGCTCCTATTTTTATCTCATTAGAGTTTTTGAACATTTTATCCTGTACATGTGGCCCACCCACTGATACTGCGAATGTGTTTATTGTAATGTTTTTTGTTACTGTATTCATTTGGTTTTTTAAATGTAATTTTGATGATGTTGCTTGTTGTTTATGTTTTGGTTTTATTTTGATGTAATATTTATTATTTATTTATTTATTTACGGCGCTTATATGCCGCCCTTCTCACCCCGAAGGGGACTCAGAGCGGCTTACAATATATATTTTCATACAATATATTATATTATTAGCATAGTACAATATCAGTATATATTACTATATTGCACTATACCATTATATTGTAATATTATTAGTAATATTACATGTAATTAAATATATAATTATAATTATAATATTGAATTATCATTACTAGTATTATATTGTATTACATTATAATATTATAAATATTATATGCATATACAATATTATATTATTAGTAAAGACAAGATGGAAATATGTTGTCCGGGCTTGGCTCCATGTAAGCCGATCTGAGTCCCTATTGGGAGATGGTGGCAGGGTATAAATAAAGATTATTATTATTATTATTATTTACAAACTGGGTTTTTGTTTGGTTCATCTCTGCCTCTGTAAAGGCAGAGCCCTGGCAACGTGACACCCATTGACAAGAATGTAGGCCAACACATCTGACAGAAATGATACATATGAACTAATGGGAGTGATGGACATTTGGTGCTTTTCAATGTTTTCCCATAATTTCTGATAGCCACATCAACTTCTTTACCAGTCCCTGAAACAATTGGCTGAATATATTCAGAATGTCAAATCTAAGTGCTGTTTGCACTCAGCGTCTGAGAACAAGGCGATCAAAAAGCCTAATCAATGCCTTGCTACATCCATAAAGGATGCAGCTATGGCTGGACCGCAAAGTCGGAGGCATTATTTCCGCACATTTTTGTCCCCTACGGGGCCTCGTACCTTGCACGCTGAAAATACCCCCAGCTTCTCGAGCTTTTTTGCCCGCGGGAAGCTCCGCGCATGCGCTTTACGCTGACTCGCGCGCTGTTGCTGGCTTAATCCTGGGCGAACCGGATCGCTGCTGCTGCTGCTGCTGCTGCTGCTGCTGCTTCCGCTTCCTCCGGACCCGCCTCCAGAGGAAGCAGGCGGCGCTGTGGCTGAAGAAGTGGTGGCGGCGGAGGATGCGGCAGCCTGCGGGGTCCGGGCACTAGTCTGTAAGGAAACCTCCGGCTCCGCCATGATGTCCAGGACCCTCCGAGGCGGCGTGGGCGCATGGATGCCACTGCGCATGCTCAGAAGCCAGGCGGAGGCTCCTAGGCCTGTGGCTGGAGCGCCACTGCGCATGCTCGCTGTAACCAGTTGCATGCCGGGGAGTGTAGTCCCACAAGTAGGGGCCGTTTAAGGTGAAATCCAAGGCTTAAGTGATGAGTCCTGTTGTTCATATAGCAGACCAGAAGAGAAAGGAGCTGTCAAGCAACGCCATGTAAAAGATGTAAAATACATTCAGCCCTGATGCAGCTTCAAAACTAAATCTTACTTGGCCTAAACTTTTATAGGTGGCAGTTTATTCATCCTGAAGATGCCACAATACTATTTCTCTAATACAGTTATTTGATTGATTTGGGTTTTGTTTTGATTTGAATTTTCCTGTGTCTCTTTGATCATCTGGAGAGGCCCTACTCGCGCCCCCACCTCCTTCGCAAGCGCGATTGGTGGGGACGAGGGAGAGGGCCTTCTCGGTGGTGGCCCCTCAACTCTGGAATTCACTCCCTAAGGACATCAGACATGCCCCAATGATGGCAGTCTTTAGGAGGAGCCTGAAAACGTGGTTGTTCCAGTGTGCCTTCCCAGAATAAGGAAAACTCTTAGCAATATGTCATCAAATGCACTTTAATATTGATTTAGGATTGTCTGTGTGCCCTCATCTTTCTTTAAAAACCCTATCCTAGTTCACCCTACCTTGTTCATGCCCAGCATTTTAAATTTTTAATTATTACATTTGGCCCGGCCATAGGTTTTTAAATGCTGTATGTTATTGTTATTGTTTATTGCTTATTGTGTATTTTTTGTTTTTGAGTTTTATTTTAACTATTGTCGAAGGCTTTCATGGCCGGAATCACTGGGTTGTTGTAGGTTTTTTTGGGCTATATGGCCATGTTCTAGAGGCATTTCTCCTGACGTTTTGCCTGCATCTTTGGCAAGCAACCTCAGAGGTAGTGAGGTCTGTTGGAACTAGGAAAAAGGGGTTTATATATCTGTGGAATGACCAGGGTGAGACAAAGGACTCTTGTCTGCTGGAGCTAGGTGTGAACATTTCAACTGACCACCGTGATTAGCATTTGATTCCCTGGCAGTTTATTTTAACTGTTTTGTATTGATTATTGTTATCGCTTTTGTTTATTGATGTGCTGTGGTCTTGGCCTCATGTAAGCCGCACCAAGTCCCTTGGGGAGATGGTAGCGAGGTACAAATAAAGTTTTATTATTATTATTATTATTATTATTATTATTATTATTATTATATAGTGGTTTTTTTTAAAAAAATACTTAATCCATTTGGATCAAGAAACTGATTTGATTTTTATTGTGTTTATCGTCTTGAGGGAGATGTAGTTTAAAAAGGGAATTTTTAGAGATGCTCCCAATGTCCACATATCTTTTTCTTTCTTACTTCTTAGGCCAGGGGTCCTCAAACTAAGGCCTGGGGGCCGGATACAGCCCTCCAAGGTCATTTACCTGGCCCCTCGCTCAGGGTCAACCTAAGTCTGAAATGACTTGAAAGCACACAACAACAACAGGTCCACACTTCCCATTGAAATACTAATAAGTTTATATTTGTTAAAATTGTTCTTCATTTTAGTTACTGTTTGGTTTTTATTTTTATTTATTTTTTTGCACTACAAATAAGATATTGGAGTGTGCATAGGAATTCATTCGTTTTTTTTCAAATTATAATCCTGCCCTCCAACAGTTTGAGGGACTGACCTGGCCCTCCATTTAAAAAGTTTGAGGACCCCTGTCTTACGCAATCCCTCGTTGTCCGAGTAGGATTGTTTTCCAAGATCGGTGTACTGGCGGTGGGTCCGTAGGTGACTGTGGAACCCTATTCTTGATCTGCATGTTCTCCTTTGGTTTCCAGGTGGAAGGAGGTCCCGGTCGGGGTTGGCTTGATGCGCCTTCCTCTTGGCACGTTTCTCTCTTTCGCCCTCCATTCGTACCTCTTCAAATTCTACAGCACTGCTGGTCACAGCTGACCTCCAGCTGCAGCGCTCAAGAGTCAGGGTTTCCCAGTTCTCAGTGTCTATACCGGGGTTTTTAAGGTTGGCTTTGAGCCCGTCTTTAAATCTCTTTTCCTGCCCACCAACATTCTGGTTTCTGTTCTTGAGTTTGGAGTACAGCAATTGCTTTGGGATATGGTGGTCGGGCATCCGGACAATGTGGCAGGTCCAGCGGAGTTGATGGTGGAGGACCATCACTTCAATGCTGGTGGTCTTTGCTTCTTCCAGCACGTTGACATTTGTCCTTTTCTTTACTGCCATATTGGCCTGTTTCTGCAAAGGGCCTTTGTTTACAGAAAAGGCTGATGATTTGAGAAAACGTTGCTGTGGAGAGGAAATTACTTTTCAAGGATAACAGTACATTCAGACAAAACCGGCTAGCTAGTGCTATAATTCCCAAAATTTCCTGTCGCTTTGGAGTTATGTTTGCAACTCAAGATTCATTCATTGGGACAGTCATGGTCAGAGAACAATAGACTATAGATGTGCTATTATTAGGGTCCTACATGTGCTGTTATGTCAATCAAAATAATAAAGAACCAATAACAATTTGAATAACTAGCGTAGGTAAAGTTAAAGGTTAAGTCCAGTTGTGTCCGACTCTGGGGGTTGGTGCTCATCTCCATTTCCAAGCCGAAAAGCCAGTGTTGTCCAGAGACACCTCCAAGTTCACGTGGCCAGCATGACCATGGAGCGCCATTGCCTTCCCGCCGGAGCAGTACTTATTGATCTACTAACATTTGCTTGTTTTCGAACTGCTAGGTTGGCAGAAGCTGGGCTAACAGCGGGAGCTCACGCCGCACCCCGGATTCGAACCTGCAACCTTTTGGTTAGCAAGTTCAGCAGCTCAGCGGTTTAACCCATTGCGCCACTGGGGACTCCTATAACTAGTTTAGACCAATGAAATGATTTCTGTTTGGAAACCAATGAGAATGTGTATTCAGTTTAGTACCAAAAATGATTAAAACTCTACAGCCCCATTGGGGGTTGTGACAAACCGTTTGATTGCATTCCTGTAATCCATCTAAAATGCAAATGTGTGGTTTTCACCTTAAGAATAGACAAGCATCTCAAGTTCTGAGAATTATTTGGGAAAGAATTCCACTGAAGCATTGCAGCACACCAATATCTGGGAATTACTCTGGACTGTGCTCTGACTTACAAGAAGCACTGCTTGACTATCAAGCAAAAAGTGGGTGCTAGAAATAATATCATATGAAAGCTGGCGCAACCTGGGGATCACATCCAGGTACAGTAAAGACATCTGCTCTTGTGCTTTGGTACTCTGTGTTGAATACATATGCCCAATGTGGAATACATCTCACCACGTTAAAACAGTGGATGTGGCTCTTAATGAGACATGCCACATTATCACATTATTGCATTATACATTATAACTGTGTTTCTCAATACACTTCTGACATAACAAATAATGTAATAAAATTGTGTTACCAATTTGGATCTAGTACTGATTTGAATTTCATTGTTTTTATAGTCCTATTACTGTAATAATATCGTAATCAATCTGGATCTAGTTTTGATTGGAATTTGATAGTTTTTGTCTTATTTCTGTAATAAAACCATCTCATCAATTTGTGTTTAATTTTACTTTGTTGTGTTTATGGTTTTATTGCAAATACCCACAAACAGTGTGCTCACAGCTCAAAAGCAAATCTGGAATATTGAAATAATTATTCTTTGTGCTTTTTTCTGGATGGGATGAAATAGATCCTCCTGTCCTACATGCTAATGAGGCTATAGCAGCAGGTAATAATTGGGAGAAATATATGAGCATATTTTATAGTATACTGGAAAAACAAGTTGCTTGTCTCTCCTACTGTTATGGGCCTTCGACTCCCAATGATAGTGATCCTATACTAGAGTTTTCTCCACAGTTTATTTAGAAGTGATTTTCCATTGTCTTCATCTATACCAGATGAGTGCATTTACACCAGGCACGGGCAAACTTGGGCCCTCCAGGTGTTTTGGACTTCAACTCCCACCATTCCGAACAGCCTACCAGCTGTTAGGAATGGTGGGAAGTCCAAATACCTGGAGGGCCCAAGTTTGCCCATGCTTGATCTACACCATAGCATTAGTGCAGTTAGACGCCACCTTAACTGCCAGTGCTCAATGCTATGGAATTATGAGAGATGTAGCTTTCAAGGTCTCCTTTGTTGCCAGAGTGCTGTTGCTTCACCAAACTGCTAAGTGGTGTCAAACTGCATTAATTCTACTGTGTGGATGCATTCTAAGAGATTGTGACTAGCCCAAGGTAATCCTGTAGCTGAGAGGGATCCATATCATGGTCTTCCAGAGTCATAGGCCAATACTTGAATTAATACACTAGCTGTAGAATTATGGAAATTAAAGCTAGTTCTCTATATCCACGTATTTGACAATCAATTGCATAAAAATATCTCCTCCCTATCCAAAAACCTTGTAAAAGGGGAATAATTTTGGAATTTTGCAAAGGGGGGGGGTCATTTTCTATGCTTTTGCATATTTGAGCATCCATAGCTTTGGGAATCAACAGGTGCCCTGGAATTAAACCCCAGTTAATACCAAGGGGCCAGTGTACTGTTTGTGTCTTCAAGTCACCTATGGCTTTCCCAAGGTTTTCTTAGGCAAGGAATACTGATAGGTGTTTGACGATCCCTATTATATCAGTATTCTCCAATGTATACACACAAGGGATAATTCATTCTTGGGTCTTCCAAATAGACTTGAGAAGGCGTTTGTAGCAGAAACTCTCCTACAGTAGCCAAACTGATTATGAAACCGCAAGCAAGAAAGTGTTCCAAAACTATAGAACATTATTCACATTGACTTCCTGAAACCTTTGTTTGCCCTAGTGAGATGAAATGGGAGCTTTAATACATTGGCTCAGATTTTGACTTTCAGTTCCAGCAACGTTACAAGGGTAAAATCGGTGGCATCTGGCAAGACTATTCTAGAAAGGTATGTGATCTCAGATTCTACTTAAGACCACACTATACTGGCTGCCAGTAAGACATCACTGTTTCAGCCCCTTTTCAGCAATGCTTGCAGGCCTTGTAATGGGAGATGTAGGAGCCCCCAGTGGCGCAGTGGGTTAAACCCCTGTGCCGGCAGGACTGAAGACCAACAGGTTGCAGGTTCGAATCCGAGGAGGACGCGGATGAGCTCCCTCTATCAGCTCCAGCTCCTCATGCGGGGACATGAGAGAAGCCTCCCACGAGAATAATAAAACATCAAAACATCCGGGCGTCCCCTGGGCAACACCCTTGCAGACGGCCAATTCTCTCACACCAGAAGCGACTTGCAGTTTCTCAAGTCACTCCTGACACGACAAAAAAAGGGAGATGTGGACTAAATATTCAAAGCAAGGTTTGATATGAAGCAACCCTTTTTTTATTTGGAAGATAATTTAAGTCCACATTATTGTCTTGCTAAATATCGGAGTGATACTCTATGCATGTAAACAAATGCTGCAACAAATCAGATCCAATTGCAAATCAATTTAATTAGCATAGACCTCAATTTTTGTCTTTTAAAACTCTGCAGTCAAATAGACCTGTTTTGACAGTAAAGTTCCAACCCAAGTTTAATTTAGCAGAGTAAATAATACTCAGTCATGCCTCCGACTCTTCTTCCAAACCCACTATTTTCTCTCAGATGATTACTTCACACATGATGATTACATAATGTTAATGAACTCCTGAAGAGTGATTGTATAAACTGGCAAAGTACATTTTTAAAAGGCGTTTGTATCAATGGAACAAGTGGACTAGCAGGCAAATGTTTATGCCGTCATCCCCTGAAGTACTTTTGGGATCCAAAAGGTTTTATTTGTCTTGGCTCAAGATTACCAACTGTTTTCCTCTGCCCCAAATCACTTCTAGCTGGAATACGTGAAGAGTTCAAATTTCCCATGTTCTTTTATTCACTTCTATAACAGTGCAAACATCTGTTTATGTCTTTGTAATTTGTACAAAGGCCCTCCCTGGTTAGTTTCTGCTTGTACCAACTATCTTTTAACTGCTTTCTGCCTCCTTTCAGTTTTCCTTTTCGTCTTCAGCTTTTTAATCTCCTTTCACATACTGACTGCAAGAACACACAGTTCTTCAACATTACATAGTCTCTGCTAGACAGGGTGGGTTTTACCTTCAAACAGAAGTGGCACTGTCAACATTGGCATGTTTTCTTGACCAGTAAGGATATTGAAGACTGTGCTATAAAATCACAGCTGTTCAGCCCACAATACAAAGGAACCTGCAGTCAATAGCTGTTTCTCATCTACCCACTCAATATCGGTTTCCTGTTCCAGAAAAGCAGGAAGTCTTTTAGGCATATAATAACTACTTTAGAGATTTAATCCCATGATTTTGGAATTCATATGGAACATTTAACCTTCTGAATTCATTAGCACCATTTGGCGCAATGTTCACTAAAATTTTACTAATTTCTTGTTAGGTTCAATAACAGACAACAGCCATGAAATAGATTAATACAGACAGAAAATAAGTCAAATCTGATTTATAAAAATTTATTTTTTAAATCATACACAACTGGAGCTTTGCATTGAAGAGACTGACATATACTCCTTTCTTAAATACCAATATGAGTAAGACAAAAATGCTTCAGGCACTAGATGAGAAGCAAAATTTGTGACCTCCCTTCTGCAGTTTCATTTAGTGGAATTACCCATATTTTGACTGTATGAGAATACATATTACTGTTCCCCACTGTTTGCTTGCCCATTATCTCCCACCTGATGCATCCAGACACCCACCAGCATTGTATTATGTGGTTAAAAATGACATTGCATTGCTCATCAAGAGATAATTTTGAAACATGTTTTCTTTAACAAGTGGAATTAGTGCATTATCTCCAAAATGTAAATAAGAAAATTAATGCTGTTGGTATATCCAAAACCCAATGCAAACTGAGATGGGTGCAAGGCTAGTTGGTATATGTAATTAAAGAGATACTGATTGGTTATATGTTGAAAACTAGAATACAAAATACAGAAGAAAATCAGCTGTACCCACCTCTCCCCCCAAAATATCCATAATTGTGATTTGGTCAAAACAAGGCTTAAAGGCTAGAGGGTTCTCTCAATCTAGCATTAATGCTATGATTTCATTTAGTGGTTGCCTGCATGTTCTGTGACTTGTTTTCTTAAAAGGCAAATCTATGCCACATCAAAGCAGGTTCCCACCCAGAAAACCCTGGGAACAACTGTTCCAAAGCTCATAGTTCTCTTGCCACCTTCTTCGGCCTATATCTACCAGTTATTAAGCTCTACTAGCTAAAGTGGCTTAGGATCATCAAACAGATGTATCATAAGTCACACATCCCATACAAGACAAATGCTTCTTTCGTCCAAGCAGCTATGAGCAAATACAAGGCCATAAAACCCATTGGGAAAAGGCAGAGAAAAAAAAGAGAGATCAAAGCTTTGAAAACATACATCACATCACCATCTACCCATGAAAAATGGTAGAGGAGTGCCACAGTTCATTTGTGTTTTTAAAAAGGTGACTAAGACTTTTAAAAATAGGAATTCATTATTGGTACAGAAGAGGAGCAGCTGTTTTTGTGCCCCCAGCCCATTCTAGAAACTGGAAGAATAAAGAGAGGGGGAGGGATCACAGCAGCAAAGAAAGGGGGTGGAGAGGAAAGAAGAGGGGGATCCTGGCAGCTGTTCTCCTGTAAGTGCGATCAGTTCAGGCATGTTCCAGTTGGGGCCATCCAGAGGAGCGCGCAGGGACTTCTCAGTTGCTGCAACACTGACCCTTGCTGGGTTGGCTACTCTCCTGGAGGTCGACTCCTCGATTCCTGCCTGCTGCTCCCGTTGCGCACTGTGGCTCATTTTTGGGGAGCTTCTTAGCTGAAGGCAAAAAGGCAACACATTCAGAAGCCTACATAGCAACCTGGTTCTTAAGATCCACTTTATATAGGAAATAGTAGAAAAACTTGCTCAGTGTAACCTCATTCAATTGTTCACAATGACCAGCCAATATTTCTGCTGATATGCATCCAAGATTAATCTGTACAGTGTGTGTGTATGTGTTTATGTGTGTGTGTGTGTGTGCATACACACACATATATAGATATACCATCCTTCATGAACCTTTTCAGTCTGTTCTACGACACCCAAAGATAGCTGCTGACCCATTAGTTCTCACACACAAGCCTTCTCCTACCCTCTCCTTTATTCTTTTCCAGTTGCAACCAACTATCATCATACTACTTACTTCGGGGATGGACAAACTTCAGACCTCCAAGTGGGATTACATCCCTATAGTTCAGTGGTTCTCAACTTGTGGGTCCCCAGAAGTTTTGGCCTTCAACTCCCAGAAATCCTAACAGCTGGTAAACAGGCTGGGATTTCTGGGAGATGTAGGCCAAAACCTCTGCCTCAAGCCTACTCCCATTTCAAGGACTGGGAATGTTTCTCAACTCAAGGGCCAATTTCAATAGCAGAGATATTCATGGGCTAGGTTCCATGGGCAAATGGACCAAAGGCAAAAAAAACAGGACCAAGAATACCAGTATATGTGACCTTAAAGCTATTGAAATCTGTCTTGGGAGGGACTATTTTAGAATTTGAGGGGGAAAATGAGTAAAAGGAGAAGTCATGGAGTATAATGGAGGAGTGTGTGGCTGCCTTGGGAAGACTAAAGGGTCAGCTTTGGACAGAAGGAAGTTGAAAAGCCCAGAGCCTGAGATCCTGCAATGTTGCTATGTGCCTCTCTTCTACTTCTCTACCATAAGTTCTTTTCCCTCTCAACTTCCACAGTAAATAGCTTTTACTACCTCTGCTGTCAAAACCATATAGCTTCCTTATACATTTAAGGAAGATAACAAGCCCTACAAGACGTATTCAAGAACCTACAACTCTTATACACCATGATAGATTCTCAGCCCATGGGTGCGTTTGGGGAGGGGCGGGGAAGGACACACTCTATGTGCCTTTACCTAAACACTTCACTTACCTATTGCCATGAAGGTTTCATTCACATTCATTGCTGTCTTTGCGGATGTCTCCATGAACAGCAAGCTGTTATCATCTGCGTATGTCTGGGCTTCCTGAAATCATACATACCCCAAAGATTATAATCGGAGTATTGGGCCTACCTTGATTGGCCAAATAGTCACAGCTCATATGTACCAAAAATGGAAACAAGGCACGTGACAGACTATCCATCCCACCAATATTAAATTTTGTTTGCACCATCTAATAACCATAGATCCAGAGGGAATGAGACACAATACAGAAGTTACAGCAACAATGACTAAGCTCATCGTCATTTTATCAAAAAACCTTATTAGCCATTCCAAGCATTTTGCTTTCTTTCAGAATTACTTAGCATTTATAACCTTCTAGATCAGGTTTGGGAAATATCTGTTGTTCCCACACAGATGTTGTTGGAGATCAGCACCCATTAGTCCTAGACAGCAAAGCCAAAGAGGGATCATCAGAGTTGAATGCCAGAAACATTGGGAGGCCCACATAGTCCTCATCCTTACTCTAAGCTTATAATGTATTTCGCATAATATTTACAACTACTCTCCAAAGTTAGGGAAGTATTGCCACCCACATATTGCAAAGAAACCGCTGGCAGCTACTTCACACCTATCCAAGCTGCACAGAACCAGTGCAGCGTATTCTTTGTACAACTGTTTTGAATGGCAGATAAAGCTAAAAATCAAAACTGAAATTGATCAAGTTGAGCCAACTGTTTTATGTAGCTTTAAGAATGTGCAACACAATCTTGTTGTAAGGATTATAACAACCTTGTTAAATAGGTAGGTATTATCCCCATAGTGCAGAGTTGTGAAGGGGCCAAGGTAACTGAGCAGTTTAAGAAGCATGTACCTCTCACCTTAGAAACTAGAGGAGCAGGATAACACTTTTCAGATTGTTTATTTTCATTTCTTGCGAAACTCTTTATAAGAGTGTCATTATGAAAACAATATGATCCATTTCTACTACTATTATAAGCTACTTTGAGATGTGCTCAAAAGGGAGTGTGCCAAGAATTTTTGAAAATACATTCCAAGCAAACACAAACCAGAGGGGAATCCATACCATTGTTTTCCTAATCCAAAGTTCAGTCCTAATAATGAAGCATGGAAGCTGCTGGCTTATACTCCATGATCAGTTGAATCAGGGGTGGGAAAGATGTGGCCCTCCAGATGTTGGGACTGCAACTTTCATCAGTCCTAGCCAGTACAGATAACTTGGTAATATTTGGAGAGCTGTGCAATCCCTACCGTTATTGAACACTCTTTATGTTGAGAAAGTAACTCAGAAAGGAATTCAATTCATTTGGTGAGAGTAAAAAGGACTAAACCTTCGGATCATCCATTATAGAATGCTTTGTAAACTTCCCAATATTAAAACACACACTTACTTGGAAGTCCACTGCTCGTTTGCTACCCAAGTCAGCCTTGTTTCCTGCCAGGGCAATGACTATGTTTGAGCTGGCTTGACGTTGCAGTTCCTTCACCCAATTCTTGGCTCGCACAAAGGTGTCCTACCAAAAAAAAAAAAAGGTGTTGTGCCACTGCAATTTCACAAATCCCAGTTCTTGCCTGCTGTAGTACCACTATATTTCCCTGCCATATTCCAACTGGTAGCATAGCACTCGAGAGCTTGTGCACTGCATATGTCCAGTCGTGGGGCCTTCCCATACCACAGATAGGAAGATAAATAAATTTCATGGTTGTGGTGTTGAATGGTTAAAGGGGAATGAAGGTCATCTTGCATGTCCAGGGTAGACAGCAAGACAACAAACTGAAATGTGTGATTCAAAATCAAGTGTGTTCGCAGAAATGCAAGGTGTATAACAAATAGGATTTTAAAAGCTAACATGACAAAAAAAACAAACAAACAAAAAACTGCTCCCTTACCAGGTCTGAAGTTCACAGTGACACCCAAGCTTTAAAGATATACAAAACTTTTCAAAGGCTGTTGTTAAAGATTGTTTTATTGGGTTTTTTTCCAGAGTTTTGAAGAGCACTTATATAATTTGCAGTTTATTCTACAAGCTGTTTATTCTACAATTCAGTTTGACTCAAGTTTAGCAAATGACTAATTTATTCAAATCCGGGATTTATGTGTTATTACAAACAAAGAATGATATAAAGTGAAATTGAACTTTGGTTTATGTCTTCTACAAGAGAAGAAAGGAAAAAGATACAAGACTTTGATTTTCTATTTTTCATTTGTGTAGTGTGCAATACCAGGCCATTAAATGGGTTGCCATCCTTATGTTGCTGGATTGTGAGTTCCATTAGCCCTGGCGAGAATAGCCAAGGAAGAGAATGATGGAAATTGCAGTCCAACAGCATGGAGAGCAACACATTTTCTACTCTGACATTAAACCATAGTCTAATCATAAATACAAATCCACTCAATATCAAGAATGTTACTTTTGGAAGAGTCCCTTAAAATCCAATATAATACCAAGATTCCAAAATGAAGACTTAGAATCCGGCCCTATTTACAAATCTGATAATTAGGAAATTACATTGATATGGAAATAGCATTGCGTCTAAACATTTTTAAATGAAGTTGACTTTTTAGATAAACAGCAAATACGTGTGCAACATATCTATTTCTTGACATACTCCTTTTTATGTGCAGAGATTCTTTTTGTAAGCAATTATTATTATTATTATTATTATTATTATTATTATTATTATTATTATTATTATTATCTTTATTTGTACCCCACTAGCATCTCCCGAAGGACTCGATGTGGCTTACAAAGACCAAGGTCTCAAAACACAACATAACAATACACAACCTAAAGCAAATTAAAAACAGTTAAAGCAATATTAAACAATAAACAATACACCAGGACACAATAAAACTGGGCCGGGCCAGAGTAATGGGTACAGCATTAAAAGTGCTGATGTGACAGGTGATATGTAAGGATTATAGGGTAAGTGCAGTGTGCCAGCGATCTTAATTTCTAATAAAGTGCTTCTGGGACTTATTGATGGAGTTTTCCTATTCTGGAAAGGCACATTGGAACAGCCAGGTCTTCAAGTTCTTTCTAAAGACTGTCAATGTAGGGGCCTGTCTAAGATCTTTGGGGAGGGTGCTCCAGAGTCAGGGGGCCACCACCACAATAATTCATCACACTTTGGAAAAGTAGCACTGCAGACTAAATTAGGTAAAAGCCAACTAGACCTACTAGAGATAGAGCGGAATATAAAGTATATTATTATTATTATTATTATTATTATTGAAATCCTCACCATGTTTGTGATGTCATAAACAACGATGGCTGCTTGAGCACCCCGGTAATACATTGGTGCCAGACTGTGGTACCGTTCCTGACCAGCTGTATCCCAGATCTCAAACTTGACTGTTGTGTCATCTAGGCAGATGGTCTGTGTAAGAAAAGCAGCTGGAAAATAAAAGTCAGGAACAGTTACACCAAGGATGAGAGAAATCTGAGGTTGATGTTTTTCACAGAGAGCAACCCTTCCATCATTATACCACACTGGAACCCTAGCATGCATAAGAGAAGCCTTGGCATTCATCAGCCTTTTCAACCTGAAACCATCTCAAGTTCCAAATGATGTGTGCTTGAGGCAAGATACTTCTCCTGATTATCTAACCAAGACATCACCATAGATGAGCCCCCGGTGGCACAGTGGGTTAAACCCCTGTGCCAGCAGGACTAAAGACCGACAGGTCACAGGTTCAAATCCGGGAAGAGGCGGATGAGCTCCCTCTATCAGCTCCAGCTCCTCATATGGGGACATGAGAGAAGCCTTCCACAAGGATGATAAAAACATCAAATCATCCGGGCGTCCCCTGGGCAACGTCCTTGCAGACAGCCAATTCTATCACACCAAAAGCGACTTGCAGTTTCTCAAGTCGCTCCTGACACGACAAAAAAAAAATCACCCTAGATTTATTCTGATAACATTCTGGCAGATGCCTACCACATTTGTACAACTCTCTTCTTTATTGATTTGTCTAAATTCCGAACCTAAATGGGAATGAGAGAGGGAGCCTTTTCTGTGATTGCTCCCTGTCTCTGGAACTCTCTCCCTAAAGAATTAAAATGGCCCCTTCTTTTTTCTGAAAAAGCATTTATACACCTTAGCATATGGAGAGGAGGACTAAAATACTTTAATCCATTGGAATGTTGGCAAACCATTTGCACTATATGACGGCTATGGTATATTTTTAATAAACACCTCTCTTAGCCATTTCAAATGCAATGTATTTTAACTGTTTATAATTATACAAGTTTAATATTCATTTATGTTTTAGGTTTATTGTCTAATTGGTTTATTGCTACCTAGTTCCCATTTAAATATTTTTTTTTTCATTATAAGTTTACTATTGTTATTGTGCATAATTTTGTATTATTTTTGATGTTGTTTGTACTGAATGTTTGCCCATCTCTGTATGTAAACAACCCTGAGTCCCTTTTGGGAGAGAGGGCGTTCTAGAAAGATGATGATGATGATTATTATTAACTGCAAAACTCTTCTCTTTGGAATGACTGTAATATCTGTACTGCTCTTGAGTTTGATTGCTGTTCTTACTCACCTCATGCCTGGAAAAAGGGCAAGGCAAAAATGATATAGGAAAGATGTTGAAGTAAAATGGAGAAATGTTATTACCATGCTGGGTACGGCTGATGTGAGCTGCTCTCCAAATATCTGACTTCCAAGGCTTTAAAAAGTGTATTCTTGAATGCACAGACACTGCTTCTGCAATTTTGCAATAAACCAGGCCATGAGCTAGTCAGTCCTTAAGCAGCCTTTGCTCCCAAGAAATTCTCCAGATGTAATAAACTGAACAGGATTTGACACCAGTTGTTGTTTGCTGTCACGCCAACTTCAGCTTATGGAGCAGTAACTCACGCTATTAGAAATGCTTACTTGGCTCAGAATGGGCCAAAACCTGCCAAGGTTGGTGTTGGTCCCTCACACTTGACAGAGTGGAAATTGTAAGTGGTGAAGCAAGAACTACTGCAGCCTTCGGCATCTGGATGGCCAGTCTGCTCAAGGCAGAGAAACAACTTCACTGAACTGACATGTTTTCGTGGCTACGCACACGCACAATTTTTGTTTCCCTTTGTTGTTTTTTTAGTGTGGAGTCAGGGATCTTAATGACAATGTGTTTTTGAGAAGCTTAGAAGGTATTTTTGAAAACCAGTAAGCATCAGCATCCCCTAGTTTGAGGAGTTGCACTTGTGGCCTTCTAGGTTAAGCCAATGCCCCCAACAAGTGGAACAAACAATAAGGGATGCTGAGATCTGTAAACCAACACCTAGAATGGCACAGGCTCTTCAACCTTGCTTTCTAACAAGTCATTTGTATTAGAAAACAGTGTTGAGTAAGGGCAAACATTGTTGTTGTTGTTCATTCGTTCAGTTGTTTCCGACTCTTTGTGACTTCATGGACCAGTCCACGCCAGAGCTCCCTGTCGGCCGTCACCACCCCCAGCTCCTTCAAGGTCAATCCAGTCACTTCAAGGATACCATCCATCCATCTTGCCATTGGTCGGCCCCTCTTCCTTTTTCCTTCCATTTTCCCCAGCATCATTGTCTTCTCTAAGCTTTCCTTTCTTCTCATGATGTGGTCAAAGTACTTCATCTTGGCTTCTACTATTCTTCCCTCCAATGAGCTGTCAGGCTTTATTTCTTGAAGTATGGACTGGTTGGATCTTCTTGTGGTCCAAGGCACTCTCAGAACTTTCCTCCAGCACCACAGTTCAAAAGCATCTATCTTCTTTCGCTCAGCCTTCCCTATGGTCCAGCTCTCACATCCGTAGGTGACTACGGGGAATACCACTGCTTTAACTATGCGGATCTTTGTTGCCAGTGTGATGTCTCTACTCTTCACTATTTTATCAAGATTGGTCATTGCTCTCCTCCCAAGAAGTAAGCATCTCCTGATTTCCTGGCTGCAGTCTGCGTCTGCAGTAATCTTTGCACCTAGAAATACAAAGTCTGTCACTGCCTCCACCTTTTCTCCCTCTATTTCCCAGTTGTCAATCATTCACGTTGCCATAATCTTGGTTTTTTTATGTTTAACTGCAACCCAGCTTTTGTGCTTTCTTCTTTCACCTTGATTAGAAGGCTTCTCAAACATATTCTGCAAAATAGGCCAAACTTACAAGATTCTTACAATTTCTAAATATGAACCAGTAGCAGCATACAAACATTTCTAGAGTAGGAATGAAGAACATGTTGCCTGCTAGAAATTGCTGGAGCACAACTCCCATCACTTTGTACTATTAGCTATGCTAGAAGTGATGTGAGTTGCAGCACAGTATCGAAAGATGGTATGTTCCTTCCCATTCAAGACAATTTGCATTCTTCTTCCACTTCATTCCAATAATTTACAATCATAACAGCTTGCTGGACACATAAGAAGCAGAATGCCCTACATAAAGAAGACAGCTGGTCTTCTAGCACAGTGGTTCTCAACCTGTGCGTCCCCAGGTGTTTTGGCCTACAACTCCCAGAAAGCCCAGCCAGTTTACCAGCTGTTAGAAATTCTGGGAGTTGAAGGCCAAAACATCTGGGGACCTACGGGTTGAGAACCACTGTTCTCGATGCTTTTGACTTCAATTCCCATAATCATTCATGATTTGGTATGCTGGACAGTCTGATTGTAATTACAATCCAATAAAATCTGAAGGGCCAAAGTTGCTCACAACAGCTTTGTGCTTTGAAACAAAATACGTACCATGGAATAGTTTTTCAGAATCATTTGTCACACATTTATGTAGAAAAAAGTTTTAAAGCAGTAGGAATTGTGTAGACAACTAGGCACTGTGAGGAGTACCACCCACCCTGCAGTGCTTACCTCCAATGGTGCTCTCCTGGTACTCATGAAACTGTCCTTTCACAAAACGCAAGACAAGGCTGGACTTCCCGACAGCTGACTCTCCCAGAAGCACCAGTTTAAACTGACAGATCTTATTCCCTACAGCCGGTCCATTTGGCCGTGCAGCTCCACCGCGGCCCGCCATGGCCCCTTATAAGGATGGCAGACTCTGACAAGAAGGCGGGACTGTAGGCGAGGCAAATTAATCGCCAACTGAAAGAGAAGAGACATTTTATGTACAAGGGAGCCACTTCTGATACAAACTGAACACTTGAAAAATTGGATTGAGGCTCCAACACCTGTTGAATAGGCTTGGGCAGATTCTGTAAAAGTTACTTCCCAGATAACAGCTTCTAGGATCCCATTAAGGATCTCGGATTTATAGTCTAAACAATTTTGCCCCCGAGCTTTGTCTCAGGCAAGTTGTTCTCCCATTATTCAAATGAGTAAACTGCCTTTATAACAATCCTCTTGGGTAAGGTAAACATACAGCGAAAGTCCTTTTCAAGAAACAAAAGTGTGATTGTTGTTTAGTATTCAACTGGTTCAACCAGGTTAAAAGCTGGTTTTGGATAGTGCTCATGATGCCTTGGTACAAGTCAGAAAGTTTCAACTTCAGATCTCAGCAGGTGGATTTTAAGCCTGGCTCCTTCTGCCATACATCTCCAGGAGATTTAACAGTACTGGACAACCTTACAGGGCTGTAATACAGATCATGACCAGGTACAGTTCTGTTCAAAAGTCTGAAGTTGCTTGATGGTATATAAATTCTAAGTACAGTTATAACTAGCTGACCTTTAGACAAGACATTGAGAATATGATGATTTACAGCATTTGTTTTCATAACATCAGCTTAGAAGTGAAAGAGAAACACTTCACATTAATCATTCGCCTCCAAAACGAAACTTGACTATTTGGGAACAATCCTCTGATTTAGTTACTGCATTTGTGAGTTCAGCTATTAAAGGATGTTACTTCCGGCAGAAAATAATGCAGGAATGTCTAAATTTCTAAATGTCTAAATCTTAAAGGATAACTCTAAAGAAGTGTAATGCAATGTGATGACTTGGCTGTTATTTTAAAAAATAGGTACCGTAAATATCATTGTAATCTAAATCTTGACTGTCAGTTTAGTTCTTTTAAAAAAAAACCCCTACACACCCTATAAAAATGAAAAAGGAAACAATGGCCTTTTAACTTGTCCCCAATGGTTACAGAACAGTAATAAGAATCAAGGAGTTATATGTTCATGCCTCAACTTAGATCAGTGGTTCTTAACCAGTGGACCGCAAGGACGAAAATCTGGTCCACAAGCTTCCTTCCTATTTAATTTCCACTCCTTTCGCGTCGCCTGCCACTCCTGCCTTGTTGCTGACCATGGGATATGTTCTGTATCAGAAATTAGAGCTGATGTGGTCTATCCAATGCAATTTTTTTGCATCTAAAGTTGAACAAAAACTGATTCGTAACCCCTTTGGTGCTAATGTTGGAGAGCGGCCCCTGGTCAAAGTAGTTCCTGCTCAAAAAAAGGTTGCGAACCACTGGCTTAGATGCAAGATTGAAAAACCATGTTCACTGTGGTGCAGACTTACTTTGTCCCTGAGCCCCATATTTCTTGATCACCTCAAACCTTTTCTAGATCAGGGAAGGGGAAAATGAAGTATCAATTGAGCCACTTAACCTAAGTGAAGAGTCTCCCTTGTTTCATTTCTACCTCAGAAGCTGTGATTAAATCAAAGTCCTGGAGGCATGGATTTACTTTCCCAGGATAGCTTGTGGGCTGGTAGCTAATGTAGATTTTATAACAAATGTAGCTTCCCACACTGGACTGCAGCTTCTATAATTTCTGACGACTGGCTTAGTGGCTAGGATGGATGTGAATTGCAATCCCCATCCTACCTTACAACCATATGCCACTTTGTATATGCAGAAGAGAGAACGCATCATATCTAATTTCATATTGGCCAGGCATTTTCCATGATAAAATGCCACCAATTTCTTTAACTAAGGTACTTCAACAAAACCATTTTTGTGTAAAGCTAGCACAATGCACAACACAGCAAGTAGCATATATGTAAAAAAAAGGAGCTTGTCCATTTTAAGGACATTTTGAGAATGCAATAGTACTCTGTACTGCCCATCAAAACACACTGAAGAAGATACACAAGTTCAATCAAATGTATCTGAAGACTACCAGGTTGGAGAACACTACACAGAGCAGGGATGGGGACCTGTAGCCCTGTAGGTCAGAAATACCCAACCATTTCATGTTGGTAATACACTATTTTTATACATGCATCATTTTGTGACATGGTCATTCAGTTTTGCTAGCATCTCGAACGTTAAACCAACCCCTTGTAAGAGATTCGCACACATACATCATGTATGGGGACACAACATATTTCATGAAAACTTTTCATTTATATTTCCCAACTGTGACACCGTTTAGAAATATAAATGAAAGATTTTCATGAGACAAAACCTAGAGAAGAGTTTTCCAAACTGTGTCACAGTTTGGAAAGCTCTGCTCTAAATATTGCTGGAATATTACTTTCCCACTATTGAGCTTTGCTACTCCAGTATGATTTCACTTGTGAGACACCAACATGTCAACATCTGGAGGACCACACTTTCCCTATTTCTACGCTAAAGTAGGACAGAACATTAAATGTTCTGTGTAGGTCCTACATTCATATGGATCAGTACACCAGAATTAAGAGTGAAAGACAATCTAAAGGCAGAACATGAATCTCCCTCTGAGAAATCTATTAATGTAACTATGTTGGAGTCCGTGTGTAATAAGCACTGGATATGTTGAATCAAGAGCATCTTCCTCTTGTGAGATGCAAAAACAATCTTCTAAAACTGAACACTGATGTGTAAGCAACTTAGGTAGTGAAGTAAACTGCTTGCCCCACAGGTTTAGAGCAGTCTACTGATATGAAAAGCAACTCAGGAAGGAGGGATGGTGGCAGCTGCCAAGTAATGACAATAAATGGTTGGGATGGGTTAACGAGAAACCAAATGCTCAAGGAGGAACAAAATGTCCAAGAAAGATAATAGAACAATTGTTATACAGGAAAGATTGCTCCCTTTAACAGTTCATAAGACTTATTTATACAGGGTTTTCATCAGTGCTTAGTTCACTTTGTACACATTATACTTAGATTCTTAAGTGTAGAAAAATAGAGTGCTATTCCTAAAGAGTGTGGGGAAAGAAGACACTAAACAGAGATACAATTCCTTCTCAAAAAACCCAGTGGGTTCATGAAAGAGTGAAGATTTCAGTTAAGGATTTGTTCTTATACCACTGAAGCAGCATTCTTCCAAGAATGAGATACTAGTCATAAAAAATTACCATTTGCCTAAGTTAAGAGAAAGGCACACTAAAGTTAAGCAGTTATTGGTTCTTAAGATGACTACTTTATTATAGTTCTGTGGTATTTGGGAAAGTGAGGCAATCATGATTTAATGCCACTTCAGTCTGCAACAAACATGAAAACACTCGGTCAACATCTCCAGAAAAGATGGTCCATATATACACAAAGCTCAAAACAGATTAGGATAAGGCTGGGGTTTATTGGAGTCTGAGAGCCAGACAGATATGGAGTCCAACCTTTGGACCCTTAAAAAAAGGACTTCCTATCTCCAAACCTATTGCACTTTACAAATGCTGTACTTGTTGTTTTTGGATGGACACTGCTATTAAAAGCAAAACAAACATTTTAACAGAACTAACAGCAAATCCCAATTAGAAGTTGCAACAACTCCTGGCCTTAGAAAAAGAACTGTCTGGTCTAAACTCCCACCTACCCATCCACTCTATTATGCTTGCTCCCTCTAATGCTTTAATTAATTTAATTTAATTTAATTAATGTTTTAATGCAATGATTAGAGTGCTAGATTGTAACTTGAGAGATTCAGTCTCCATTCAGTCTCCTTTAAATCACTCCTTGTTCTTGGGACACTCTCACCCAGCCTGACCCACCTCACAGGGTTGTTGTTGTTATAGGGATAAATGAAAGGAACTGCAACTCAAGGAACAAGAACTCTCAATTTAGTGGAATATTTTTTGGTATAATACCTTATATAAAAAGTTAACTAACCCAAACAATGGAACTCTCAAGCAACTGGCAAGAAATTGAAGAAACAATACTTTAAAATCCATTTTTATAATATAGTAAAATTAGTTTTTATAATACAGCAAAAAAGTGCCATGTTAAGTTTCTCTTAATTTCCTTTTAATTATTATGTTTCATTATTAATATCAAATCTATGCAAAGGTTAGGCCTTAGTTAGGCCTATTTTTGATAGTAACTCATAAGCAACAAGAAACATTTCTCCAGGATCTACCAATTCCCACAGGGGCCAGTTTACCCAGAGTCTACTGTACATCACCTGAAGTGGTGGAAAAGTGACAATATAAATGAAACTAATGCATACACGATTTTTAAAATTGAGCTAATAAGCAGAACTGTAAAGTTTATTCTCCAAACCAAGAAAAATCCAGCTCAGGATTATCAGCACAGCTCTCCTCAAAATAGTATGATTTTTCTACCTTTCTAAAGCTCTGTTTTTGCCATTATCTGTTGTATCAAGACTAATATAAATTTAAATAAAGCAAGAGGTGGTATCCATTTGAGCTCTGTGGGGAGAGGGCAGAGCAGAAATCAGATACATTTAATTGGCTGAGCATTCACTCCCCCCCCCCCCATTTTTAAATAATAAATAAATTATACAAATCACACACAATGAACATTAGCACAAAACATACAATAAAACAGTTAAACAATTTGTCATCTCTACGTGCACCCACCACCCATAGGACATATAATAATATTAAGGATTATTATCTTCTCCAAAATGCTAGTGTATGTTGATTTGGTTTCACTCTTTCTAATACCCTAAGTTAACTTAAGCATTGCTGTGCAACTGTTTATCACTTATGTAAATTGCAAAATAGTCTCTTTATTTTGATTCAGAAGGATCATCATCAGCTATTACTTGTGTCTGAGTAGGATGGCCTTCCAAATATAGGGTCTTGGCGGTGGGTCCGTAGATGACTACAGAGACCTATTATTGATACGCATGTTCTTCCAAAAGGAGGACACGGGTTTCCAGGTGGAAGGCGGTCCTGGTAAGGGTTGGCTTGAAGCACATTTCTCCTTTTCGCTCTCTATTTGTGCTTCTTTGAATTCCACAGCACTGTTGGTCACAGCTGACCTCCAGTTAGAGTGCTCAAGGGCCAGTGCTTCCCAGTTCTCAGTGTCTATGTCAAAGTTTTCAGGTTGCTTTTAAGCTCATCTTTAAATCTCTTTTCCTGTCCACTAACCTTTCATTTTTCGTTCTTGAGTTTGGAGTAGAGTAACTGCTTTGGGAAATGGTGATCAGGCTTCCCGACTGTAGCCAGTGAAGTTGATTGTGGAGGGCCATCGCTTCAATGCTGGTGATCTTTGCTTCTTGCAGCATGCTGCCATTTGTCTGCTTGTCTTCCTAAGAGATTTGCAGGATTTTTCAGAGGCAGCACTGATGAAATCATTCCAGGAGTTGAGTGTGATGGCTGTAGAAGATCCACGTTTTGGATTCAGAAGGGCAAGCATAATCACACCCCAAACATGTGGAGATTTCTGCTGGAGCAACCCAGGACCCATCTACACTGCCATATAAGAATAATAATCATCTTTATTTATATCCCGCTCCCTCTCCCTGAAAGGAGAGGGAGCGGGATGCGTAATAATACTCAACAACCAAATTAACAAAATCCATCCACGGCTGTTAGGAATGGTGGGAGTTGAGGTCCAAAATACCTAGAGGGCCAAAGTCTGCCCATGCCTGGAGTAGACTCGTATAATCCAGTTTAAAGCATATCATCTAGATTTAAAAACTGGATTATATGGCAGTGTAGATCCAGCCTGAGGTGCCTTCGGCCCAGCAGCCTTCTATTTCCCAACATGGGTGAATTCAATACTGAAAAGGTGACAATATTAATATATAAATGATTTTTTTAAAATCCCTGGTATGCTCTTCCTTTGTTGTTGTTGCTCATTTGTTCAGTCGCTTCTGACTCTTCATGACCTCACAGACCATCACACGCCAGAGCTCCCTGTCGGCCATCACCACCCCCAGCTCCTTCAGGGTCAAGCCAGTCACTTCAAGGATCCCATCCATCCATCTTGCCCTTGGTCGGCCCCTCTTCCTTTTGCCTTCCACTTTCCCCAGCATCATTCTCTAAGCTTTCCTGTCTTTTCATGATGTGGCCAAAATACTTCATCTTGGCCTCTAATATCCTTCTCCCCAATGAGCAGTCAGGCTTTATTTCCTGAAGTATGGACTGGGTGGATCTTCTCGTGGTCCATGGCACTCTCAGCACTTTCCTCCAACACCACAGTTCAAAAGCATCTATCTTCCTTCTCTCAGTCTTCCCTATGGCCCAGCTCTCACATCCATAGGTTATTACGGGGAATACCATTGCTTTTACTATGCGGATCTTCGTTGCCAGTGTGATGTCTCTACTCTTCACTATTTTATCAAGATCGGTCATTGCTCTCCTCCCAAGAAGTGTCTTCTGATTTCCTGGCTGCAGTGTGCATCTGGAGTAATCTTTGCACCTAGAAATACAAAGCACTTCCTTCACGTTTTCTCCCTCTATTTGCCAGTTATCAATCAGTCTGGTTGCCATAATCTTGGTTTTTTTGATGTTTAACTGCAACCCAGCTTTTGCGCTTTCTTCTTTCACCTTGATTAGAAGGCCCCTCAGCTCCTCCTCTCTTTCGGCCATCAGAGTGGTGTCATCTGCATATCTAAGGTTTTTAATGTTTCTTTGGAAGCTTTTAAACAGAGGCTGGATGGCCATCTGTCAGGGGTGATTTGAATGCAATATTCCTGCTTCTTGGCAGGGGGTTGGACTGGATGGCCCATGAGGTCTCTTCCAACTCTTTGATTCTATGATTCTTTCAGCAATTTTTACCCCAGCCTTGCATTTGTCAAGCTCCGCACATCACATGATGTGTTCTGCATACAAGCTGAATAGGTTGGGCGAGAGTATACAACCCTGCTGTACTCCTTTCCCAGTCTTGAACCAGTCTGTTGTTCCATGCTCAGTTCTGACTGTTGCTACTTGGTCCTTATACAGATTCCTCAGGAGAGAGACAAGGTGATTTGATATGCCCATGACACCAAGAAGTTGCCACAATGTATTATGATCCACACAGTCAAAGGCTTTAGAATAGTCAATAAAACAGAAATAGATGTTTTCCTGAAACTCCCCGTCTTTCTCCATTATCCAGCGGATATTGGCAATCTGGTCTCTGGTTCCTCTGCCTTTTCTAAACCCAGCTTGTACACCTGGCACCTCTCTCTTCATGTATTGCTGGAGTCTTCCTTGCAGGATCTTGAGCATGAGGATGTATAAATGGTTTTTAAAAATTCCATGGCAGGCTCTTCCCTCAAACTGCCTCAAGTGGTGGAAATATATTGCATGCAATAATAAATATAAAACCTAACACAGGGTTGGAGGTGCCTCTGACCCAGCATCCTAATCTTTCCAAGGCAGGTGCACCAAATGCCTCCAGAGAAGCAGAGAATGAAGCAACAGGCCCTGAAAGGTATGCTGCCCCTATGCCTGGAGGCTCCATTTTGCTCAGAAGCCCCACCTCCCGGCAATGGCTCTCTCTCTCTGCTTGCAAGCCACCCCCACAGGGCCCCCTTCCTCCTCCCGGCCAAGGCCTTCTCCCTCAAGCGCCACTCACCCGCTCCCGCCCGCGGGACCGCAGCCCTCGTCGCCTCCGGCCCCTTCGCTCGCCTTCCCCCCAATCTCCAGCAGCGCCACTTCCGCCCTCCACTCCTTTCCAGCTTCTTCCGCTTCCTCTGACATCTCCGCCTTCTGGGCGCTGTTCTATTTGCTCTACTTCCTCCCCGTTTCTGATAGGCTGTTCTATGCTCCAATCGTGGTGACGCAACCCGTAGCTCCGCCTTTCCCATAAAATGATCGTAATGTCACTCAAGAGAAGAGGAGGCGGGGAAAAGAGCTGGAGGGAAGGCTCACAGTGGTTCTCAAGCTGGGGTCCCCAGATGTTTTTGGCCTACAACTCCCAGAAATCCTAACAGCTGGTAAACTGGCTGGGATTTCTGGGAGTTGTAGGCCAAAACACCTGGGGACCCACAGGTTGAGAACCACTCATGGGCAAACTTGGGTATTCCAGGTGGCTTGAACTTCAACTCCCACAATTCCTTAACAGCCTCAGGCCCATTCCTTTTCCACTTAAGCGGGCATTGACCTTGAGTTTGGGGGTTGTAGTTCCCCTCAATCCAGAGAGCACTGTGGACTCAAACAATGATGGATCTGAACCAAACTTGGCACGAATACTCCATATGCCCAAATGTGAACACAGATGGAGTTTGGGGAAAATAGACCTCGACATTTAGGAGTTGTAGTTACTGGGATTTTTAGTTTAGCTACAATCAAAGAGCATTCTGAACCCCACCCACGATAGAATTGGGCCAAACCTCCCACACAGAACCCCCACGACTAACGGAAAATACTGTGTTTTCTGGTGGTCTTTGGCAACCCTTCTGACAACCCCTCACGCCCCCCCCCCACCAAGTCCCAACCCCCACTTCGGAGCTTAAGATCCTCTGGGAAGGCCCTGCTCTTGGCCCCGCCTTTGTCCCAAACACATTTGGCAGGGACGAGGGACAGAGCCTTCTCGGTGGTAGCCCCCCGCCTGTGGAATACGCTTCCCGCAGAAATTAGATCATCGTCATCCCTCCTCACCTTCAGAAAGAAGGTAAAATCGTGGTTGTGGGACCAGGCCTTCGGGCAATCAGGTTAAAGGACAATTGATAATATTTGACTATGGCTTGGAAATGGATTTGGATAAGTGAAGCAGAGTAATCATTAGTATATGGCTAGATAAATCACCACCAGACTGGCAATAGGTAAATGGATCGTAAGTATACTGCTTAATTTTTATTTTAATGTTCATGGTTTTGTTATTTTTCTATTTGTATTTATGAAGCGGCATTGAATTGTTGCCAATTGTATGCCGCCCTGAGTCCCCCCAGGACTCATAAATAATAAATATGATAGATATAATATCATAGATTTGAAAGGGACCCCTAAAGAAGGACAATTATATGTTGCATGTTCCAGAGTAGGCAAACCAAACAATCTCTACATCAACACTGACAAAGCAACAACAAAAAGTACTGTTTACCCATAAGCATAAAGAAATAACATACATTAGAAACCAACACTTTCTCATTACTTTATCTTCCAGATTACCAGACTGGGCCACAGCAACGAATGGCAGGAGACGGCTAGTGATATATAAAAAGCCACAAACAAAGTAAAAAACTTGGCATTGTACTAAATTTCTGTTGACCAGAAGCTGGCCACTTCACGTGCCTCTGGTGTCACTGTAAGAAGGTCCTCCATTGTGCATGTAGCAGGGCCAGACTGCATTGTAGTAAGTGGTCTGTGGTTTGCTCTTCTCCACACTCGCATGCCATGGACTCCACTTTGTAGCTCCATTTCTTGAGATTGGCTCTGCATCTCGTGGTCCCAGAGCACAGCTTGTTCAGTGCCTTCCAGGTTGTCCAGTGTTCTGTGTGCCCAGGAAGGAGTTTCTCATCCGGTATCAGCCACTGATTGAGGTTCTGTGTTTTCACCTGTCACTTTTGGACTCTTGTTTGCTGGGATGTTTCCGGGAGTATCTCTGTAGATCTTGGGAAGCTATTTAAAACATTGGCATGCTGGCTGATATCCGAACAGAGAATGGATTGGAGATGTCAATGCCTTGGTCCTTTAATTACTGGCTGCTACTTCCCAACAGATATCAGGTGGTACAATACTGGCTAAACCGTATAATGTTTTAGCCCTCTCTGTTGGTGCCTCACCAAACTACAATCCCTAGAGTCCCATAGCATTGAGCCATTGCCATTAAAGTGATGTCAAGCTGCATTAATTCTACAGTGTGTAGATCCACTCCTAATTATGTTTGCTCAAAAAGAAGTTGAATTAAATGGGTTGTTGTAGGTTTTTTTGGGCTATATGGCCATGTTCTAGAGGCATTCTCTCCTGATGTTTCGCCTGCATCTATGGAAGGCATCCTCAGAGGTAGTGATCTCACTACCTCTGAGGATGCTTGCCATAGATGCAGGCGAAATGTCAGGAGAGAATGCCTCTAGAACATGGCCATATAGCCCCAAAAAACCTACAACAACCCAATGATTCCGGCCATGAATGCCTTTGACAATACAGTTGAATTGAATACTTATTCCCAGATTATAGAACTTTGAAGTAAATAGGACAGTGTTGTTGTTTTTAGCATCTGACTACTATGTTAGAAACAAAAACAACACACCTTTTCCTTTATTCTCTGTCATTGATGCTAAAGTAAACTATGTCACTATTTGAAAAAGTTATATAAGTCCCTATATATACTCTGTGTAATTATATTATTGTCCAGGTAAGCAATCCGTTACATGTCACTTCTTTTATCTGCTATTTTCAAAAGATCATTTATCAAAATATGCTTTCTGGACAGCTTCCAAAACTGAAAATACATTAATAAGACAAAAGTAGTTGCAAGGAGAGTCGGGTAATGATGATAATAATGATGATGCTCATTGTTTAATTGGGAGAGAGATTTCTTCAAAGAGACTGGATTCTTCCCCCTCCTCAAATTATGGATCACTGGTAGTGCAGCCTTAAAAAAAATCTTTGTAGGAGTGGCAAAACAAGAATAATTAGGACTTCAGATTTTGATACACTTTTAACAAGTCAGATTAAAGTTGAGTAGATAAGCAGATCTTAATCTGATGCTGGGGAAAAACAGGGAAGTCACTGGGTGGACCTGTTTTGAGAAATTATTCCATTATTTTCCACTAGTGTTGCATCAGCAAAAGTGGTTCAGTTCACGGTCTCCCAAATTGTTGGGGGCCCGGACTGTAGTTTGCAAAAAAACCCCAAAACAACCCCCCCCCAAAAAAACAAAAAAACAAAACAAAAAAGAGCACATTCCTATGCACATTGCACATACCTTATTTGTAGAAGCAAAAAATTATGAAAAAACAATGCAATATTTAAAATGAAAAACAATTTTAACCAACATAAACTTATCAGTATTTAAATGGGAAGTGTAGACTACTTTTGGCTAATGAGATAGTTGAGTCCATTAGGATTTAGAAGTCTAAAGTTAAGGGAAAAGATCGTAAATGGCCTTGGAGGGTTGTATCTGGCCTACAGGCCTTAGTTTGGGTACCTCTGCTTTAAAAGAATAATTTGCGAAGTATGGAGACCATATGTGGTTCCATAAAAAGCCCCCAGAGAACCTGTGAAGGCTGGCCAATTTTGAAAACCTTGGGTTAATTTTCAAAAGATGATGCCCAAAATATCCCAGACCATCTGCAAATGTGTCTGCAGAGTCCAACCTTCCTTATACATAGATCCGATATCCATAGTTTCACCTATCCATGTCCAAAAATATTCCTTTCTGGAAATGTTTGTAGTCTTCTGTAGGTCTCACACTGCTAATCTATGGTAAACTTCTGGCTAAGTATAGTTAAGCTTTGCTATTATCCATGGATTCAGGTGTCTATGGGTAGTGATTTTGGAGTATGTCCCCAGCAAATGCTGAGGTTGTACTATACTCCTTTCCCACACCCCAGAATACTGTAATCCTTCCAAAACACAGAACGCCAGATGAAACTAGCAATCAAAATAGCATTTTAAAACAGCTAAGGTTCATGGGGGCAAGACTTAGCTCCCACTCTCCACACAGTTATGCATTATTGCTTTAAATGTTAAAAACAACCTTTTAAATCAAAGCAGGAAGCAATCTAGAAGTCAGTGCAGATGACTATTGATGTATGATCAAAACACATCCTAAATCTTTGGTTCAAAATTTGGCATTTAATCCTTGTTTACTTTTGTCAATCTGCATGCACCTTGCAATGATGTGCATGAAAAAGCAACATATTTATGTGTGCATTTGGGAAGCCACACCTTGAAAGGTATTCAAGAAGTTACTGAAAAATTCTAGTATGTGGGGAGCAGAGACTGGACATGTCCCCAAATACATAAACTAGCGGACCTACATAGAATTCTTTGATGTCATTGTTATGTGCCTTCAAGTCAACTTAAGTTCATGATAACTCCATCGTGATATTTTATTAGTAAGATATTTTCAAAGGAGGTTTGCCATTGTCTTCTTCTAAAATTGAAAGAGTGATATTTGTTCAAGGTCATCCATGAGTTTCCATAGCTAACTGAAGATGTATATCCGCTACACAATTTTAGGAATTGATAGCATGAAGCCATAGCTGTTAAAATCACATCAAACTGCTATACTTGCATGGCGTAGATTCCTAGGCCAATATTTAACTTTACTAAAACATATTGACTCCAGTGTTAGGTTATTTTTTTAAGTTTCTTGATTTATAGGACACCTTTTAAAATAAACCTTGTGACTTGAGGAATCCCAGGAGAAAGCTGATGGCTTGAAGGTGACTCAGAAAGGGACCAGAGATGTGTAATGAAAGGGAAAACAAGTTCTTAAATTATCAGTGCTTCTAACAACAAACTTGCATGGCAAGTGCTGGCAGAATGGGGCCACTGGAAAAATAAGCAATGGGGAGCAGCATGCTCTGGGAAATCCTGACATTTGCAGAAATACAAAATAATCTTCAAACGAGATGGAAATAAAGGGTTAAATCAATAACCAAATAAAAGGCAATTGGAGATGTTCTACAGCTACAAAAGGCTGGAAACGTATTGGTGGTTGGTCAGAAAAGAAAGCAGGGTAGATGAATGGTGGGATAAAGTACTCAGGAAGACAGTTTCATTGACATGTGGAAAAAACAACGCTCCACATGG